ACAAATCAGACAACGAAGGCTTAATCTCAGCAGATCGTAACAACAAGGCTACTCTACTGCTTACAATACCCTGTTGTACATTTAAGTCGTATACAAATGATTTATCCTCACGCATAATGACATTGCAATTCACCGGCAAGCACCCAAAGCCTTTCCGCTAAGAGTACCATTGCCAGTCTGCTATGGTTCAGCGACACAAAGTGCCTTATTCTTATCCATCTAAAATGTGTAAGGGCGGAAATCATCGCTTTCTAGCATGGATTCTGACTTAGAGGCGTTCAGCCATAATCCAGCGGATGGTAGCTTCGCGGCAATGCCTGATCAGACAGCCGCAAAAACCAATTATCCGAATGAACTGTTCCTCTCGTACTTAGTCGATGTTCAAGCGCTTGTTGCCTTCTGTCGTTAAAAATTTACTAAAATCTCGTAAACCCTTTGAGGTTCGATTGTGACACCTCGCATGTCGGATGTTTTCCCGTATTTCTACGGTATGTGATGTTGAAACGAGCATATTCCTTGAGACTGTTGTCGAGCTCTTCGCGGCGTCTCTCTTTGTAGGGTCAACGGCAATTCAAAGTCCTCAATCGTATCCACTGCTTATGTCATCCCTAGCGAAACAAAATGAAGTTTCGCTAGAGGGGGATGCTCGCGTTATACGGATCTGCGGACGTCCTTCCGCGAAATAAAATTTTCTTGTCGCCAGGCTAATTATTGTTTTGATAGGCCATAGAAACGTAAGAGAGGCATAGACGAGTGACGCGCGAGTTCAGAACCGCAGGTCTCCCGCATTGTCAATCATCTGTTCCCTACAAAATTTCATTTAAAGACGTCACAGCGATGTCTGATCCATCTGCCAAACTGAAATTGGCTAAGGATACGGTATGTTTGATTATTATTTGATTACCTATTGTAACGCGCTAACATTTTCGCAGCTCGTTTCATCCCTCTTTGAGCTTTCTAAAGCTGCTAATCAAAGTGCTGGATCTATCATCGATTTCTATAATGCTATCGGTGAGGACGAAGAGGAGAGGTTGGAGGCCTTCACGACGCTCACAGAATCTCTCCAGAAACTAACTTCCGCTAGTAACCAAATTCATGCGGTAAGCTCCGATTTGACGAACCCTACGGAAGACGAAAAAGAAACATTAGCATTAACTTCTCCCGTCAAGCAAAATCAGACGAAGAAGAAGGCAGAGCGCGATCCTAATGCTCCCAAGAAACCATTGACGGTCTTTTTTGCTTACTCCGCGTACGTGCGTCAAGCACTACGCGAAGACAGACAAAAAGAGGGTTTACCTCCCCTATCTTCAACCGAAATTACGCAGGAAATTTCAAAGAAGTGGAAAGAATTAAGCGATTCGGAGAAAGATAAATGGAAACAAGCTTATACTGCTGAACTCGAAAACTACCAGAAAGAGAAGCAGAGATACTTGGAGGCTAAAAAGAATGGCACTGCTCCCACGCAAGACGGACCAAGCACCGCACCAATTCCAATACCCGATTACTTGCAGGGTGGTTTAGAAGACGAATATGAACCCGTCAAAGAAAAGAGACCTCATGAGGATGAAGGGTCGTCGAACACCTCTGAAAAGAAAAAGAAAAAGAAGAAAAAGGACAAGAAGAAGGACAAACATGCCTCCTTGTAATCACGCGGCGCTTGCTTTTGCTGGCTTTCTTTGAGGCGTTGTAACATTATCTAGGATCAGGGATCAACTCTATTTAAGAACGCTTTGTCTATATATATACAAGATCTTTTTGTCTGCTTAGAATCTACAGAGAGTTTTTGATCACATCCACCACATTAACAAATTCCTTGGGCGCATCTTCGGGGCGTTTCCATTCTTCTGGAAAGATGTGAGAGTGGCCCTTCCTACGTAGGTTTTTTGCGGCTATATGCCTCGTATCCAGTGGAACATTACTAAAGTCACCTTCTAAATTTCTGGCCTCTTCAATAAGCTTCGAGAGTCTCCCGCTCAAGTATCGCGCATTTTGGAAGGGCTCAGGATATTGGTCCGAAGAAATTTTCAGCACATCTGAAATCGCGTCATAACGAGTCTTTGCCAGCAAACGCAATTTATGTAGTTGCACGGCATTGAGGCCAAGATCGGCCGTTTTGACAGACATCACAACTTTTCGTGAATTCGAGTGGGATTCCCCGATATAACTCGTGTAACGATAGGTCACGGGGTGCGTTTTGTTAGAAGGTCTTCTATAGTCTTGGCGGTACTGGGCAAGCAAAGGAAGCTCATATGCCGTCAACCTGTTGTAAAACCGCTGTTCCCTATGCTGCTGAACTAAAGTCTGGGCCTGAGATGGCAGTTCATCAAACATGAACGGTTTTGGCCTAAAATCATCCGCAGATTCATTTTTACTCAAAATCTCGTTAGCAGCTTGCTCGCCTCCGTAGTACACTGCTTTTATTGCACTTGGCGACGACCCGGTATGTTCAGATGTCGATAGCAAAGCCTCAAGCTCTTCGTGGCAAGGCTTATAGGACGTCCCTAGCCTGAAAATCCGCTCGCTATAGAGCTGGAAAATTTTCTCAGGTTTCAGACCTTTCCACTTATTGGGCTTTAAATATAGGTCTGACGACGTCTTTGACGCCACGCTGTCAGCTAGAGCACTATTCAAAAGTTTGCAACCCACGCGAAGGGATGTCCTTAAGGTCGCTCGCATCTTAGAGACTTTGGTTTTTGTGAAAGCGCGGAAGTATGTGTACTGGACAAGTCAGTAACTTTATATATTGTATTTTAGTCACGTGAGTAGATATAACTTCAATTCAATCGAAGTAAACGTTGTAATACAACCTGAAACCTCTTCCCTCAAAGACAACCCCACCAAAAGATACAGGATTCAGGACATTTGCTATCTAACTTTGGTCAAAATGAAGCGAGGCAAAGGTTTAAAAGGACAGATCAGGGGTGAGGTATCAAACTGGGAGCCGTCAAAAATTTTATCAAAGATTTTAGCGGATCTTGACTTAACCTATGAAAGTGATATCGGCATGCTCAATGGAAAGTCTATTCGCAACATGCCCTCTTTAGACTCGCTACTTAGCTTTCAGCAGCATTTAGAAGAGTTAGAAAAAAGCTTCGATAAAATTCACGAAAGTGATTTAGATGTTATAAGGACGATCACTAGCTTGATTGAAAAGCGTCACGAAGCCGCCAAACAAAAAGAAACAGAGAGGAGGCCAGGTGACACGTCGTCGAAAAACCATTCGTTAGAAGAAGAACAAGAAATACCGACACGGCCGGGGAACAGGAAGCGCTCTCTCTTATTAGACGAGGACGAAGATGAGGAACATAATTCTACTGAGCACCGTGACGGTATTCAGGAGACCCACTCAAGATACCAAAAGCAGTCTAAATCAGAAGTGGATAGAATAGAGAACGACCCTGCTGTCAAAAATCCAAAATCCGAATTTGTCGTTTCTCAAACACTACCGGCAGCGGCAATGACCCTAGGCTTATTCTCGGAGCAAGGTTTGGAAAGCACTGGCGAGGAATTTTTTAAGCAAAAATTTGGGGTAGCGAGCTATCCCACCAGCGACCTGAAAGAACTTATGCCAGGAGAAATTCCAGATATGGACTTTTCGAGACCTAAACCAGCTAACCAGATTCAATTCAATACCTTTCTCGCTTCGATTGATGGATTTTTTAGGGAATTTACGGAAGAAGACGTGAAATTTTTGAAAGCCAAATTTTTAATTCCGCCTAACTTGCTTATTGAGAGAGCCTATGATCCTGAGGTGACACCTTACGTCATACCAAAACTTGGAACTCTTTACACGGATACTTGGGCGAAGGAAGACAGCAATCAAAACATAGGGAATGTGTCACCACCGCCGGTCAGCCATCGCTCAAGTATACTCCCCAAAAAGTCCGGCAGTGATATATGCGATGAACTACTCGATACCGAGGAAATTTCATGCGGGCCCCTCGTGTCCAGAGTTTTATCAGCTATCCTTAAAGATGAAACAAACGAAACCGAAAATATAGATATTAAGGCTGAGAGATCGAGTCAAACCGCTGACGACTTAGCAGCTGTTCCTCCCAGTTCTGCGCTCACCCTGAACACATCACATGGTGAATTGGACGAAATCCGGAATTTATCTTCTGCTTCTACGAGTGCACTGCCCCAACAGCAAGGCTGGAAAGTTAGCAGTATCAATCTAGATTATCCAACCTTTGAGGAGCGCTTGAAACGCGAATTAAAGTACGTGGGTATTTACATGAACTTGCCCCGTGATGATGGATTAGGCAACGGTGGTGATCCTGATTGGCTTAACGGGAGGGAGGATGACGAGATAAGCACAGAATTACGGGAACTGCAAAGCGAGCTCAGACATGTAGTGAGAAAAAATTCACAAAGAAAAGCAGCTTTGATTCCGTTAGTGACACAACGTCTTGCATGGCAGGAATACTCATCAATATTGGATGATTTGGATAAGCAAGTCGATCAAGCTTACATAAAGCGCATAAGGGTACCAAAGAACAAAAGGAAGAAGCAACAGTCTAGTTCAGTTTTGGCTGCGTCGACATCTCAAGCTGCTATTCAGGCAGCTCACCAACAGGCAGCCAGCTCGAGTCTAAAATCTTTGTTGGACAAACGGAGAAGATGGATAGGTAAAATAGGGCCTCTTTTCGATAAACCCGAAGTGATGCTTCGCTTGCCTCGTGAGCGAGTCTTCAAGGATGTCGATCAAGATGATGAGGAAGAGGAAGGAGATGTCTTTGGTAATAGTGGAAATAGTAAAGATGACGATCTGGAAGATAGTCTGCAAAACAAGGAATAGTTTGGTAAATCACAAAAGGACACAGATGACTGGGTTTGTTACAAATTCAGCTGGTTATTGATGTAGCTCAGCTGAGGCACGGTTTTCGTATTGCCCAAGGCTACCAAAGAAATAGGTTTGTCTTTCAATTTATAATTCGCCCACGCAATGATGTCATTCTTCGAGATTTTATCAACTTGCTCGAATACTTCTTCCGGAGACAAGCGTTTGCCCGTTGTGACCAGTTGTCTTCCTATGTCTTCCACAATAGCGGTTGAACCGTCTAATGACAAAAGGAGAGACGCCTTGAGTTGCGCTTTTGCTCGTTTTACCTCGTCATCTGATATATGACCATCTTTAATTCTTTTCCACTCTTTCAAAACTTCATCAATAATCAACTTGATGTCATGCTCCTTCGAATCTGTCACGATATACATTCCCCATAAGCCGGAATCCGCATATGATGTCGAGAAAGACATGTATGACGTGGCTAGAGTAGGGCCTTGTGATGCTACCACAGCTAACGGGGACGGCGAATTGGTGCCTGTTCCCACGGTGCGATCCCAGTTCCCGATAATGGCCTGCGTAGCTAAAGCTGCAAAGTAATCAGGTGCAGACCAAGAAACGCCCTCCACAGCGAGCGCTATATGTGTGTTTGGAAGCGAATCTTCCTGTATCTTCAGTTCGTCCCCATGAAATACAGGCAAAGGGCCACGAGGTGATCCAAGGGGGCTGGGAGAGTCTGACCCCCTGACATGACCAAAGTGTTTTTTAGCATATTCTATAAGCTTTGAGTGGTTTACCGCACCTGCACCTACAAGAACCATTCGATCGCCGGTGTAGTTTTTGTCGATGTATTCTTTCAAATCGTCTCTTTTGATTGTCCGGATATTCTCGATTGGACCCAATATCGTCCGGCCGAGGGGTTGATTTTTATAAGTGATAGCATGTAAGTGGTCAAACACAACCTCATCGTACATTTTATCAACTTCTTCACTTTCACGAATGATCACATCTCTTTCGCGCTCTATAGCTTTCTTATCCAAAACTGATCGGGTGAGAATGTCACTCAGGATATCAACGGCACCAGGTATATTGTCCTCTAGTGTTTTTGCATAGTACACTGTGTTTTCTCTTGATGTGTAAGCGTTCAAATGCGATCCAATGTTCTCGATTTCAAGCTCAATGGTAGTTTGGCTCCTTTTCTGTGTTCCCTTGAACGCCAAGTGTTCGAGAAAATGTGCTGTTCCGTTATTGCGAATATTTTCCGCTCTAGATCCCGCATCAACAAAAATTCCGACAGTTGCACTTGAAGTGTTCGGTATCCTTTCACTTGCTACCGTTAGGCCATTTGGAAGCACAGAGACTTGAGTTTTGGGAGGCACGGTAGCCAGACTCCTTTTGAATTGCTTCGAGACTGTCCTCCTCAGCATGATTGTAAGCAAGCTAATCGACGGGATTGTTCCTTTCATGAAATCGACTGCCTAGCTTTGCAAACTAGATGTGTTTACCGTTTGACTGACAAATCTTCCTCTCCGTCTCACATGATCTGACCTGTCTAACTATATTCGATAATTACCACCAATAGTTTAGCGCCGAAAATGACGATTCGAACTTCTAGAAAGGATCATGCTCTTTGCTGGTGGATTCTTCAGTCAACTTAAGTTAATCTAAAGGTACTTCTGTAACGAATGAGTCTTTATGGCGTCAAGAAAAATGTTTACTGAATATCCCACGGACCCTTACTTAAATCCAACTGCAGATGTCTCACTTTACATCAGAGTCAGAAGAAAGGTAAATTTAGTTAGAAAAGCGTTTTGATTTTTTTTCTTTTCTGGAGTTCACAAGAGTGGAAAAGTTCACCCTTCCGAATTTATCGTCTGTTGCCCAAATGTTGTATTTACACGGAAAGACATAATGTACGCCAGTAACATCAAATTAAAAATGTACTTTCAACCCCGAATTTTGGAAGATTTCGACAAGAGTTGTTCCCTGCCTTACGCGTATCTCTCAATGAAAACCAGAAGAGACTGAAACGAATTGTCGGCTTCTTATTTCAGAAATAGATATCTGCTTTAACTTAATTGAACCTGCAAGTAGTTAAGTGGAGGTTTTTTGTAAAATACGAACTACACCAACAGTAGAAAACCACAATAGCAGAAGCTTCAGATTCAGCTCTTATTGGTAAAATTCGAACAGCGCAACAAATCTTTCGCTTCTCTTCGAAAACGCGAATACTGCACTTTTAGCATTTTTCGTGCAAAACATTTGGGCCAAATGAGATTAATGAGATTAATGAGGTTTAAAATGAATAAATATTATATATGCACTCTCGAAAGCGCATAATATCGCTTTCCAAAGTTGAGCAGTCTTTGTTTTCTTTCTGCATCTTCTGTTTGGAGTCTACGTCGTCTCCACTCCGCAGTTTCTTGATTTTCGTTTTCGGGGCCGATATCGAAAATAAAGGTATCATTTGAAAAGATTCAAAAAATCCGAACTAAATTAGCCCCGCGAAAGATCAATCACGTAATAAAAACATGGTGTTTCAAGTTGCTTGCAGATCAGTAGCGAAGCGGTCCTTTCAATCAACAGCCAGAAGGTCTCTGACGATTCCGTTTCTGTCAACTTTACCTCAAGCGCCGGGGGGAGTAAAAGGCAATGTTAACGATGCTTATGTACCTCCCCCACCTCACAAGACACATGGATCCTTGCACTGGGATTTTGAAAGAGCGGTAGCCGTTTGTATGCCACCTCTGGTGGGTAGCGCTTTGGCTTCCGGTGGTGACTTAGGTACGGTGGCTGATTCCTTGCTGTGCTCGGCTTTGTTTGCCCACTTGTACATCGGCTTCCAATCATGTATCATCGACTATATTCCTAAAAGGGTCTATGGTAAGAACTACAACTATGCGATGTATCTGCTAACTTTGGGCAGCATTGTGGGAGCCGTGGGTGTTTATAAACTGGAAACGGAAGAGGAGGGCCTAACGGGCGTCGTGCAAAAACTGTGGACCTCGGAACAAAAGGGCGACAACAAATGACTCTTTAAGTAGCTATTGAATTATTTATTCTTATATTTATTTATCATGACACACATGTTTGACTAGTTTCTCCTTCCATTTAGTTAAAGCAACTTCAAGATCACGCTTGGAGGTTGAAGCCTTGGGTAAAATCAAAAGCTCTTTCTCTCCGCAGTATACGTCCCTCGCTCGCTTGCAAAACAGTACTTCGATTTTTTGTCCAACCTCATCTGTTTCAAAATCCACAATGCCGCGCAGAGCTATTGTCAATTCTTCGACATCGGCCGCGTTTGGTACCCTGCAAGCACTGCGTATGGAATCAAACGATAAGATCCTATGATTCTGAAAGAGAGTTAATAGCGTCAATGTGCGAATTTTTTTCCACATCAACTCCGAAAGAACCATTCCATCTGGTACGTCGGTGACATTGCCGAAGCTGAATAGTTCGAATATTTTTTGATACTTTTCAACCCCGCAGTTGAGCCAATAGCTCTTGTAGCTTAGTATGGATTTATCCTCGAGTAAGCTGACGCAGCTTTCATCGTCCATGAATAAGTCTTCCGCTTCCTAATTGTTTTTCATAAAGTGTAGAATAATTCTACTCCGTAAGAAGAATTACCTCCTTCAAATGAAAAAAAGGCTATGTGTGACATTCTGTATAACCCAAACTCACGCGTGATATCAAAATACCAGCGCAAGCTAAAGCCTACTGCTGCTGACACAGTTTTGGATTTAGATGTCCAGTTCGTTTCGCCTCATCCTAGGAATTCCCCTCCCTACCTCCGTGACTTGATCAAATCCATATACCCGGCGGAGTTATGTGCTCGGATCGAAAAGCAAACAGAGAGTACATTGGCTTTTCACGCGCTTTGCGCACTCATTTTGAAGAATTATGTGTCTTCCTGGTACGGTCCAAAGATCGCAACAACTGATGCCGAATTGATGGAAAGTGTCTATAATTTTTTGTGCTTCATTCAAGAATCAAGCAGGAAGGCGGAAATAGATTGGCAACATTTTTTGCTGGACGATGTTCCATACTTGATGGTCCTACATAGTGAGGCTTTCTACCTCGCGATGCTAACAAATGGTGGGTATCATGAGTTTATGCAAATGAATCGAAACTCCGGCTTGAATTCTGGAAAGCTGACATCAGCGCTTCTGAGTTCGTTGGAGGAAGGATCAAGGCTGGAGTACTTTTTTTTACTGGCGCTATTTCAACAATTGATACTTGGGCGTCTCCTCGAAAGTGCGTTAGAACCCGCCGTCTTACTTCAGTTTACGATAAACAGCACCCAAAAAGTGATTAAAATCTTACGAAGAAGAGAAAATGAAAAATCATTCTTACATTTCATCCTTGCTGTATTCAACTTTTTAACTCAATTAATCTCCTGCCTATTTGCGAGACCGAAAAAGGGCGGCTACGCGAAACAGGATGATTGTCGACGACCTGTGCTTTACAGCTATGTTTTCAGTTTCATCAAGTTATCCGTTAATTTAGAAGGGAGACGACCGCTGCTTTATGCTTGTTATAAATATTTACAATGGGCTCTTGCACGAAACAGCCTCTTGAACAGAAGCCTTCAAAAAACAGTTTTCAACATCTTTAATCGAACCTTTACCAATACGGATAATTTGAATTCAGCACTTCTGGGTATGAAAGGGTTTTTATTTCCGAAAGACAACAAGTTAAGTTTGAAAAACCAAAATCTTAGTCAAGAGCAAATTAATGAATTAAAAGTTAACTGCGAAAAAGCGTTAAGGCAACTTTCAGATATTTTGAAATTGAGGTTATTTCTAGGCTTAGAAGACTCTGACATTCACCGGTTGGTGCAATACTTTTCAACCGACAAGCGCATGAATGCCCACTTTGTGAGCTGTATGAGCGCCTCGCTTCTAAGCCGATTCAAAGAGAGTTGTTGAGCTCAAAACGTGCAATATCTTAGCATTGAACGTACCATTTTTGTCAACGCGATCATTCCAGAGGTGACGATGTGAAGAAGGGACAGGAATTAGATGAGTTTTAACATGAGACCCCACCCTTGTCTGCAAGAAACCCGAGTGAAGTGCGATTTGGCGTTTCGCACTTAGGATTTTCCGCGCACCATATTTGCAATCATTCAGAATTGGATGTCCCAAGCCAAGAGCTAATTGACGACGAATCTGATGCTTCTTGCCTGTTTCCAACTGAAGTACAATACAGTTGGACAAGACCTTTGCGTACTTTGTTACCATCCCACCAAATCTTAAAGTCCCGCACATAGGCAAGGGTGTCAAGTCACCCTCGACTAGAGCCACGTATCTCCTCACGAGGCCAAACCCAGTATTCCCTCCCTCCCTGAGGTTTTTCGAAAAGTTTTGAGCGGCACTTTTTGTTTTTGCAAGCAAGAGTCCCCCAGTCACCTGAGAGTCTAATCTGTGCACGGTTCTCAATTCAGCCGTACTCAAGTCCGGATTTTCTGAACGTACGATATCCAATAAAATGGGAGGCTGATTCATCCGATGTGAACGCCAGGATCGCAAATCTGGACACTGCGAAAAGACTCCCGGAAGCTTGTTTACGACGACATAATGTTTACCAACAAATAGAATGGGTGCTTTTGGTATTGCGTACATTCAAATTCATGGAAAACACACCTCTGTAGACTCTTTTTCATAAATATTATAAATGATGATATTCAATATATGATGAAAAGCCAACTAAAACAAAGAACTACCCCCACTCACCTCGTAACGAAACGATAGGTCGAGGTATAGGTTCGAATCAAACAAGAGAAGATTTTGCCCTAGCTCGGTCGGCAGATTTACCTGTCCGTCGTTTACACATCAAGACATGGCCAGCTATCCTGGAGAACAGACCAAAATACCTAAGCGGCTAGCAGAAGCTCTCGAGTATCAAACGCTAACGCACCTCATTCCAAAAAATGTGCTTGCGAAACTTTTGCAGCATAATTTCCTGCTTTCGTTGAGATACAAGTCGAAGGCGTTCGATCCGACAAAGGCTGGTGGAGAAGCTCTGTCCTCATTCGAGCCGCCACAAAACGATAATGTGGACCAAACGGAATGCTTAAGTGATGATGACGGATTACTAGGGAAGGCTTTCGGGCAACTCTCTCCTTTGGCGAGACGATTCGTCGAAAAACCACCTGCTTACAAAGCTTCTCCGTTTGACGCGCCTTCCTTGAAACGAGATCTCAATAGCCTAGAGTGCGAGGAAGATCAAAAGGCAGACGTCAGCTATGTCAAGCTTACGAAACACCACCAGAATATGGCCAAACTAGCTAATACTATCGAGGATGTTAATCAAGCTGCCATCAGGAATCGACACATGGAGGAGCTTGAGTGTCTTCTGCGTCATATCGGTCCGACCGATCAAGGGAAATATAATCCACTCTTTTGGGTTCGTCTGAATGGCCAGCATATTTTGACTGATATCACTGTTGAAAAGCTGCACCTTGTGCTCCAGAATATTACGGCGGTCACCAATCTTGCAGACGCTTCGAATCAGCAGGTGATAAGGCAGACTTTGGAACTTTGTGCCTGCCACGTCACAAGAGTGATGAAAATTGGGCTTCAAGAAGAGAGCTTGAGCGTGACAAACGCAATTGCAGCTTCATACCTTATCCTATTGATAATCACCCACAATCTCTGCGATAACTTCATGCTATACGACAAATACATTTCAACTGCCGTTGATTGTTTCTCCTCCACCGTACATGCTTTTGTCAGTCGACAACTTGCCCGAAAGGAGGCAAGACCATTTACTTTTACCGTCGAGTTATTTCTCGGATCGATCTTAAAAGCTGTCAAATTGGGCTACCTTTCGGATGAAAAATACGCAACAAGTCTTATCTACAGCTTAGTGGAACTGCTTTTGCTTGATTCTTATTACTCAAATGAATTATCTGCTGCCAGCCTCGAAAACTTAAAAGTGTCAAGTTCGTTTGGTTTGAGAGCTTTTTTCGAGAACATACCGAGCCAAAGACTTGGAATACTTAATGAGCTGTTACAACATGCCAGTTCGTTAAGCAGCAGTAAAAAATCTATCAGAAAAAAGCTCCATAAGTTGAGCCTGCCATTTTTACTGCTTTCTATGCTTCAAACGCTGAATTCTTATTCATTCGACGCTGACCGCGGGAAGTTGGCACTTACAGAGTTTATTCAACATCACCAATCTGTGTCAAACGAATTAATGACTTACATCGACTACGTGAATGAGGAATTGATCAGGAGGTGTTCTGTCGATATTGCTAATAACAAAGCAATCCTAGAAAACTACGTGCAAGACCTGACTGTTATGGTGGTGAAGCCGGAGTGGAGCATAGCGGAGCTTGTCTTAACTTCGCTACTCAAAAAGCTGCTGCTTTTCTACAGCCCTTCAAAGCTTTCTCCTTTCGCAATGGAGTTGGTGGCGCTGAACACAATCAAAACCATTGGCACGGCCATTCAGGAGATTATTCTGCAAGGGCGTGCGGTTCGAAAAGGTGCTTTATTATATCTTCCGAGTTATGAAGAGCTTCCGGACTTGCTATTTTCTTTTCAAATATGCCGCGGCGGCCTGCAACAAGCGGGCCTCGAGGAAGCTCAGCGGTTCACTTGGCATAGACAGATCGACTGTCTTTTAACTCTAAAGGCTATAGAGCACGATTCGCCAGAGATTCAAAGCGACCTTGATAATCTTCTCCTCAAAAGCTTGCGAGATAAAGCAACATCTGATCGATACGATTTTTTAATTCCCCATGAACCTAAAAATTGTTCGGTCGATTACTTTCACACAATGCAAGTGTCAGAATTGGCAAATCTCTACCATCCTTTTTTAAAGTTGATAATCTCTCTCCTGGAAAGAGATAAGGTCAAGCTTATGGCTGGCGCTGTTAGATGTCTCTCTGTACTGGCAGAAAAGGACTCTGAGCTGCTTATGCATCCAATCGTTAGAAATACTATCGAAGAAAAACTCAGAAACGCGTCGGCTTCAGTGAAAGATGCAATTTTGGATTTAATATTGCAGAATGACGCCGGCATTACATTCTTTCGATCTATAAATCTCAACTTCAATGATGAAAGCATATCAGTCAGGAAAAAGGTTCTCCAGTTAAATACTCAGATTTACGACAGAACAGATCAGATTTCTATTAAAATCCACGTAGCGTTGAGGCTTCTCATGGAAACTGAAGACGAAAACGATAATATTGCCATACCAGCTCAGAACGCCCTTTTGCAAAGGTGGATTTTAAAGAGTGCAAACACCAAAGCCTTGCCTCAAGAACGAGAAGTTGAAGCCAAAAGTAGCGTCGTATTGATTGCGAACCTCCTTGAAAAAGGTGAAGGCATATCTAAGATGTTCGTTCGATTTCTGAACCAGTACGTTTTGAAAGAGGGGTTACATGAGGAAACGGTTTTCAAGAACATATTGAGCTCTGGTAATCTTTTCACAAGAAAGGCAGTTGAGCTGGCTATCGGCCTGCATTACGAGGATGAAGCAGGAACGATGGAAGTGCGCAATGTAAACCTCAAAATTCTGAAACTATTATGCATAATGTCGTCGTGCTCCGTCAGTTTTATTACTAAAGATCAAATCATGATGCTATATCCTTACCTGTCTGCCGCGGATCGCTCCGAGTTCGACTACCTGCATTTGAGAATTCTGAAAAATGCATTCGCTCAGCTCCCAAACTTCAAACCAACTTTCTTACTTGAGTTGGAAACCATAATTCTCAACAAGCTTCCTAAAATGAACACCTTAGAACTAGAAGAGGGAATTCCTCTCGCCCTAGCTATTGCTACGCGACGACAGAACAACAGGAGGCTGGCAAAAGCGTGCGACTCGTCTGTGGGCCTCCTAATCCCGTATTTAACTCGACTGAAAAGTAATCCTGGCTCTCTGCAATTGGATGGAAAACTTCAGCAGCTAATACTTTTGATCACTGGATTTTCAAGGTTCTGCAGTGGAGCTGCGTTTGCTCAGAAACTTCCCAGTTTAGGATCTTCTGAAACTCTTCTGGAGTTCACGGCCAAGTTCTTGCTCATATTATGTGGTTCCGACAATCTGCCGGCTATTCGCAAGGTTGCGATGAGGAGCCTACTGAAGTTAGGGACGACTTTTCCTCGTCTCTTTAACTCGCATCATTTCATCAAATTAATCGATACTGAAATCAAGGAGGGGACGTATGACATGAAACTAGTCATCATAAGTTCTTTGAATTTCCTTCTAGTTTCTGAGGAAGAGAAAACAGCCAAAAATCCCACGACCTCGTTCAATTCCGACGCCCGCGAAAGTTCGACTCGAAGTAACGATAGCATATGTGCTGGGCTGGTTTCCAGATACTTGAGTGAAGTTCTTCATTTTTGCGTAAAAAATGCATTAGATAGGGAACAGCGGTGCGTTCTCGAGTTTATTTCTCATGTCCTGAATTTTGGCTATGCGAATCCCTCAAAATGTATTCCAACGTTGATTGCAGTTGCATGTAGTGAAGAGGCACTAAACCGAGAGTCGACACTAAAAATATTGGCTGATATGTTTGAACTTCATGAAAGCATGGTTTTCAACGGACTTAACCGTGGCCTTAAGCTCGCATTCAATCATGTATGCCAGAAAGATTGGGCCTTGCATCCAATCAATACGATGATGTTCCGCGGGCTTCAAAAACTATTTATGAAGTCCCATAAAATGGTAAACGGCTTTCTGACTACCATGAAAAAGCATTTTGGGGAAAAGTTAATTGACGAATGTAATAAAAATCCAGGAAAGGGGGCTTTAGTTGTTATCTTACTGAATGTTGCTTGTTTGAGTTTTAAAGAAGGCGCACAGGTTGTTCCTTTCCTTGATGAACTCGAAGATGCAATAGAGCAGGCGGTCGAACTAATAAAATATTCAGAGCACTCATCACCAGAAAGCAAAAAGGTAAGGGCTAGACTGATCAAACATAAAGTTCAATTTGAACTTACGAAAGAGTTTCTGTCGAAAATAATTGCACAGGGAAATGACGATCAAAACGAGGACAGTGGAAAAGCCCCGAAGATTGCAGCTCGCTGCCTCAGAAATATTAACGATCTCTCAAAGGCCTTAGTCGACGTCGAAGACGCAAACGTGGATAAAGTCCTCAAAGAATTCGGGAGCTTGAGTTAAGGAGGTTTATCTTTGAGGTGATTGGGACCAATGCAAACATATTGAAGTGACTGCGATGCGGACTCTGAGAAAGTGATTAACCGTATTTCGTTGATGTCGCCTTAATTGGATTTGCATAAGGTCCACTTCCCCTGTTATTAGCTTAAAAAGTGGTGAAGGTTAGTTCAGCATCAGAAGATATTCTAAAGAATCTGCTGTTACTTTCTCTTCTTGTCCCGCTACCTGTAAACTACGCTCTTCGAGAATTCGCGTAAAAAATACGCAGGAAGTCTTGCTAAAGTTTAAAATTTGTTGGTTTGGACCTAAACCTCATTTAAAACCTCAATTACATATACGCAGCATCTTAAGCCTTGCCAGCCTTTAAATATCCATACCATCTCGTGAGGCGATGGTTCCAGTCCCCAAGTCTAATCGAAACTCTTCTTGAAATATCTTCACCTGAAGGGGGTTACTTCACATAATAATACTTCAGTGGAAAAATGTAATATTTTGATATTTCGCGAAAAGATCGAAAATCCATACTACCAAACTAATGAATAAAGAACAGAATTGATGTATCGCGGTAGGGGATTAGAGTTTAGGAATGATCAGTATAAAGGGAATTCAAGGGGAAAGCACAGATCTGGAACTAATGCTGGACGACCGCCACCCGGAGGATCTAAATTTCAATGGAAAGTCCTATTGTTCTTCTTAGCTTTCTGGGTCTGTTTAGTCAATTATTATGAGAAACTTGTAGTAGACAGGGTCATCAAGAGATGTAGTTGGGATACATGGGAGCAATGGGAAGTGGGCCAGAGGCCACATCGTGTAATGCTTCTAGCAGATCCCCAGATCATGGATGCGCACTCTTATCCGGGCAGGCCCAAACTTGTGAACTATTTCACTAAAAAAATTCTGGATCACTATCACGCTCGAAATTGGAATCATCTTCAAGCATCTCTTGATCCCGATTCTACTTTCTTCTTAGGTGACCTTTTCGATGGAGGCAGGAGATGGAGTGACGATGACTGGATGAATGAATACCAAAGGTTCAACAATATTTTCCGAAAAAGGAGTAACAAGCTTACGGTAATGTCACTTCCAGGAAATCATGATATCGGTTTTGGTGACACCGTTGTTGAACGCAGTTTAAACAGATTCAGTCAATATTTCGGTGAGTGTAACTCCATGTGGGACATCGGAAATCACACCATTGTCCTGTTAGATACAATCTCACTATCTGACACCGCAAATTCGAATATATCGGATGTTCCCAGACAGTTTCTTGATCGAATTGCAACTATGGAACCATCAAATCCAAGAATCATGCTAACTCACGTACCTTTGCATCGTGATCCCTTACTGCAACAGTGCGGTGATTTGAGAGAGTCTCAGAAGCCTTTCCCGCTTCAAAGAGGTATTCAGTATCAAACTGTCATTGATAAGGACTTAACAGAAGAGGTTCTATCAAAAATTCAACCCACGCTGGTTTTCTCTGGCGACGATCATGATTTTTGCCACATATCGCATGGGTATGAAATTGGTGGCATCAAAATGGAAGCGGATGAAATCACGGTGAAGTCTTGTGCGATGAACATGGGGATTTCACGGCCCGCTATCCAGCTTTTATCTCTCAACAATCCGGTGCATAAAACGATTGGAAAGACGTATGAGACTGAAATATGCTTTCTCCCTGATCCTTACAAACCCATAAAAGTCTACATTTTCGCTTTCATACTTACATCAGGGATCATGGCATGGATTCAATTATTCCCTTTTTCGTTCTGTAGAACGTTTGATTTATTTTTGGGCCAAATTTCGGTTGGCGGCTATCCACTGCTCCCCGTCGTGACAAGGCCAAAACAAAATTCGTCTGCAAATGAACTAAAAAGTCAAAAGATCCAAGGACTATTGATTAGTCAGGCCGTGATGGTATTGCTCATAACACTGATCTTCATGCTTTCATAGAGTTTTCGAAGTAACTATATTTTGAGATTTAGCTTAAACTTGGTGACAAAACTTTCATTGTTAAAGTCTTCTCGCCTGTAGACATATTCCGTAATAGTACTACGCTCCACCTTTAGTAAATGCCCCTCTTTCATTAATGACTCTAAGAGATCCGGTTGAACCGAAAAGAGATTTGCTAGCTCTCTGAGTGTAGCAAAACAATCATTGAGTTCTGATATGTTCCACGGCTCGATGGCATTTTGAATTCCGATTATATCTTTTGTTACTATAATACCACCCATGGAGTTGACCTGGAACTTCTTGTAATGTTCTAGTAGAATATTGAAAAGACGTCGTCCTACTGTGACATAAAAAACCCTCAAATTGTCGTTTTTCAGAAACACTGATACTTGCGTCGATATTTTCATCAAATCTGATATTATTTCAGAGGCTGGCAGAGTATCCTGATCCAAAATGTCTTGACTGCGAGGTAAAAAATCTTTCTTCTTTTGCTTAGATAAAGAATAAGCGAACCTTCTGGAACAAACCTCAATCGTCTCTTCGATGATTAGACTTGACATGAGCTCGCAGCGCTTCAAAAATGAATTCGTCAAGGAAATTACATCCTTTTTGATTGCTGAAGTATTGCCTAAAAGTGGAAGAACAACCGTCTTAATGGACGTGGATACCAAGCTTAGCATTTCAGTAGATTTTGTCACGTACTCCAAATGAGACAAGTTAACGGCTTTATCTTTGGTCATGTCAGACTTTAAAAGTAAATGAAACGAGACCTCCAAACCACATTCAATGTAAGAACCTACTGTACCTGATAATAGAATTTCCACTAAACTCAAGCAGAACTGATAGCTGTGGCCTGGGATCAATTCCATAGCCCTGGCTATCGATTCCACGGCACACTTCATCATACCGTCAACAATTTTTAGGGAAAACTTATCATCTTCTGCTGTCTGCTGTTCGCTAACGTCATATCCCTGATCGCTCATTTTGGCCATGCCTTTCTTGTCTCTCTCAGAATAATGCTTGAAAAGATTATTGAAATGCGTAAATCTGCCAGATGTTGACCGATTTGAAGCAAGAGGATCTGCTTCGTCAACATGCTGAGGTATACTGAGTAGTTTGCTAGATAACGTGCCAGATCGAATTTCCTTCTCATGCGCATTTAAAAAAGATGAACATTTTCTTGTCATTATGCTCTCCAGACTCCTTTTTTCGAGAACCGCGTAGTTTGTCAAATCATTGATCTTTGAAGATAAAATCTCTGCATTGCAATGCTCCAAGGTTGCAACAATGAGCCCGCTTCTTTCAATCCTCGAATTTTGGAAGAAATCACAAAGATCTTTACTGAAATGGTGAAGCAAGGAGTATACTGCATGTAACATTCTAGCGTATGCGAGGTTCGAAACCGTCAAAGACGCACTCAACAAGTATTCAACATTGAACTGAATTTTCTGCGCGTAAATCCTTTGAATAAAAAGTTGCATGACTTGCTGAGATTTCACTTCAAAAACTTTCAGCACAATTTCCGACTCCTCCTTTACAACTCCTTTAATTGTTTCTAACTTTTCAACTATACCAGGCTCGTAAAACGGCCCGTGGCAATCAGGGTTACCTAATTCTTCTTTGAAGGTTTGGCTGAAGGTGACATGTTTATCGTGATCAAGTTGGCCTTCGTCCAAGAAATATTCATGCTGATTGATGAAACTTTGAATGACGTTGACGCCACCATTTAGCCGATCAAGAATGAGGGCGATTCTGCTCAATTTCTCAAAGTCATTTTGACGATACGCTGAATTGAACTCTATGAGCAGCTCATTTTCCATGATCTCGGATCGTTTTTCTATATTGGACGTCGTTTCTAAGCTTCTAGTCATTGCCCTTGTTTCGATCTTTTTTGTCAATAAAAGTAGGTTTCTCATTATGGTAGCAGCTTTTGCCTTAAGCTCCCAGTCCTCTGCTCTTCTTAAAGCTTCGAGCTCCTTAGAGTGACCCTTTTGGTAGAACATAGAATAATGAGACAATAAATCAGTGGAGTTGATGTATATGTTTTTACGTTTTATGGCCTTTTCAAGCTGCTCACCCAAGGGAGACACAGATTGACTAACCGTACTCAGACTTTCATCCAATTCAGCGCAATGATTGACTATTGTTCTCAGCTTTTGTGATAGTAACATAACGCGATTCGCATGTATAAGTTCCTGCCGAGATACGTCTCGCTCAAGCTGCTCTCTTTCATTGCCTGTTTCATTTTGCAGTTTTTTGAGTTCCCTCAAGGTTGATTCGAAGGTCCGCACATATGGTTTGGGGTCCAAATGTTCCCATGTATTTGTTGCAGCTGTGTTCTTCAGTGAGTAGTCCTCACTGATCTCTTGCACGTATTCATGAACCGTAAGACCACCCAAAAAATTATCAGATGTCAGAAGGCGCTTCCATTTCGGATCTAGCTGATAGAGGGAGTTCATGTCTCATCAGCTACCTTACCGATACTGCTATATAGCAAGATACGCTGTTTATCACTTCGAAAAATTACCACATCGTCAACCTCGATATACTTAAATTTAGCGATCGTTGAAAGGAAACACGAGTGGCTAACCACATACTGAAATTGGGCAATGGATAGAGGAAATGTCAACGTTGAGGATGCCAATGTGGACGAGCTGATTGATTCACTGGAGACTGATGAAGAATTTATGTCAAATTACAGAGAAAAGCGCTTGCAAGAAATCTCTGACGGGTTCAAGTCTGCCCAGAAAAATGTGGCAGCCGGTTATGGTACAGTCAATACTATAACCGGTGAGTCGGAGCTCATGCGACTTGTGACCGCGACAGAAAAGATCGTTGTGCATTTTTATCTAGAAAATTTCGAAAAGTGCACCATCATGGACAAGAAATTGGACGAAATCGCTTGCAGAAATCTCTCGACGCGATTCGTTCGCATAAACGTAACTCAATGCCCTTTTCTAGTTAAAAAGCTAGATATCAAGGTTCTCCCCCTGCTTATTGCATACGATCGTGGGGTCAAGAAGGATCAATTGATAGGCTTCTCCAAATTGGGTAATAATCCAAGTGATTTCGAAGCCGAACTGCTTGAAGAACGGTTACGTGCTTGCGGCATAACACCGAAAAGCGAAAATACGCTGAGATTCTCAACCAGAGGCTCGAAAGGGCGAGGCATTTTGTTTGAAGAAGACGATTGACTTCTTTGACTGCTTAAATCCAGACATCACAGGTACACTTTTTTTTATTTTTTTTATCAAAAAAATCGAAAAATACCGAAAAATATCGAAAGGCTCTGAACCCAAGCAGACTGAACTGAAAAATGGTAAAGTAGGATGGCCCGAGCAGAATGGTTTCATCATCTCTTTTAACAGAATAAGCAAACTTGGTAAGAAAGAAGCATTCGTTTGCCGACAAACCAGGATGCAGATTTTTGTCAAGACCCTTACGGGTAAGACTATCACCTTAGAGGTTGAATCTTCTGACACCATCGACAATGTCAAGTCCAAGATCCAGGACAAGGAAGGTATCCCACCTGACCAGCAAAGATTGATCTTCGCTGGTAAGCAATTGGAAGATGGAAGAACTTTGTCCGACTACAACATTCAAAAGGAATCCACCCTGCACTTGGTCTTGAGATTGAGAGGTGGTGGTAAGAAGAGAAAGAAGAAGGTCTACACCACCCCAAAGAAGATCAAGCACAAGCACAAGAAAGTCAAGTTGGCTGTCTTGAACTACTTCCAGGTCGACGCCGAGGGTAAGGTTACCAAGTTGAGAAGAGAGTGTCCAAACTGTGGTGCCGGTGTCTTCTTGGCTAACCACAAGGACAGACACTACTGTGGTAAGTGTCACTCCACCTTCAAGATCAAGACTGAAGCCTAAATTTTTTAGTTAAGATTAAGTTGTTTAGTATTATAATGATCATTTTCTTGAATTGTGTTATTTGGCGCTCAAAATAAGACAGGTTTGGATGAGGGTTTCTGCCATTGGCATGTTGCCGCTGAACCTATCTGGGTTAACAAGAATTTAAAAATGTTGCAATTTATTGTACAAATGTATGCCTGATCGATGCTATTGAGGATTTTATACATGAAAATCTTATCTTGGTTCTTTAAACTTGAGTCCTATTCGCTTTTTGACTCAATTGTATGACCAAGCTCTTTAATTGTTCGTTTTCTTGCAGAAGATGAGCGCGGCGACATTCGCTCTCCTTCAACTTTGTGACACTTTTCTTCAGATCGATGCATGATTTTGCGTACGCATCTCTTAGGAAATTGAAATTCAGCAAGAGTTTGTGGGTACTTATCATCCGCCTTTTGGTCTCTGCAACCTGTGCAGCCAGAAATTCCTTGGTCATTGGTCGTGTTCCCTCTCCCACGATTTCTTGATGCGTATCACCAATTCTTTTGGTCTCGGCAGAAGGGCTGACTTTCATACCGCGAGCGACCGATTTTGATCCACTCATAACATCCTTGCCATCTTTCTTAAGCCTTTCCAGCGAACCGTTATCAGAAAACGGAGATAACGACTCTGGGGACAGAGACTCATATAGAGTTCCTGTCTTTCTTATGCCCTGCTGCATCTGCCCCTGCCCGTGAGAGTCCTCAAAGGTGCGCTTTTGAGGTAATAAGGGAATTCCATGGAGCATAGTCTCCTTTAAAATGTTTTCAACGGTTAAGCTGTTAATACTCTGTTCAGCAACGGTGGAACCCATTCTGCTCTCTCTCGACTCTTCGTGGAGGTCGGGCATTTCCATCTCAGTGATAGCCTTTTCAATTGCATTTTCAAACTCGTAACTACCCTCAGCAAGATCGTGTTGATGAGCCTCAGAGACAGCAGTGCTTTCCTGGTGTCCCTGTGTCAAAAGTTTATGCAGAGTGAGCTCGAGGTCGGCATCGTGATCCAGATCTTCCCGCTTTAGAAAAGATTCTTGATCGACGTCTTCGATTTCAACAGTTCGCGGACAGGGCTGCTGAACCTTCATGTAACTGTTCTCCGTGGTTGTGTATTAACGTATATTATGCCGCCTTCACTGGCTCATCGCATCACTTCACAAACCAAAATTTTTCAGTATCTTCTCTAGAACCATAGCTTTGGAAAAAAAAAGAAAAAAAGAAAAATATTCTTGTAGACTTGTGAAATGAAATACCGTAATTTGATTGCTGAGATTTTTGAACCGAGAAGCCTTAAGGTCAAATGCAATTTGTTACTAAAGAATGTGTATAAATAATTAATCTTGAAGCCTTGAATCGAGAAAGTTCAAAACGGCATAAATGCTAAAGTTCACGCTAAAATAGGATGATAGAAGAGCCAAGGCGGCAAGTCTCGATGTGTTCGTAAGTTCCTCGCTTACGAGCTCTTGGTAAATGCTTTTCGAATCTCAGAGTAGTTGCCACTAAGAAACGACGACTCGTGGCGCGTCCCCTTAGGCAAGTCTTCTGTAACGGCTTTGAAGTCCTCAACTGTTTCATTTATTTTGTCCACGAGAGAAGACCCTATGTCGTCAACAAGAGATTCGCTAATATTCCAGCGTTCGCTTAACGTTTCTAGCACGGTGTCGAATCCGCGTTTGCCTTTCAGAGCATTTTCGTGAAATCTGTTCACAGACCACTCCTCGATTTTGTTACACAGCTTGGAAATTCCAGCATATGCAGTGATTTTTGCTTCTTGCTCAAATAACGTCTTTTTTGAATCACGCGGATGAGGACTGTACTTCACAGTCTCGAATACCTTTAGAATGTTGGCGCACGTCAGGTTGCAGCTTCTCAAAGTTAGCGTCTTGGTATCAAGGTCTACAACGGAAACTTCCCGCACGTAGCTTACGTTACATCCCCCTATCAGCATCGATATCCATTTTGGCACAGATTGTTCGCATGTTATGAGCCTTTCGCTTATGAGTCTTCTGCCTGAAGGGTCAAGCTCTCGACGGAGCACATCCACTGCTTTTACATGCGTGGACGCTTCGTTCGGATACTTTCTCCAATTTGCGGCGCTCAGCTGTTCCCACGGGTACTCGAATTCACTGACGTTGTTGAAAAGCTTCATTGAGATAAGTTTTGTACCGGGCGGCGTGACGAATCAAGCTGTGGTTTTAGTATTGATCGCTATTCGTTTTATACTTTTGCCATCACATTTCTTTTCTTCAATGTCGATAACTCCGACTAGCCGTCGCTTGCGTACAGAATGATAACTGGAGCCGTTTTAAAAACCGAAATGAGAAGGGAAGAATATCACCAGATGTGGTCAAGGAGCATCGCTTTACATTGCTTGCTTGAATATCAAAACTTTTAGTTGAAAATGTATTTAGGCTTTTTGAAAACTGTGAGGTTGAGGCAGTTTCGTAAAACGCCAGTCACCTTGATGGTGTGAGCTCTTCCTGCCCGTAACGCTTGATGCACGAGGCTTGCAAATCATAGTTATCATGTTGAGAAACGCCTTGCGCTTCGAAAAAGGGTTCCTTTGTGACGGCTTGATGACATAACAAAAAGTAGAGTTTGATGAAGTTGCCCTTAGGTACTCATGCGTGGTTTGTTGTGTAGCACTTAAGGCAATGTGATAGTTCAATAGCACCAGAGGATATATCATCGTAAGACCACAGTAAATGATTATGAGCACGGCCACCGGCGCGTCCCGAATATGATCAACATAACGACTATGGACGACCCCACAGGCTATGCCGCACACCGCTGTACCTACAGCAGAGAGCAGAAACGCGAGAAAGTATCGGTAGTTGCGCTGTCCAATACAATTGTTAACCCACACACAATGATGATCATGCGTTAGGACGCATTTGTTACAAGTGGAGCAATGTGAGGCGCGGGGTGGTCTCCAATTGCGGCAAGTGGTGCAGTACTTGATTTCGACGTTACGACCATCACTACAGGGTGCTGGCAGAGTGATGACGTTAAAATAGTCATCTGGAAGGCTAAAGTCAGAATCGATCAAAGGCACATGAATGTTTCTCGGGAGTGCCCCTGGATCACTCAAGGCAGTTCTGAGAAACGACGAAAAACACGATAACCAAAAGTAATAGAAAAGGACGACGCATACGCCGGCCCCTTTCCCTGTCTCATAAACACTCCTTGCCTCAAAGATTGAAAAAAGGACAAGCGGCACGATAATCAGAACAACAACAAACAGAAGCGGGAGATTGGCGCCACTGAATGTCCGAACTTTTTCTACCAGCAAGGGAAATTTATAAGCTGTCTTAGGTTTCCATTGGCTCAAAAAAGAGCATCTTTGCATTTCATTGATCTTAAAAGCCTCGTAACAATGCGAACACTAGACGCCGGGCGACAACTTGATAGATGCAGCGCTGTTTTCTTGGTTTTTCTTGATCGCCAACGACTTGTGATAATAAGCTTCAATTTTGTTTTTTTTCGGCTTTATACATCAAACGGCACTGGACAAATCTCTTCGGAAACTAATCGATTTCCAGCTGGGATTAATGACTCCATTGTGAAGAATGAATAATTGTGGATCATGCTGGATCATGAACTTTGAACTACTAACCACAACTGAGAATTTGAAAAATTCACTTTCTTGTCTTTGCGCTCCGCTCCATTTTTGGACTGAGAGCGTGCTAGTGTTTTTCCTCGTTAACGAAAAAGTATGTACAAAGATCAAATGACTCCTTCTAAATTCTTGGCTTCTATATGTTCTATAAGAGTCGAGAATTTGCTCCTAGTAGCCAAGCTCCATTACTCTCCAAGTCGTTATCATTGTATAGATCTAGAGTGAACTTAGGCTTTCGGTAGGACGTATTCTCCGTGGGTTTTGCAATGGAATCCGAAGGGTGAGACCCCGCGGATTCCGCAGGTTTGCCATCGTGTTCATCATTATCATCGTAAACTTGTAAATCAAGATTTATGGTTCCAGCGGAAAGAGCCATTGAAGACCTTCCTCCCGCACGAGCTGTCAGTGTTGACGTTGAACCACTGCCTAAAACTGATGTTCCCTCTTGCCCAAATTCGTCATCGACTCTAGTACCTGACATGAGCATGTCTTCTTGGTCTAGTGCCTGGGCTTCCGGAGGTATTACTTTATTACTTCTAAAATGAAGCGCCAAAAAATTGCCCTTTGGCCTTTCTAATAGCGAGTTTACTAGATCACCTGCGGCTAGCTTATCTTTGCTTGACGCTAGTTCATTCCCTGATTCCAGCAGTTTTGAAAAAGTGCCAGGTAAAATGTTGATGTTTTCCAAAGAGGTCCGAGAGCTACTGTTGCTTGACGAAGGAGAAGATATGCGAGAGTAGAACTCTGGAGGAATAAGACCATTGCTAACCTGATCCTTGCCAGGCCAAAATAGTTTCTTCGACTTCCTTGGAGCAGTGCTTATCGTCCCCTCAAATTGCCCGTCATGAACGTAGATATTAGCATACTCGCCGTCGTCCCGCATTTTGATACCAGCGTTTACGTTTCCATTATCGCCGTAAGGACAGTCATCAGGAGTGGGACTTCTGACTTCGCGAGAAAATGGAACATTAAGGGCGGGATCCATAAGGCTAAGAGAACGAAACCTTCGCCTTGTTGTATCTCCTGCTCGAACAGATTCCGCAGAAAAATCTGTATCGGATCCGCACCGAGATAACCTGCTCGGTACGGAGAAACTTAGACCATCGTCATCGCCCCCACCCTCATCTTCAACGTCACCGTCGTCATCATCGTCTTCCTCATAGTCATTAGGGGTGGCTTCATCTCCGCCGGTGCCATATGCCATATTACCGCCGTTAGTACTCAAGCTGGGAGATTTTCTGGACAACAAAAATGATCTCACTTTAACTGACTTATCTTTGTTGGAGGTAAGAAGAGAATTTTGGAAACTTAGCAAAGAGGACGACTCCCGTTTTAGAGGCCTGTCATCTTCGCTATCAGTATTTACCGCCTCAAGGGCGCGGTGCTTTTCTGGCAGAGCATTATTATGGAGAGCGTCCAGAGAGGCTTGAGATAAAACGCTTGTCAAGGGTTTATCCGATAAGATTGTCAGTAGCGCTTTGACGCCTGTGTTATTGGTGATTATTATAATGGAGTCTCCGTTCGCAGAATGTGCTTTGCTCGTGAACTTCTCATTCAGTTTGGTATAGTACTCTTTGAACGGCGTGGTGGACGATGAAACCAAGTTGTAATTGCCTATTAATTCGAAATTCAGCACAGAACTGTCGAGAAGCTCCTTGTCGAAAAAAGTTTTGAACCAAATCAGGGAAGTGGGGGTCACTTGGATTTTGAAAGTCACTCTCACTTTGTTGTTGCCTCTAAATTTTTCCCAGCATCGATCCACTAGGAACCTTATGGTCTCCACGTAACGCAGAGCGCCACTGGAAGAGACAGAAAGCTCAAAGGTGACAGGTCGTTTTTCAGCGTCGGGAACAGAACGGGTAACCAGGTCCCATAGAGCCCGGTTATTTTCTGCGATTGTCGACAGAATCAAATCTCGCATCTTGTGGATTTTGAATTTTTTATTAATTTTTGACAGTTTGAAGTGCCGCAGCTCATCGTTGTAGTAGTCAATTGTCGGAATATCGATGTAGAGCGAAACGTTGAAGCGTCTCACCTTCATTTTGGAGCTTTCAGCCTCATCCTGAGACGCAGCATCGCAATAAGTCAAAAGAAATAATGAATCGACTCGCTCGACCTTCACTTTCTGGCGGTCGTTTAGAGTTGTCTGTGAAGTAAGGCCTTCTCTATCCCTTGAAAAAGAAGTTGCCTGATTGTGCTCCTCCATCATGGTATGCGATAATGGTTAAAGCGCATAGGGACTTCTGGACTTCTTATATCATTCGCTAATATCGATGACTTTTGTGAGGCTAACTGCTAGAAAATCTTTGAAGCGGGAAATTTTTTTGGACAAGATCGAACCTTCTAAGATGTAATATAAATCATGTGCTATCTAAAACACAGCTTGCACACGTGACGTCACATTCTCTTATTAATGCCCTTGAGACAGAAGCCTTCAAGGCCAACGGACAGCCTACATCGATCCCATTCGATCACTGATAATCAGTCAGAACACAAGGAGAGCTCTCCCATGTTTACTTTACGAAAAGTTTACAAAGAAAAATATACATGATTTCATTTAGTTCATGACCAAGTCTTTGATAGGAAAAAGACAGGATCATAGCATGGGCGCATGCTGTTCGTAGTTTAAGTCATCGAAAACAAAGTTTTCAAAAACCGGGCTGTTATCAAATTGGTGATCGCTATGCATGCAGCCAAATAAAAGGGGTTTGTTTGAAGTGAGAAGCAGTTTTCCGAACGATATTCGCTATACGCAGAAAGGAGAAAAGAAGCGTTTTAAATAATGTCGGAAGAAGTGCCAACTGAGCAATACAAAGCGTTGACGCAAAAGGCGCTGGAAGCTAGAGATGCGTCTTACTCACCCTATTCGAAGTATCGTGTTGGTTGCTGTATTCTCACGAAAACCGGCGAATTCATAAGTGGAGCCAATGTCGAAAATGCGAGCTACGGCGGCACCATTTGTGCCGAACGCACGGCAGCGGTTAAGGCTGTCACCTCAGGCCATGCCGACGACTGGGTGGCCGTTGCCATCGCTGGAGACTCTCTCAGCAATTGCATCTCGCCATGCGGTATCTGCAGACAAGTGTTGCGCGAATTTCTGCCTCGTCCGGCACCTATCGTTATGCTCAATGGGGATGCGTCTCGCCAGGTTGTAAGATCGCTAGAAGAACTGCTGCCGCTAAGTTTCGGGCCAGATGACTTGAACGAAGCCTAGGTCACCGACGTAATCACGGAAACGTCAGCTAATTGCTTACACAGAGCGGGGGAATGGTAATTTATATACAAGGTGGTGAGCTTGACTTCAAGCGGTTGATGAAGCTCTGCCGATGACTGTCGAGCGAAGACCATGATCTTCAACGAGGCCGGCAGAAAGTCCTACGAGTCTTTGCTTTTGTGGTAGGAATCCAAAAAGCACTGATATCTATCACCGCTACGAAATAAAAATTGTTATGTAGTGTCGTTCAACATTGTCACCAGATTCCATTTCTCGATTTTCAGGTTCATTTTTCTAAAGAAATTTTCAAAAACCTCGAACTCATCGTCATGACATTTCCATCTCGGACTTCAAAAAAAACATGATAGCTTCGAACTCTTTCTGCTCAGACTTGCAGTGTGGCAAAAGCACGACTTCTGGTCTCAAATGTCCAATTTGTTTGAAGCAAGGAAATAGTTTGGTCTTTTGCAATGAAGCATGCTACAAGAACAGTTACAAGGCACACAAGGCTCTGCATTGGAAAGACGACAAACCTGATTCATACGACCCTTTTCCAACGTTCAAGTACTCTGGTAAGCTGAGGCCAGCATATCCTCTGTCGCCAAGGAGATTAGTGCCCGATGAAATCATGAAACCTGAGTGGGCAGCAAATGGGCTTCCAGTCAACGAGCAGAAGAACGACTACCTCAACAAAATCATCATTTACAATAAGGAGGAAATAAAGAAGATCAGAAAAGCCTGCATGCTTGGACGCGAAGTTTTGGATATCGCAGCTGCTGCAGTCAAGCCAGGCGTAACGACTGACGAGATCGATGAGATTGTTCACAACGAGACCATAAAAAGAAATGCGTATCCATCGCCACTCAACTATTACAATTTCCCCAAGTCTGTCTGCACCTCTGTGAACGAAGTCGTTTGCCATGGAATTCCCGACCAGACGGTGTTGAAAGAAGGCGACGTGGTCAACCTTGACGTCTCATTGTACTACCAAGGATTTCATGCCGATTTGAACGAGACGTACTATGTGGGCGAGGATATTCCAAAGTCAACGATTAACGTTGTCGAGACTTCTAGGGAATGCCTCAAAACCGCTATCAAGCATTGCAAGCCAGGAACGACTTTCCAGGAATTAGGAGACTACATTGAAAAACATGCTACCGACAACAAGTGCTCCGTGGTGAAGACATATTGTGGACATGGCGTTGGTCGATTTTTTCACTGTTCTCCAAATATTCCTCACTACGCTGGAAACCGGACATCAGGAGTCATGAAACCTGGAATGGTATTTACGATAGAACCAATGATCAATGAAGGGGCATGGCAAGATATAAGTTGGCCAGACGATTGGACAGCCGTGACAAAAGATGGGAAAATCAGTGCTCAATTCGAACACACACTTTTGGTTACCGAAAATAGCGTTGAGATCCTCACCGCAAGAAACAAAAAATCTCCAGGTGGGCCAAGACAAAGAATTAAATAAGAAAGTACCATAATTACCTATTCTAAGTCTTTTGAAGTCTTGGAGCATATTACTATTCGAGCCTTGCCTTTGACCTTTTTTCATGATTTTGGTCGGGTAAGCTAATAGTGGCAAATTGAAAATTTTTGGCGCTCTGGATTAAACATCTAACGTATCAATACTTACAAGTGGTGGTAGAATAGTGTTAAATCCTATTGTCGACTAGCTTCAATGTCTCTGCAATTACTCAACCCGAAAGCCGAGTCCTTGAGGAGGGATGCGGCCCTCAAGATCAACGTCACTTCGGCGGAGGGGCTACAATCTGTTCTCGAAACCAATTTGGGACCCAAGGGAACCCTCAAAATGCTTGTAGATGGTGCCGGAAACATTAAGCTGACCAAGGATGGAAAGGTATTGTTGACCGAAATGCAAATACAGTCGCCAACGGCTGTCATGATCGCTCGAGCAGCTGCAGCACAAGATGAAATAACAGGTGACGGAACTACTACTGTGGTTTGTCTCGTGGGTGAGCTCTTGAAGCAAGCTTATAGATTTATTCAGGAAGGTGTCCATCCAAGAATGATCACAGATGGCTTTGAAATCGCCCGGCAAGAAACTCTCAAGTTTTTAGAATCTTACAAGATGTCAAAAGAAGAAAGCGAGAGCCTAGATAGAGAATTCTTGCTTCAAGTAGCAAGAACGTCTCTGTCAACCAAGGTTACACCAGAGCTATCTGAGGTATTGGCACCCATAGTCACTGACGCTGTCTTGACTGTTTATAATGGCGAGAACAAATCTCTGGATCTGCACATGATTGAGATTATGCAGATGCAGCATTTGTCAACAACGGATACCAAATTCATAAGAGGATTGGTCTTAGATCACGGTGGGAGACATCCTGACATGCCATCTCAAGTAAAGAACGCACACATCCTGATCTTAAACGTTTCTTTGGAGTACGAAAAGACTGAAGTGAACTCCAGTTTTTTCTATAGTACTGCTGATCAGAGAGACAAACTAGCCGCTAGTGAGAGAAAATTTGTGGATGACAAGTTGAAGAAAATTGTTGACTTGAAAAATGAGGTCTGTGGACTCGACTCAGATAAAGGTTTTGTCGTCATAAATCAAAAGGGTATTGACCCGATGTCTTTGGACGTTTTAGCGAAGCACAACATTTTGGCTTTGCGTAGAGCCAAAAGACGTAACATGGAAAGGCTGCAACTTGTCACAGGTGGAGAAGCTCAAAACTCGGTTGATGATTTGACTCCGTCTATTCTGGGATATTCAGGTCTTGTGTATCAAGAAACCATTGGGGAAGAAAAATTCACTTATGTTACTGAGACCAAAGACCCGAAGTCCTCCACAATTCTTATAAAAGGAGCGACGCATTATGCTCTAAGTCAGACAAAGGACGCCGTGAGGGATGGTTTACGTGCCGTGGCCAATGTCTTAAAAGATCAAGCGGTTGTTCCTGGTGCCGGTGCCGCTTTCATGGCTGCTTCGCACCATCTCAAAAACATTAACTACAATAAGCTTGGTGCCAAGGGCAAGAAGAAATCTGGTATTGAGGCTTTTGCGGAGGCACTTCTGATTATTCCAAAAACCTTGGTGAAAAATTCCGGCTATGACCCTCTCGATGTCCTAGCACTTTGCCAGGATGAACTCCTGGAGGATCCCAGTAGAATAGTGGGGGTCAATCTACTTGTTGGAGATTCATGCGATCCAACGGTTGAGGGTATATGGGACTCTTATAGAGTCATACGCAACGCCTTGACCGGCGCCAGCGGAATTGCAAGTAATTTACTTCTTTGTGATGAGCTGCTTAGAGCAGGTAGATCGACATTGAAGGAGGGCCCACCTCAATAGTATTTAGCATAACTTTTGAAAAGTATCCTTTACAGATTTTCAGAAATGTAGAAACATCGAGAAGAAGCTCTGAATTGAGCATCGAACTAGTCAATAATTGTTGATCCGTAATGCAGGGCATTATGAACGAAATAGTCATGCTGAAATTTATTCGAGAACCCTTCCCTGTGGTCCACAGCTGCGAGGAACGAAGAAGTCATCATTAGAGCCTGCAAGAAGCGAAAAGGATGATGGTTGAAGCCAATGTTAGTTTAAGAGATCGCCAAAAGGGTAAGTTCGGGTTTCAATTTTTTTTGGACGCAATAAGTCACTAACAATTCCCCACAGCGTCCATTGAGAAAATGCTCATGTTCAATAAAGAGACCTCTTCGGCCGACATACTATCAGGACTGAATGACCAAGAAATGATCTGGAAAGTTTTGATACTTGATTCAAAAAGCACCGCTATAATCTCCTCCGTCATGCGTGTCAACGACTTATTGAAGTCAGGAGTGACGATTCATAGTTTGATACACCAGAAGAGGTCACCTCTTCCCGACGTTCCAGCGGTTTATTTTCTAGAGCCCACTCCCACCAACCTTGACCTTATTGTTCAAGATCTGACAGAGGACAAGTATTCCGAAATTTATATCAATTTCAGCTCCCATTTGAGCAGAGATCTTTTGGAATACTTTGCGGAGCGCGTATCCGTTACAGGCAAAGCGGAGAAGGTGATGCAGGTATTTGACCAATACACCAATTTCATTGTTACAGAGCCCGAACTGTTCTCCCTTGAATTAAATGAGGTCTACCGAACTATTAACGATCCCGAAGTCAGCGAAGAAGAAATTGGTAAAATCTGCGATACCGTCGCGGATGGTATATACAACGCGGTACTAACGATAGGTTCGATACCAATTATAAGAGCTCAGAAAGGTGGACCGGGCGAGCTGGTGGCACAGAAACTCGAGAGCAAGCTGAGAGACTACGTGATAAACACAAGAAGTAATGTTGACTCTATTGATAACTCCCTTGATCGCTTTGTTCTCATCATTCTTGATCGAAACATCGATATTGCCTCAATGTTTGCACACTCCTGGATTTATCAATGTTTGGTATTTGATGTATTTCAACTTTCTAGAAATACGATCACGGTGCCTGTGAATAAAGAAGATGAGAATGCGTCCCAGAAGAAGTTAGACATTGATCCGAATGACTTCTTTTGGACAGCAAATGCACATCTTCCATTCCCAGATGCTGTAGAAAATGTCGAGAAAGCTTTGGCTGATTACAAAGCTCAGGTAGAAGAAATTACGAGAAAAGCGGGCGTCAGTGAGCTAAGTGAGCTTGATCCCGCTTCGAATAATGATACACTGCTAATGCAAGAAGCTGTCAGTAAATTGCCTCAGCTGACTGCAAGAAAAAGTGTCATAGACACTCATATGAGTGTTTTAGCGGCACTTCTCTCTAGGTTGGAAAATAACGGTCTGGACGCTTTTTTTGAACTTGAACAAAGTCAAGATTCACCAAAAACGCGTCAACGGTTTCTCGGCACCCTAAAAGACGGTAAAACTAACAATCTGAGTGATAAACTTCGGACCTTTTTGATTCTTTACTTAACATCAACGACGGGTCTTCCGGCAGACTTTGTAAAAAGGGCGGAGGGCTATTTCGAAGAAAACAATTTTGATATTAGTGCATTGAAGCACGTCTACAGGTTACGGGAAATAATGAAGCTGTCCACAATGTCACTGCAAAATAAGACTTTAGGAGGCTCTGAATCTCGTGACGCCGCTGCTTCCTCTCAAACGAATACTTCTATGTTACTTTCGGGATTATCCAATAAACTTTACGGTTTAACAGAAGGGAAGATACAGGGAGGTGTCGATTCCCTGATCTCTGGAATCAAAAACTTTTTACCAGAGAAAAAAACAATTCCTATTAGCAACGTCGTTGAGGCAATAATGGATCCTCTGAACAGCTCTCAAAAGAATTTAGAAACCACCGACGATTATCTTTATTTTGATCCTAAAATCTTCAGAGGTTCACATTCAAAAAAGCCTAAAAGGCAATCCTACAACAAGTCTTTGGTTTTTGTTGTAGGCGGTGGTAACTATTATGAGTATCAAAATCTACAAGAATGGGCGCACTCACAACAAAGCAACAAGAAAAAGGTGATATACGGCAGCACGGCCTTAAGGACACCAGAGGAATTTTTGAAAGAGATTTCAGATTCAAAATGACCTGAGTAAGCTTTGCAAATGGGCCATCAGTCTCTAGCGAAGGACAATAAAAGCTTCTCAGAGAATTTGATAAATGACGAAGGGAGGCTAATTATTACAGGCTCGACATAATATGAGTAATTACATAAAATTCTTTGCCGACTCCAAGATTGTTGTTGATCTTTTGGCGTCGAGGAACAAGATTTTTGCTTCATTAACATCATTTACAGTAATCTCAGAGCGTCCACCTGATTGGGCCAAAATTCCAGATGGTGATAGAAGTTGAAGAGCATAACGCAGCGAAGTCTCCGAGCCCATGGATGCCAGAAGATCAAGAGATTCTTGTGCCACTTGTAGATTCTCAACGAGGGATCTTCTTTCTATGATAGTGCGAATTTCGTTTTTAGAATAAGGAAGAGTGCGCACAATGAGCAATCTGTCGACGAGATCTGGTGGTACACCATGTGGCGATACGATATCGTCCGTTCCACGAACTGTTGTCAGGCCTCTATTGGACGCAAGAACAACAATTGGGGCGATCTCGGATTCCAAAGCACTGTTTAGATATGTGAAAATCTCGATATCTAGCATGTTTACCTCGTCAATAAACAGAACACCTGGGATGAGTTCAGCAACACCTTGGTCAATATATTTGGCCACGACTTTGTTCACTTCAAGTCTCAGTTTTTCGGTAATTTCAGTTTTTTTGGGCTTCATCAACTGGCCCATCATAGACAAGACATCTTGACCGCCTTGAGGCCTAGCGTTGGCTACATCTAGGTCATGCAGCGTCACGTCTTGGACAATTTCCTTTTTCTTGTGCACCTCTCCTTTTGGAAGCGGAACGTACTCCTCGGCTTCTAGATCAAACTCTGTCGCGTAAGCATCGGACCTTCCTACACGCTTGACAGCGCCGGTGTTCGCCTCGACGTATATCACGTCTCCAACGCTTACGTTCTCTCTCTCGATGCTTTCATAGACAGTTGGATCTAGTCTCAAAGTCTTGGTGCCCTTAGCCGACTTCAATCCTATGATCACATGAGAGATGGTCTTACCATACCCACCCAGCGGATTTTCTGCGCTTTGAGGAGTGAGCTCCGTCACTTCTCCCTCGTAAACTTCCTTGATCTCTTTAATTCTGAGCCCAATGGCTCTTCTGAAGTTCTCCATCAAAGCTTCGGTCTTCTTTACCTCGACAGAATACAGTTCAGACCCAACCACTGGACAAAAAGGCACCTTAGGACCCAACTCTTGCGAAATAGCAAGTGCAAGAGCTGTTTTACCTGTTGAAGGTCCTCCAGCAAGCAGAATGGCTTTCCCAGACATTCTTTTGGCTTTGATTAGGTCAACTATGACACCGCACGCCTCTCGCGCTTCTATCTGTCCGACAAATCCACCTTCTACCTGTCTTGCAACGCCAAATTCATCCAAACCAAGTCCTTTGATGTGGGTATGTGCTGCAGTACGAGCCCCCTTGCTCTGCACTTTCGTAGCATCGTTAACTTCCTCGATCTGAACCATCTTGATGCACCTCCTTCAGACTTGTTTCCTGTCCTTTTCCATCTTGAATTATCAAATTTTTTATGAGTTTCAGTTATATCATAGCACGAACTGCGCTATCATGATGATAGGGTGTCAATACTTCTCAACAAAGCGAGTCCGTGAGAGGATCGACAGTAAAGGTCTTCTGGTAATGAACTAATTATTTTCGAATATCTCTTTGAATGTCTTTCCGAGCTTGTTCTTTTTTAGTGAGATCTATATTATCAGAGAATGAATCCAAATGAGGACAGAGGGCATAGCGAAGTTCAAGAAACTTTCTTGTGAATTAAGTATTGAGAGTATTGACATTCACGCAACATGTTCTTCATTTTCAGCTATTATGAAAGACCTCGATGGTTCTCTTAGTGCTGGCTTGGGTTGAATCATGTTCCCTGTCATGTGCCATAATAGGAAAACTTATTAGTGAAAAACTAACTTATCCAAGTCACGCAAGTAGAAAGTACTGGAGAAGGGCTGAAAGAGCTTGATGCGTGATTCTTTCGAGAGCGCTGAGAAGAAACCTGTCATCAGGCAGGCTTCTAGACAATTCCCTTTAACGCCTCCCGCTTCGACTAAGAAAGAGACCTCGAACAATGGTCTTAAGAGCACAGTAGTCGTCCCGAAAAGTTTATTGCCGAACCTCAAATTCGAGAGCAGAAAACGTCGAAAACCACCTCTGAGACGCAGGCCGCCCAAGAACTCCATCTACGAACTCAGAACTGGATTCCCTCGGGTATCTGACAAAAGAGATAATAAATTGATTTCTGATTGTGTCACACATGCTCTGCAAGAAAGTCAAAGAATCGTTGTAGTCGCAGGTGCTGGTATATCGGTGGCGGCAGGCATACCAGACTTTAGATCTAATGACGGCCTTTTCGCTACGCTGAGAGATGGGAAATTGGCATCAGGTAAAGATCTTTTTGACTTTAATAAAGTTTACTCCGATGAGGAAATCGGATTAAAGTTTAACAAAATGATAATTCAACTGTACCATCAGAGCACAGAATGTCAGCCTACCGAATTTCATCATCTCATGGACCGCATAGCGGGCGAAGGACGACTACGCAGGCTGTATACACAAAATATCGATGCATTGGAACATAAACTTCCCTCACTCAGCCCCATGTCGCAGAAGAATGCTCCGGTTACGATACAGCTACATGGAAATGTTCGCGAAATGTTCTGCGTCAAGTGTTCTAAGATATATGACCTTAATTCTGCGATTTTCAAATGTAACGTAACAGAGGAGAGTAAAGACATGGTTCCCTCTTGTCCTGAATGTCAGGAATTTGAATCTGTCAGGGCAGTTGCTGGGCTTCGATCCCAAGGTGTAGGTAAACTGAGGCCGCGAGTCGTGCTTTACAATGAGGTACATCCTGATGGAGACGCAATTGGTGCTATCATTTCGAAAGATCTAAAAACTAGTCCTGACTGCCTATTAATAGTGGGTACCAGTTTCAAAATTCCAGGCGTGCGAACACTTTGTCGAGACTTTGCTAGAGTAGTTCATAAAAAGAAGGGCTTCGTGGTATGGATCAACAAGGAGATCCCGTCTAAGAGGGATCAGGAATATTTGGATTTTATTGATGTAATTATTGTAGGAGATTGTCAAGATGTTTGTCACTTTATGAAGCGCTCCTGCTGAAGTAATTAATATACAATGCTGATAAGATGGTCGTATTTTAGCTATTCATCGTCTAGTTCAATCTGATCATTGGGCTCTTTTGGTTCCTGTGACTCGGCCCATTGAGTTACGTCGTCAATGTAGCTCAAAATTGTACTCACACTTTCTGGATTGTTAGCCTCCAGCGGAAGAAACTGAACCATACCATAATCATCAACTAAATTTGCAATGACAGAGTTCAGCCTGCTAAATTTAGGGTTCAAATCTTCATTGGCACTTTCAGCAAGAACTGTGGGATCGGGATTAAGGAATCTCTTCAACCTTTTACGACTGTAATCATCTTTGATTTGATCCATTTTACTAAGCACATTGATGTGCGGAAGTTCAAGTAAAATCATGGCTGACATCGCACTTAGAGCGCCACTGAAGAATTTGGATGGATCTACAACAAAAGGTGCCTCCAGAAGGTAGGTTGCGCACAGGCTAAAGTTAAGCTGGGTCTGTAAGTGGCGGATGACGGCAGGCAAAATTGGAATATGAGTATACAGTTCGATTTGCCCGGGACAATCAAAGATTAAAAACTCGTCATTGTACTCGCCTACTTCTTCATCCAGCCAATCCAGATTTTCTAAAAGATACTCGAAACAATACACCAGAGACCCGTTAGGTCCCAGTTCAAGCTCTTCCATCACATCGTCCAACGAAATCAGATTACGAATATCAACCGTGAATTCGTACTGACCGGGCTCCGCGGCCGGATCGAGGTTCACGATGTGTGCTCTTCTGCCAATGGTTTGTATGTGTGATACCAAGGCATTACAAAATGAACTTTTACCTGCTCCGGCAGGCCCCATAACCAAAACTCCAACACGCGACATATTTGCAATTCGTACGGCCTTCCTTTTGCTTGCAGTTTGTAAAATATGATACAGAGATGAGTTTAAATTTTTTCAGCTTTCAAGCTTAGAAGGTCAATATGCTTGAGATGCTTTTAATTTTACCGGAGACAAGCTAGAAAATTTTATTAGATGCGCGAGGTATCCTGATTGAAGGATTCTTGGTAACTAAATTTTATATATGCATTGATTTATATGAAGCTTCTTGAGCACCTGGCTTTACTCGCGAAAGGAACTGGCATTTGACATTTAACGGCGCGGTGACCGTACTTGCCCGCAGAAATGCAGTATTTGGTTCGGTCCTGTAATCACTGTTTCGAGAAATCATGCTGGGGCGCTTGATAGGTGAGCAGTAATTAGTGACTAAAATGGCAAAAATTGGTGCCAGTTTTTTAGTGTACGTCTGGTAGCACGATAATAAGCATCGAATTCTATGTGCACTTAGAAAACCATTTTCCCCTTGCCATTAAGCCTGTCACTAAGGGGTTCATGCTCTTATTGTAAGAGCGGTAGGGTATGTCCGTTAAGTTATGAGCGTCTGAGGTGGTGGAACGTCAGGGACCTTCCCTAAAATAAACCTTTGGTTTCTGAACTCAGCAATGACTTCGGGTGGCAGATCCCTTTCCTCCAGCATTTTGAGCGAAATACCTTGGTTGAGAGTTTCAATCGCATTCGTCGTCTGCGAACCAGCAAAACCAGAAGTTGCTTGCCCATTTGTTGGCCAGCCCAAAGTAACGTTCTGCGCAGGAGCTGAAGCAGTACTAAAAGGTGAAGGAACGTTTGTTGAACCATCCGTCTGTGTGGTTGCTTGGGCCCCAAATGAATCGAGAGTTCCAAAGGGGCTCCTGGCGTTGGGCTTTTGAGTGAAAGGAGAAGAAAGGGGTTGCGTTGAGGTACCGAACGTCTCTGTATTTGTTTCCGCCTTCAAACCCAATCCCGAGAATGGCGACGAACCGAAAAGGGTGGATGCATTACTTTTATCGGCAGGTCGTGTAACGGCGCCGAATGGTGAGGGGTTATCGCCCTTAGAAAAGTTACTTTGTCCGAATGGCGAATTCGTTGATATACCGTTTGCCGTAGAGCCAACACTGGCGAATGGCGAGATTGCCGTCGATGAGCCCGCTCCAAAAGACGGTTTGCCAAAAGCCCCAGTGGAGCCCGCAAAAGCTGAGTTAGTAAAGGTCTGTGGCACGCCGCTGTTAGAGGCGGCCTGCCTGAAACCTGTCCCGAAGGGAGACGCGCCAAATTGGGGGTGACCAAATGCGCTACCCGTATTCGAGATGGAGGCAGAGGGAGCAGAAGTACCGCTGGAAGCAAAACCTGAGCTTCCAAACATTTGATTCGATGTCGAGGGGGCGGTAAAAGCACTGTTGCTTTGCGTTCCAAAAGGACTAGACTGAAGAATATTGGAAGCGAAAGCATTTTGATTTATGGGGTTCATTCCGAAAGTGCTGACGGTGTTTTTGTATGCGGCACCAGTCAAATCCAATGGCTGCTCAATAAAGTCTTTCATTCCTGAGTTTCCCGTCTCCTTTTTTTTCTGAGTCGCAAGCTGCAGGTAGCGGGCAGCTTTCCTTGGATCTTTTTTGATAACGTCAAGACACATTCGCAAATCTGCATCCCTAGCTCTCATCTGAGCCTCATATGCAGGTAGTTGGTTTTCTTGACAGGCCTTCATATATTGGAAACGACATTCTTCGGGTGATAGATCTCGCCCACTAATTAAATTAGAGGAGCACGGATTAGCTAAACTGTATGAAGACATCAAGGGTCTTGACTGCATTGATGGTGCTGCGTCAATATCGTCTTTTATCTCCTGTGACAATTTAACCAAACTATTTGCGTTTATGAAAGATCGGTAGCGCTCCCCATTTGACAAGTTGTTGGTATCACCATTAGCGTTCGTGTAAACATGGGCAAATTTACAGCTATTGCCTTTGTTACACTTGCCTTGTTGGAAATATTTGCAAGGTACCCTACTGCGATTGTTATAGGACATAGGCTTTTATTAGGATCTCCTACTGTATATTGAGGTTGAGTTCAACTAGCGAAATTTTTTTAGATGTTATTAAACTATTGCTTGATTCTCATCTCCTGAAAATACAATGAATAATGATCTGTATCAACTGTGGACAATCTACGCAGTCGTTGTACGTAACTTATTCGAGTGATCACATCAAGCTTACAGACTGTGCAAAATGTGGAGAAGTTGTAGATTGCTACGTCGAATTCGACAATATCCTTCTCTTTATTGACCTCCTACTTCTAAAGCGTGAAGCATATAAGCATTTAGTATTCAATTCGCTGGAAACCGAATTGTCCAAATTTGAGAAAAATAAAGAGGACAAAGGGTCTTCTTCGATAGCCCAAAGGCTTCGGTCATGGTGTTCTAGAAATGATAGACTGAATCGTTTATGGATTATAATATTAGCTTTTGAAATATATCTCACTTGGGTTTTGGAAGAACAGAGGAGTCACTTCCTCAAGACAAGCCTCCAAGATACAAGTTGGACATGTATGGAAGATGTGCTTCAAAAAACCTCATTGGAACAGTATAGTTTTTTCTCATTTTACTGTTTTATGGACTTGATGCTCTTTCGATACTTTACTGAGCGACTATTACTTTCGCATCTCCAATGGGGCAAGGAATACAAGTATGCTGGTGATATCATATCTTATACCATTCTGCTGTCGTACGGTGCCAAAATCTTTCCTGTTTTGATGCTAATATGGCCCTATGACTCAGCGGCCTCCACTTTCATAATAAAGGGTGTCGCTAATTTATACATCATTGAGGCCTTGAGGATGGTAACAAATAAAAGTTACTCTCATATCTTTACTTTATTTGTCGCGGTCTGCATATTAAAAAGTATATGCATTAAGGCATTAATATGTTTGCTGGTTTCGGGTTTTAATATTGGCGTTTCGATCGAATTGATGAAGCGAGATTATCAAGCTGCATCTCACAAGATTTCGAGTTTACTTTTGAGCCAATGAAGACGACGAAGTCATGTCTAGCGAACCAGCGGTCTATCCAAAGGCGATACTAAGTAGGGGTATTCGTAAGATTCACTTTCGACTGGTTCTGAGGTCATATGTTGGTCGCGCTCGTGTTCCCGAACAGAGCTCAGCGCTATGAAATTAGAGAGCGGAAGATAGTTTTTCTCAAAGTCCCATAGATATGTCAATGTAATGAAAGGTAGTGGTGATAAACAACAGGAGAGTACCCATCCGCCACGAAAGCCTGCCAATGTACCAGCCATTGTTAACTGAAACAGCAAAAGCCCAAGAATAACACGTCTATATATCAAGGGCCATACTTTTCCAGTTGAGTGTGGCAGGTGGTCGGTTGCGAAGACCAGCTGATACTTCGAAACATAAAATCCAATCACGAAGTAAGTTAGGCCTGAAGCGAGAATTTTCGTACTCATAACACTGTAAATGAGCGTTATAACCAGCACCAGTATAGGCTGTGGCAGCTGGAGACCAAAATTGAAAATGGGTGGCTTGTAAAGGTCGCGCTGCATTCTGGGTGTTTTACACTTGATCTTGACAAATGGAAAGCCTATTAAACTCCCAGCAAGAAGCAATTTGAAAGGAAACATTCCAATGCCCTGCAGAATAATGAGGTCCACGTAAAACAAAGAAAATTCCTTTACTGAAGTAGCGAGCTGATACGCGATCTTGGTTGTATCGCTCAAATATCCCCAATAATTCGACGCCGTACCTGCCAAGGTGAAGACCAAAAACAGATTAACAAAAATATAGAAGAAGTTTTTGGAAACTAGGGATGTCTCTTCCTCGCTGTAGGAAATGAGACCCTGTTTGGAGGTCAGGAAACTGTAGAAATAAGGTATTCCTACGTTCAAAAGGGTGAATATGTAAGTTGGCAGCAGGCCCGTCACAATATTCTCCGCCCACCGGTTTGACCTTAAAAAGTGACCTAGCTCAGGCCAGAACTTCGTGATTGTTTTCAAGTTCAAGAGAGTGGCAAGATAAGAAACTGGAATAACCCAGAAAAAGCTGCACAATCCAATGAAAACTGTTATCGAATACATTTTCATAGATCTCTCCTTTCTTGATAGGCAGATGTTGTCCCATTTGACGTCATGGGGAGCAGGCGCCAATCTCGTCATAAAAAAATGCACCCTTGGATCCAGCACAGCTTGAGCCGCCATTTGGGCGTTCGCAACAGAGTCCATCGTTACGAAAGCTGTCGGGGTTGCTGGATAGCTTTTAGCTCTAGCATCCTTTATTTCTTCGTCGATAAACTTCAATTGTTTCTCCAAATAATCTATCACATCAACCTTTGGACCCACCAATCCAAGGAACCCCGTCCTTATGGTCTGGCGGCCTTTAAGGTGTATTTGGGAATAAAGCTGGTTCGATTCTTCCCCCTCATCTTCTTGAACATTTTCTTGAATATCCGGAAAATGATTCTCTGAAGTTGCATTAGCCACTTCCTCGGAATGCATTCTGTAATTTTCATTGTAATGGGCGGACTTAGTCAAAGCTTCAGGATTTTCGCTATATTTTAACTCAAGCTTTCTTAACAGTTTATCCCTGCAATAAATCAACTTATTAAGATGACCCCATTCACGGCATATGGTAATGGAAGAAACTTTACCGATTTGTAATTCCTCTACCCTCTTTTTCAACATTTTTTCGTTCCTCAGCTCAGGCGGAATTCCGGTGAGTCTTATAGTTCTGTCCGTGACCGTATTCTGTTTTCCAAGGAAATTTTGCCTCGTTTCGACTACTAGCTTAGTTTGCTTCACTAGCAAATTAAGCGCCAAAAATGTGAAGAAGGCTGTGAAAAGGACATACATCCATAAATAAAGGCCAACAGCCTCTGGTGCTGAATCGTCATTTCCTGGTATGGGGTCATCACCTGCTGTCCTCAGCTTGTAGGCGTACTCATTTCCGTCGTCGTATCTTCCCGTGAAATAATATCTTATGGGCGAGATGACGGTAACAGAGAAGCAACAACACACGGCCAGAAGTTTGATGGACATCTTGAAAAATCCCAAAAACACGAAGGCATCTAGCCCAGCATACTCCAAAACCTGCATATCACTAATCTTGTACAACACAGGAATCCAGCCGAAAAGGGATTGTTCACTCCATGTGGGTAAGTCACCCTTCAATCGCGATTTGCGGCTCGCATAAAGTTGTGGTAGCTTCTTTAGCAGGAATGAGAAAGAAAGTACAGCAAAGAGCCCGAGGAGTGTCGCTACCAGTAACTGGGTGGTAGCCACTCTTGCCGTAGGTTTTCGAAAGTCGGGGGCGTGTTCATCAAAAGAATCCATCGTTGGTGCCCGATAAAAGTGTGCGACAGATTCTATCCTCGAGGTGAGCAAGATTTAAACCCTTTGTGTTTCACGTCCACTAAAGTTCCTGAGTTTTGATCAATCAGGCACTTCTAAGTGTTAACAAGACGATCATCGCCTTTTCTACTATCATGTTTTGAGTTACAGTGGGTCCAGAAATTCGTACGTAAGCAGACTTTTCACGCGTAACGAAAATACGAGTTAGTATTAAGACCATTGATAATCCTACAGGCGTGACTTTAATACAAGAATCTCTGTCATAAAATTGCCTTTTGTCACCGCGATTCACTAAGCTTCCCTTAATATTACTGTAAAAGCTGTCGTCAAGTAAATCAGAACCTGCAGTTTTCAAATAATCCCAAGAATATCTAATTAACATTGATCACGTCCTTCAACCTCAATAGACCTGTAAAGCGTATACCTTCTATCCCTGTTCTCTGAGCTGATCACTTTATTCTCAAGCCGATCGGCATAACGCTAAAAAGTCTCGTAGCTCTTCAAAATTTATAGTAATCAATCGCGCTGGCACCGACACCTGATAATTGTTTCTAGATCCTATCTATTATGAGGATACGTATTGAATGTTTCTCGCATTCGCTGGGTTTATTATTTGTTACTTCGATGATCGACAGGAGATATCATGCTGCAAATTAATCTAAGCACGCCAATATTGAGCCAAATTATGCAAACGATCAATAACAAGAGGTAGAAGAGCACTTACGCTGGCATTGATCAAATTTTGGAAATGTACTATTGCTTCTTCTTCCGAAATGTCCAAGCAAAATTTCTCTTTCACTTTAAGCAAGGCTCCCTCGGGATCCATGCGGATATTTGGAATGTTTGACGTTTTCATTAATTCGAACAGATTTAAAATAAGGCCAGCATTTCTTCTCAGGATCGAATAAGCCACAAAGCAATAGCTCCTAAATTTATTATAATTGTCAGACTCTGCACCTCCAAAGGACTCAATGATTTGGGGTGGTAATTTCATTAACGGCGGAAATGGCTTGGGATCCTGCCCTAATATGTAGCCAAAATCCGCGTGGAAAAAATGACCGTCAGGCGTTATGAGCAGATTGTCTAGATGTCTATCACCTACCCCGAGAATGTATGTTATCACACAATAGCCAGCGCAAGACTTGACGAAATTATCCATGACCCAGTCCTTTACGCCGAGCTCCTCCGTTGCGGAAGGGTGATGATGCCTTAAGTATGGCAATATCCCATGATATTTGCTCAATATGTTGGCCATGGTATCATTTGGAATAAACTCTATTGCACCTTCATTTGATCCAGTCGCTATGATTTTGTAAGGCGTCAATTTTAGATCAACATTTTCATTTTTGAGAAGTTCATTCATCAATGTGATAATTTGGACAACTAACTGATCTTGTCTCAAATCATCACCAACTTTGAACATCAAAGGATAATCAATTCCAGAAGTAGTTTTGAATGTGATTTTCAGTGGTGACAACGAACTTTTGAAAATCTTGCATTCCCCTATCACGACGTCTATTACTGTAACATCTGGGTCGAGAGGAAGAATCACAGAGTTTGCTTTCAAAAAAGGCCTGAGTTCCGTTTGAATGAGGTGCTTCAAACGCTCCAGCTTTCTAGGAATGGGATCCTTTAGTCCCTTAATTTCCTGGCACAAGTACACAAGAAGAGCAACAAATCTCTTTTGCTCTTCAAGTCGCGCTCGCCTGCCATTGGATAAACGGCTTTCGAAGCTTTCTAAAATATGAATCAGATATGGGTTTTCTTCTGATTCTGATTTGAGGTACCAAAAAAGGTAGTTGCCGAGGCGTGCATTAACAAGTGCGCGTCTTATGAGAAACTCCGCTAGGGGCGATATAAGAATTGAGCTCTGACTCGTCGTTAATGGCTCCGGAGGCGCGATTGAATTTTGGCCCGAAATGAGTGATTGTGGCATTGCCATTCCAACTGTAGAGCTTTGATTCAAGTCAACAATTGTAAACTCACTTCCTGAGCGATCCGATAATGTGGAACTACTTTCAAAGCAGACAGACTGTACCAGCTGAAGAAGGTAGAGCTCTAACTCATAATCTGACGCCTTCTTCAACCTGCTCACAGCATAGGATCGGACTGACAGGTTTTTGAAAGCTGATCCGAGAAGCTCTATGGCATGTTCAATATCTATTTCCGCCCAAGAATCCATCATATCTAGTACTTCTTTGCGCTCGTTCTCCTCATTGAGGTTAGTGCTTTGCAAAAGTTTGGTTAAAGCCTTTTTGTTGCCCATTAGATAATATCGGTATTTCCATATTAAGCCCTTTTCATGCGACGATAGTTGAGTACCAGGTGGATAGTTTATAATACGTAGTAGCATGTCACGCCTCTTGGCATCTGGCTTGAGTTCTTTATCGTAACTTGGATTCTTAGAAGCTCTCTCTAAACGCCTGAATTTTTCCTCAATTGGGTCAACATTGAACTGGTCGGGGTCATAAAACTTGAGTGTAGAGCCCTCTTCGAGACCAAGATGAATTCTTGGCTGGAGATTTCGTCGAACTCCACTCATCTCGTTATTGATTTCGAAATTGTGGTAATTGGGAATATTGGATTCTAGTTTCTCGATTTCAGAGTATACAATTGGAAATTCAAAGAGCGGGAATTCGATATGGAGTACAAAGAGTCCGTTGGGGAGCTTTCTTTCTTTCTTCATTCGTTCCATCACCCGAAAAGAAAGAGGATCCAGCCAATTAACAGCCTTGATCTCTCCCTGATTGTATTTGTTCATGAGAATTTGGAACTCGTCATTTTTCACCTCACCACTCTCAGGATCATCGCATTGGAAAATTAATGACTCTCTGCCGCGCTTGAGACTGCAGCTTGAAACGTCAAAAAGTGGAGTTTCGAGCGAGAAAAACTCCACCTGCTTCCTGCCGTCAAACTCCCACAAAGTTATTTTCAGTACGCTGCTCGGCGTCAGTTGTTTGATTGAGATGGGTAAAGTGAGCCACACGTTCCATTTCCTCGAGTATCTAAACCGGGCGTAAGGGGTATAAATCGGTATGGTCAAATATCTGAAACTTTCTGAATCAAAAACTTGTAGTGATACAAACATGTCACTGTTAGGCGACACATTTGAAAGTCTCTGGGATAAAGAAGCTTGTGTGAACTTTTGAGATTGTTTTATTAGCGTTTTTTTGCCCTCTAATGAAACAACCTTCACCCTCAGAGGCAGGTCAAGATCATCAGAAGTGCAAAAGGTCACGCTGGCGGTGGACATGCGGCGTATACTTTTACTTGGCTTTTCAGTTCGAAGCTGTTTACCCTGTTTTTCGTTCCATTAGCTCAGATTAACAATAATGATGAGCCGCCTTTAAAATAAACTTGAGCTCATCGCAGCACACGGTAAAACCAAAGTGGCCGAAATGCGTTGATCCCGTCGCCTATGTATTCAAATTTATTTACAGGTTTATTAGGCTAATGTACATTACACAGGTGGGTGGCTGGACTTCTCGTCTTTTACGCTTTGACGCTTTATTCATAAGCTTTTGTCAACTCTGAAATTTGTTCTTTCGCCGATCTTGTTGAACCTTTCCTTAAAATCTTCACTTCTCCTTCTGTCACGTTTGTCAAAATTCCGCTCATCGAATTTATGGCTGCGGGAGGCTCTTGAGCTGCGATGCGTCGCTCGAGAATTACGAGGAGTTTTTTCGTAAAAATCATCGTAGTTGCGTCTTGTTCCTAAGTCAAAAAGCTCATGAGCAAGTCTCCCACGAATTCCGAACCTCAAATTTGCATCATGTTCGGTACATCTAATCTTCAAATCTGAATCTTTGAGAAGCTGGCCATAAGAGCTTGCAATTTGACGCGCAATTCTAACGTTGTTGAAATGGTATGAGGATCCATTAGCCCTGTAGAATGACAATAGCGATTGAAGACTATTGCTCAATTCCTCTGACGATTGCATCCCTTCAGTGACCTCTTCGCTAAGAACGGGATCTTCAATGTATTCACTTTGATCTTTGATGAATATTTTTCTTGCACTGGAGAGGAGGTCAACAAAGGGCAATTCTTCTTTAAACAAGAACGAAGTTGCTTTGCCCTCTTTTCCAGCCCGGGCCGTCCTTCCAATACGATGAACATAGTTCGAGAGTTCTGACGGGACACCCACTTGCAGAACTTCCTCAACACCGGGGAAATCAAGCCCACGAGCGCCCACATCCGTGCAAACAAAGAGTCCTCTTCTTAATTTTTTGAATTCTTGCACAAGTCTTGTTCTCTTCTTCTGGTCAATCTTGCCGTGGAATTCAAAGATGGGGAAAGAAGGAAATAGTCGCTTGAGTAAATTGCAGTAGAAGCTTGTGAAACTGACTGTAGGCACGAAAATAATTGCTTTATAATTATCATCTTGTGATAGCCGCTGTTTAACGTGATTGATTGGTGCTTCCACATTCTCTGCAAATGTCTGGCAGATTACTAACTTCTGCGCGACTTTTTCATGAGCTTCGGGCTCGTTTTTATCGATGGTGTCTAAGAATAAGCATTTCTCGCGATTCATAACGCCTTCAGCCAAACCTTGGACATTATCGCCTAACGTGGCTGAAAAAAACAGAGTGCGGATATGCTGAGGTCCTTCGTTGTTGATCTCGTTCAGCGTGTTAGATATTTGCTTGACCTCGTCCTCAAATCCAATTTCAAGTAGTCTGTCAGCCTCATCCAAGACTTTGAAGTCAACACTTCGGAAAAACTTATGTGAGAATTTTGATAGGACGTCATTGAGCCGCCCAGGGGTGGCGACAATTATGTTGGGTCTAAGTGTGAACATCTTACGCATTGAAGCATCAAAATTCGTTCCTCCAATCAAGGCCATTGACTTAAATTTGCTCAAACCGTAATTTTTGTCTTGAATCTTCTTATATTCGGATTCTATTTGTAGCGCTAGATCTCGCGTTGGAGAAATTATAACACATTTGACCATGTAAGGTGATTCTTTCCTATGATTGATGAGATGTTGAATAATTGGCATCAAAAATGCTAGCGTTTTGCCAGTACCTGTCTTAGCCCTGGCAATCACATCATTCTCCGACTGCAGTACCGGTTTGATGGTTTTTTGCTGTACAGGAGTCAAACTTGGGAAGTTCATCCTGCTAACTGCTTTATGCAGAGCGTTATCGATGAGTTTCTCCTCTTTCAGCAGTTCAAGCGTGACGTTTTCAAAGTCTTCTTCGGGTGGTCTGATAACCTCTACTGATCTAAGTTGTTTTAATAGTGAGCCGTCATCTCGACCCCTGGCCTCTCTATCGTCATATTTGGCATTTCTGCTGTCTCTTCTTTTTGCGAACGATCTTCCTCGCCCACCGATATGATATTTCCGAGAAAAAGCACTACTTGAAGGAACCCAACTTATTGCTTGAGTGAGTTCTTTTCGAAATGTGAAGCCTAACGCATGTCGGGATAAGTTGATTAACATCTTACTCTTTTCACTGCGATGCTAGTTAGACGATAGAAATTTTCTTCACAGAAAATTTTATAACTTCACGAAAAATTACCAAATAACGAAGGGACAAAAGGTAATCGGGGACTTGAGAAATTTGGCTCGATCTGTAGTTGTTAAATCGCTTTGGTTTTATCAGTCATGTCAGGAAACCCTATTCCTCAGTTAGTAAACATATCACATGCCTTACAATCGACCTTTATACAGCAGATTAGAACGGAGATCAAAGAGTTTTCAGAGGCTGCTAAGTTAACGCAAGAGCAAACGGAGAAGATAAATAAATATATTGGTTCTGTGAAACGGGCTTTTGCTGACTTTACAAAGGATAATGAACACATTGAGCGTAGAGGCCCTGGGGTAACTGCCGCGGACATCCAATTATACATGGGTTTGAAAGCCATGTACGCTGACTATCTTTCTCAACTAGTAAAACTTCAAGAGAGTAAAGTGCTGAGCAAAGTGCCGAGCGCTAGAGAGCAGCAACCCAAGGAGGAAGCAGTCGATACTTCTCAATTGAACTATATCACGGATGAGTTGCCATACAAGCAGCCAACTGAAAGGAAAAGGTACATTGATTCTCTACTGAAATCTTCAACCACGAACCTTCCAAAATCGACGCCTATTTTTGAAGGTATTGTCAAACTTGCTACTCTAGACTCTACTGTTGTGGAGAATGTTCAGTCTTATGTTGCAATCCTTCGTAAAATTGGGTTTGAGCGGTCCAAGGTTCTGGCAAGCATACCGCTGCCCTCTAACGGTATAAATGCAGATGATGGCTCAGCTAAGAGCTATGCGAAACCGACAAGAAAGCCAGAGCCTGTCGAAGAAAGGCCACAAAGGATAGAAGCCAGCCAGGAGGAGCCGAAAAAGAAAATATCGTTCTCAAGATATTTGAAAAAGAATGACACAGAGGAGGATAGTAAACGTGCTTTGAATGATTCCGAAGCTACATCTTCAAAACGCCAAAAACGACCCACGGATAAAGACTCTTCAGAAATCAAGATTGCCTCGATATTGAAGGACGATAATTTGACGAAAAAAACAAAGACGAATCCAATACGATTCGCAGTCGACGAAAAGCTCATAACGGTCTACGGTGATGAGCTTCCCCCAAGTGGCTTGAAAGTTTCCCCTCAGAAATTGAAGAAAATATTGAAGCCTTTCAACGCTGGGGAGCCGAGAGAGCTGGCATTATCAGCATGGAAAAATCAAAAAGTTTTTGAATTTTCGTTTCGAGAGAATGTGCAAGATACAGATATTGTGGAAACGCGAGGCGGGCCTATTTCTTGCCTGACTGAAGCTCCGCCCAATTATCGTCATGGCTTTTCTTCTTTTAGCAAGGAATTGAATAAAATGCATAAAGAGCCTGCTGATCTAGAGAATTTTGCGAACAATAGCGCATCCAGGCTTTCGAAGCCACTTATTGTTCGTGCCTTTGGTAAGAATGCTCTGTTATTAAAAAAAGATAGAGGTGGAATTCCCTACAAACCCGTTCCGGAAGTTAAGAGAAACGAATATCCTGTGAATAGCTAGTACCTCTCAACTTTAGGATGCCAGAAGAGGTATACGCATGAAGAGCATCCGATGACAACAACGGTTTACTCTTACCATTTGACGAAGACTAGTAGATTCGAATCATCGAAAGGACCTTTTGGGACGAACTTATCCTGATGACATATGACATATTCCATGGCCCGCATAAGGGGGACCAAGCTCGATTCTGTTCACAGTATGAATATCCTATTCAATGGAGTTTTGTCGGAAGGCGAGGCACAACAGTTTAAGGATGAAAAAGGTATTTCTAGCAACCAGAAACTCTTCCGAGTTCCTAGTGATGACGTCAATTATTTGATGATTTTATCTGTCGGTCGCCCATAGCTCTTTTCCGGAAACTTTTAATCAGGATTACGGCAGCAGCGCTGACGCACCCAAAGGGGGGGAAATATTCTAATGCGTATCGCGCGAAATTAGGTTTGATCTGGTGAACAACATTCTCGACTTGAGCATAAAGGGCTGGAAGGTCTAAATTATTTTCAATCACATAATCCGACCTTGCGATTCTCTCACCTATTTGCATTTGAGACTTAATCCTATTCTTCGCTTCTTCCGTGGACATCGTTGGGTTTCTTTGCGTAAGTCGACGGATCTGCGTTTCCTCATCGCAGACCACGCTAATGGATACGCCACAGAAAGTGTCGAGGCTACTCTCGAAAAGTAAAGGCACATCCAAGATGCACATCTTATATCCCTTTAAATAACATGTAATAATTTGTTTGAAAATTTCATAGCGGATCGCGGGGTGTGTTATTCTGTTGAGTTGCTTCAAATCTTCTGGGTGACTAAACGCCCACTGTCCTAAAGCAGCTCGATTAAGATTTCCGTTGGTTGAGTCGATCAGCTCGGGGATTTTGCCTCTAAAATGAAGCACTATTGCCTCATAGGCTTTCTCGCCGGGCTGAACAACTTGCCTTGCGATCTTATCTGCATCAATTACGGGAATCTTGAAATCTTTGCTCAGTTTCGTTGAAACAGTTGACTTACCGCAGCCAATGCCGCCTGTGAGTCCCACCACAAGCATGCAAAGAAAAGGGCTTTCTCCAAAGATCAACATGAAGAGAGCCTTGAACCTCGAGGACGTAGAATCATTTCAAAGATACTTCTCACGTGACTTGCTTAAATTTCAAACATGACGCACAAAAGACGAAATGATGACAAGAACAGAGATCATTTTTCCAAGCCAACATCAATACGGTGTGGGCGATTGAGAATGATTTCTCTAAAAACCTAGCTGAAGTAATTATTTCACAACACATTTTTAATGAAGACGACTTTTCAGGCAAAATGTTCCAGTTGAATAACCAAGAAAACAAAAATACAAGAATGAGCCAAGAACAGAAATTATAAAATTTGAATTGCTTAATGGATGGACGAGTCAAATATTTAATTATTTGAGACATCCATCTCACTCGCTCCGAACAACTCAACTATCAGTTCGTGGCATTACTTCAATTTCGTACTACAAGCCTTTATTCTTTGGTGTGCTGCACTTTTAAAAGAAAATGTTGGCATTTTTCCAATCACTTTATGAATGCTATGTCCTTTGATAGAAACATCCCATAGGAGAAGCCAGTGTGCTTGGGTGGGTGTTGAAGTCGTAGGTAAAGACCTGTGTATGCTCTGTCACCCATGAAAGAGATTCTCACATCATATACTGTCATATTTTGCTGGTTTTCTTACTCGTAACTGCATTGTGTGCCGTTCCAATGCTAATGAAACACTGCAATGTCTTTACTGTGTCTTTCATTTCTTTTGTTTTATGATTGTATCAAAATGGGCAACAATCAGTAGCGATTGAAGATGAAAAACCATTTCTTAAATTTGTTTTCAACTGTCGTCTTGAGAATCGAAGAAATTGTCGATAGCATTTCTTCAGATAACAGGACTAGGTTTTGCTCAAATGTGCATATTGCTGAAATTAGGAGGCGAAGGCTAGAGTTAATCTTATCATTCGACGCTTAATTAGTGAATATAAAGGATACCGATTACCACATATCGAGATTGGCTGATCCGGTAAAAAACCAAATTACCTCTTAACTGGGTACGTTTAAAGAGAGCCAATTTCCATGAATGCAATTACTGACGAATACTCAATCTGCTCTCGAATGCGATCCATTTTATTAGCCAGTTTCGCATTCCCGCCGAAGGCGATTGTGACATAGAGTTCGATTCATTAAGCGGAAGCTAGCATATGAACTGACACTGTACAAGCTATGGCTTGGTTGCTAGGCTTTCTACCGACCAACAAGCCACTTGGACAAGTCAAGCAACACCAAATTTAAAAATGCCTCGCGAAGCTCTTCTAAATTGTGTAAACGCAAGGGCTTTTTATTCCTCAATGAGATCTGAGCTATAATTGGCAGAACAGGATTTCCCACTTTTACGTGGCAGCCTCATGTAATCCCCGTCAAATTCTGTCTGCATAACATAGCTCTCTATACCAAAAATATTTTTGAATCATCAAGGTTCCATACTTTTGAAATGTGGCTGTCTCAGCGGCAATCCCAACAATCTAGTGCCCACAATGATCACGACTCATTCGAGCCTCGATTAAAAGTTTGACCATAATACTTTGAAAAGATAAAAGCGGTCTTCATGACACCGACAACCTGAATTCGTATCGCAATGATCATCAGAATTTGCAAGGTCTCGACAGTTGAAGTGGGTGAAGCCTCTTAGACTATTCAGGTGATGGTGAAGTTTTAGGAATTCTGAAATTTTACGATGCCTAATCTTAGAAGATTTAGATCTTACATCGAGCAGGGGACGATCAAGATCCGTCACGCATTTTTTCGTTAAAATGAAGTCCTATACTGACCGTGCTATAACAAACTTAGCGTCTTCAGTGGTTTTTCTATTTGAATTCGACGTTAAATTATAGTCAACCATAACAATCCTAAGTTACTTCAGAATTTTTTCATGTAGATGAGATCTTATTTAAACAGCCATATTTCGATGAGAAGCTGAAAGCCAGCTTAGGCAGAACGAGGCTTATGCGTCTTCCTCGAATATATGCGCTGGGAAACTCGCCGCTTTTGTCGGTACTTTCTCACCAAATCGCTAGCTTAGCATTACAGCCGAAAGTGCCAGAGGTTGTTTTACTACTACAGGATCAAAAGAAGCTGAGCAGATTTTTGAAGAACAACTCCAAATTGGCAGTTAATGAAGAATTTGACACTGCGGACAAGTCGAAACAGTTAATGGCATCGTGTTCTCCACCGGCCTTTGCTTCTGGTGAAATAGCTAAGGTTGAAAACCTGATTGTCGGAGAGCCACGACGAAATACTTTGCACAACTCAATTGGAAAATACAGTCAGAGTATCAGCCCAGAGACTAACGTTTTGTTACTAAATGCTGAGTTAGGTTCAGTTGAATATTTAAATGAATCCATATGGCCGAATGAAGCACAAAGACCCAATTTATTAATTGGTGATACCGACCCAAATTTTCATGTGTGGTTAAATGACGAATTCTCAGCTAAACATCGAGGATATCGATCAAAGCTTAGAATTATTCCAGTACCGAGAGAATTTTCAAGCCATTCTGAGATCGGTGACGTCAGTGGATCGGAATTAAGCACGAAAGAAAACTCCTTTATTAATCTCCTATGCCAGCTAAATCGGGATGATGGCACTCGTGCACTCAATCTCACGATGGGTGATTACAATAACTATGTTATACACAAGTTCAGGATTCTGAGCAGGAAATTCTGCATCGGCTCGCTATCGGTGCTGAATGGGTGCCGACAAGATGAAGTCAAATTATCTCCGCGCGCTACAACGCTAATGCGAGAGCTGTCCGCCGAACACAACAAGATTTTGAATGTAGCTTATCCTCACATCTCGAATGAAAATCTTTTTGATGTCGAACAAGTGCTCAACGCTCCTTCGCATATCACAACAAAATCGTTCTTGGCAGGTGATGACACCGTATCCTCCAAGACGTTGAGCGATCTGTCCAGAATTAGCGCACAGTTTCATTACTTAGCCTCGAGAAACAAGGTTGCGTGTCCTAAAAGCAGGATAATTTCAACATTAGTGCGAGGAAAGCTTGACATAATGCAAAAAAGGCGAATGATATAACTCGAGAACGGAGCGACGTTATTCAAGTCAAGGCCGTCTCGACTCCAAATGATGTATAATAATCTTTTCATATCCTTGGTAGATGGTCAAAACGTTCTCTAAACACCACTCATCGCATTGTGACAGCGTTTTGATATCCTCCCTTTTTTTGACCACCTGCTCATTTAAACTGCACAATAACTGGTGCAGCACTGCATTCAAGCCTGGCTGAAACGAGTCCTCCCCGATAAATCCTAAAATGAATTTTTCTACTTTTCGCACATCTTTTGAAGCCAATAACGCTACGGTAACAAGTAGGCGGAAACTTATAAATTCAAAAGCTATTGTGAGGTCACCCCAGTAATCCTTTTCAATCAAAAAATCCTTGTATTCTTTGTCGATGACTAAAGTCTCGACGTCCGCCGTCACATCGAGATAATTCCAATTATTTTCTTTCAAAACGAACCCATACTCATTCATCAAAAAGTCATTTGAGTGAGCACCGTAGTTCAAGAAAAGTTCCTCATGTAAATTTCTGTAAGCATAAGGGCCACATTCTATAATAAACGCGGAATTCTTTAGCTTCCGAGAATTCTGACGCGGTTGGCAGAATTTATTGACCTCAGGAGCATGGTTCAGAAAATCAACAAATGGCACCATGGTGAATTTGTCCGCAGCATCTGATTTTTCCGAGATGTCCATATACAGACAGCGGGAGTTTATGATAAAATATATGTGCAGGAATCGTTCGTAAGTCTCATCTAGCGTGAAAACTGGACTTCCATTCTCGGTGAAGAGCTTTTGCCATTTCAACAGGTAAGGCAGTAAAACGTGCCAATCATTCTCCAGCAAAGTTTTGATCCTAAACGCGTGATCTTGAGTAGCTTTCGGTAGTTTATTAAAAAGCGTTCTGTGTTGAGAGTCGCTATCACATAGCCAGCGGCATGGAATTGAACGAAAATCTCCATCTTCTGGGAAAACGTTGAAAAAAGGTTGCCAAAACGATACAATTCCCCTGAAGTTCCAATGACTCAAGATCACCCATTCGAAAAGAATGTAAAGCGTTAAAAGCTGAAATGAAGTAAGTTTCATTACGGAATCCTGGTCAAATATGCCATAAGCCATAAATCGCGGATCGTCATGATCCACCAAATCCGTCACTTCCGAGTCATAAATACCACCCATATCTTTCAAGTGCTTGTTGAACATCGCAAGATGTTTAAGAACTGTGTGAAAGTTAAGTTGACGAGATTCGGGTACGGATATTACCGCTTGATGACATTTTATCTCTCTACTTCGAAGCCGCAAGCCTCTTCCAGAACCTTTGGTTTCCACAACAGTAACGTTCTCTGACAAGTAAAATTCGTTAGACGATGCTAGCCATTCTATCAATACATCAAGCTTATCCCCCATTTCAAATCTATTATATGTTTGTAGTGAAGTTGTCCCAAGGTTTTCCACTAAGATATCGAATTTTTGACAATTAAGCAAGAGCTGGTAAAGCAAACCAGACATGAAAGTTGGCCTCTTCTGTAATCCCAAGCGAACGGACGACGTTTCAAGGACAACACGGCGATTATTCAATTTAAGATATGCGTCCTGTTGTACCAAATCAGGCCCTCTGACGCACCCTATCGACCCTTCAGCCAAGTCTTTGAGACACCTAAACTTCACAGGACAAATTCCGTTCCAGAAGGGACTGAAGCTTCAAGAAAAGTTTGTGAGGGCGCAATTAGACATGAAAGAATTGTCTTCCAAAATTGACAAGAAACTAAAGCAGCTCGAGATAGACAATCCTGGAGCGGTAGTGAATGAGCATGAGGAAACTATCTTGAAGAGTATTTTAGACATGAAACCAGGACCCGTGCTCCTGACATTTGAATTTGAGCCGACGTATACTGGAGGAAAACGCATGAAGAGACAGTTAAGACCTGAGAAAATTGCAGCATTTGAGAGGTTCAGACCCGCTGCTCAAACTAACGACAAAGCTCCTCGATTTGTTCAGGTGGAAAGGGGTGGGCAAGTCACTTTTCATGGCCCTGGGCAGATGGTAGCATATATCATAATGGATTTGAAATGCTTTCACTCGTTTCCTGCAAGATGTCTGGTGTCTGCCTTAGAAAAATCGGCAATAAACTCCTTAGAAAAGTTAACGCATCAGGAAACTGAGCAGCCTTTGAGGTTAGAGCCTCCCGGCAGCGGTGAGACGGGAGTTTGGGTGGACAAACAAAGCAAAATTGCCAGTATCGGTGTCCATGTACGCAGATCTGTTTCTTCCCATGGTATCTGCATCAACGTTTCGCCAGAGTTGTCTTACATGAACAACTTCGTCATGTGCGGACTACCCGAGACTACGGCTACTTCAATTCTCGAACAGAATCCCGCCTCTCAAATCTCAGTTTCCCACATGGCAAACGCGTTTGCAAAGGAATTTGCGAGCATTATTGGGGTGGAATTAGTTGAACATATAAACGTGAAGAGCAGCGAAATTCAAGAATAGACTTGTAAGTACTTAAAAGTTATGCATTGATAAATTTGAATTCTGGCTACCTCGAAGAGTATTGAAATGCGACTGCCAAGGCACCAACAGACAATGCACTCAACAAAAGAGCAGATTTCCCCCGTAAAATTGGTTTGTCCGGCTCCTGCTTAATTTTTGCATCAAGCTTCGGTTCTCCCTTCTGGGTTGCGCTCTCCTCTATAGTGGATACTTTCGTGAACTCTTTGTTTTTGTATTTTTCAACTTCTAGAAGAGTTTGCAAGTCATCCACTTTTCTGGCCAGCTTTTCTACTTGCCTCAAATGTTGTAGCTCTTTGGCCTCGACTTCGCTTGTCTTCTCTTGCAATTCTTGTTTAGCTGCTCTTACTTGATCGGTGCATTCCTTTGTGAGCTTTTCGTGCTTATCATTAAGCTTCTGTCTAAGCGAGGTTTGCAAATTCAGAAGTTGCATATCATTGTTTTCGACTCGAAGCTTGTTGATATACTCCATGTTGGTCGTGTAATTGATGAGAAAGTTTTCAACCGACTTGAGCTTTTCAAACTCATGTTTCTCTAACGTAATTTCGGTCATCAACGTCTTGATGACTTTAATGAGATTCGAGCTTGTTCCGATCGAGTTATTAATGAAGATTCCGCTCAGAATCTCAGTCTCCGTGCTCAGCACGGAATCCTCCAAGTACAAGTTATTGACATCTCCAAACATAGCTGCTTCGAAAGCTGCACGCTGCGCGTTGGGAGCCACGCTGTTGCCGGCTTCCGGGCTCAAGTTCTCATTACCAGTTTTCTCAGAGTTATTAAAAGACGTCTCAGCATCCTGAATAAGTGGAATGACAGATATATCTTCAACGATGGCACTTATCTTGCGATGCTCAAACTTAGCGTCGATGTCAGTTCCCAGATCCACTACATCGCCGACCTTAAGCTCCACGTCACTTTGGCCGATCCTGGTGCCATTAACGAAGGTACCATTCGACGATTTCAGGTCCCTGATGTAAATCTTGCCGTTGAACGAGTCGCAACTAAGAGATGCATGGTTTCTAGAAAGTACCCTAGAATCGAAGTGTCCATTGTCTGAACGCACTTGTGGCGGCACTTCTTGCCTACCATTCGCTTGCGCTCCAGAATTCACCACCGGACGTCCTAGTTTGAGGCCTTCAGGCTTGAAAGGCACTACCAGAAACTTGGTCTCGAAAGTGTTGTTTAGTGATTTTAGGACTATTATATGGGTGTACCGCGAACGAGGGGCCGTCGCGGGTATCACAATATCTTGCATAACATGAGAAGCCATACCATTGCTGCTGGAATCTGACCTAGCCCGCCGGGTCACTCCGGTTTTGCTTACCGCGCTCATCACCCACCGCTCTTAGTCTTCACAGTTCGACCATCAGCGTTCCTTGTCACCTTAACAAGTCAATCACTATGTACGTAAACGCTATGTAGAGGCCCAATATCTGGCTTCACCATGCCATCTTACATGCCAAGTGCTAGACCCTCGTATTGACTTCCTGTATTTACATACAGAGACTTGCTGAACAGTTTATCTTGCTGTTGTAGTAGCCACAACAATAACTTGTCTGTGTAGCCAACTATAACTTCGCAACTTTGATCGTCCATCGTCGTACATGCGACGACTTGTGGGAGCATTGACAAAAGCCTGAGCAAGTGCATAGCACCGTAGATTGAGTGCGGGGGTTCATCTAGGTTTTCGGCAAGTTGCAATCGCTCAAACCGATACAGCAACATGACGGGTAGCGCACGGTCAAAATAAAGTCTCAGTCCGTCACAATATTCGCACAATTGAGATTGAGCAACAGGCGAGGGCTCATTGCTGCTGGTGTGCTCGTAAAAGTAAGTCAGAAGTTTGTCGACATTGGAGCTACAAGGCAGTTCGACCAGTTTTTTATCTTTGGTAATGGCTTCCCAATCGTCGACCAAAATGGCTTTAAGTTGCTGTGGAATGTGAACCACAATGCGTGGGCCAGTGGCTTCAACTTTCCCGGGGCTTGCATACAACTGCGAGCCTGCTGCTGCTGCGGGACCACTAGGTTTTTTCCTTTTAGAGTCTGTTTTCTTGCTCTTTACACCGGAACCCGTTTTCTTCGCAGCACTACGGGCCTCACGCGCTTCTTCTATCAACTGCTTTTTCAGAGCAAGGTTCTGTTCGTCATATTCGCGTATTCTTTCTTTGCCTATCCATTCGTCCCACGAGGATTTCCAGCCCTGGTAATGAATATAAAAGCATTCTTGTTCCGTCAGATCTTCAGGGATTTCCTCGTCGTCTCCGGGGTCCTCACCACTGTGGTGGACTTTGAGGATTCTAGCTTCATATAGGAGCGGTCCGTGAAACGCCAGGCATTTGCTGTTTTCCTTCAAAGACATGTGCCACGGCCTTTATTAGATGATCTTGGTGGAGATCTGTAATTTTCAAGAACTTTTCACTATAAAAGAGGCAGGTAGGCCGTTTTGACAACTTGAATCAAAGCGGGCCACAGATCACCCAGAGCTATTCAGTACGTTATCTTTGCTGAACTAGCCAAAATAAACATTCATAGAGAGATATGAAGCCCATTGTTAACAGTGTCTTCTATTTCCACTCATTTCCTCTGATTTCTTCTCCATTCGTAAATTGAATGACTCATCGCCAGAACAAACCGAAACTGTACTAAAGGTTTGAAGCAAAGTCGGAAAGTAGTTGAGCTGTGGCGAATAAGCTATTGAAATAACCGCGATAGAATCAAACAAGAACTTGATCGAGCGGCTGTTGATTTCTTCGAAACACTAATTTGACTGTGATTAAGATGCAATTCGCTTCGAAGTGTGTAGACCTAAGGCCGCTGACCTAGCTATTTGCTTAGGGTTGTATCATTGGCAGCCTTTATTCCTAAGGTTCTCAAGACTTTTAAGGTTGCAGGACTCGTCCTAGCCCAATGCTCTTTCGTGATGATCTTTACGTGAGAGATTCTAAATTTTCTTGTTTTGACTTATACAGCTAAACAAAACAATTGCCCAAGGCTTTAGTGGCGATGACGGATACCTTAGAGCTTTGCGTTGCGTCGTTGGAGTCAAGTACTGGTCTTCTGGATGAGGCGGTGAGAAATTTGACGGAAAGAGGTAAAGCTAGCAGTCATTTGACCAAATCGTTTCTTCATGTCAAAAGAGTATTCGAGCTGATCCCTGAATATGACTTTCAGAAAGCGAAACTGGATCTCATTGAAGAGGTTGAGCCGCTAGTGAACAATTTGAATAATAAACTGGAAAAAGCGCTGTCCCGGTTAGAACGCGAGGCAGGCAATCTTGCGCAAACTTATGAGCTGAACAAGTTACGGCTCAGTAAGATAAACGTCGATCAAGAAGACGTTGAATTCGATATGAGTGCCGATCCAGTGGTTATAGTCTCGTCGACCAGCGAGGAATTGGAAGAGCTCAAACGTCTGAAGGGTGAGAAAGAAAGATCTCTTCATAAAATTCAAGAGATGGAGCGAAGCATCATTGTGCCAGATTAGATAAAAATTAAAAGAGTTCATATTAATCCAAGGTTGGTAAAATGATTGCTCAAGCATGATTCAAGGCCATTGAGCTTGGAAGTTATACTTATAAGTGTGGGATCGCTGGTTGTGGCGGAAACTTTATCGCTTTCGGAGACAAGGTGTCCATGGAACGTGACAGATCGCGACAGCATGTACTGAGCTTCCTCCATGGTTGTTCTTCCGGACTTTGAATTTGGAAAGACGCTTTGCAAGAAAGACCGTTCTTCAACGCGGAGACCTGCCGCCTTGAGAACTTCAGCAAGACTTTTTTCCCTATGCTCCTTCAGCCGTTCCCTGACGGTGTCTGTGAAGCTCTTCCCCGTGGTAGCATCAATTCTGGACCATGGAAGAGCCGTTTCCTTTTTAAGGTTTCTTACCTCGATGCTAACCTCGTTCTTGAAGATCACTAACTCCAAATTCAAGAAATGGTGTGCCGTTTCCCAGGGTGCATCATTGGTGTGCGTAAAAAGAGTCTCCAATGTGTCATTACCGTTCTCCGGAAACAAAAGCTGGCGCGGCGGGTTCTCTAGTACGTTTATAGACCGGCTAAGCAGATTTAAGACGGTGGCTATTTTTTTAATAAATTCCTGTGGGTCTTCTTCCTGCTGTAGATCCTCCAAAACCAGTAAAGCTTCCTTCAGATTCTTCGTAATATCACGAATCTGTTCTAGGACATATTTTCGGGATGTGTCCATCTTGAACATAATTGGCTTTCCCCAGTTGTATTGTGGGAATTTAACTATTGCATGAAAGTCGGTGACAACACAATTTTGTCGTGTGACAACTCCACGTATAGATGATATCCCGCTGTTTGATTTCGAAGTGCCTCCACCACCGCTGATCGGCATCTTGAAGGAAACGTCGCTGAGAAGTAGTTCCAGGCATTTTTCCATATTATCCATAATATTGGGAAGCTCGGGCTTGATAATCTCTTCTATTAACCATATCTTTTCGGCCTCATTGTTCTTCGTTTCGCATAATGGAGGGCCTCCAAAGTAATCATCAGGAAATAACACGGTACTCATTTTTTATGTAAATGTTTTCTGTTCTATATCTTCTCTTGAAGCTTAAAGATTGGAAAACTTAGGATCCCTTGGGCTCTACCACCGTTTAAAGAAAACCGATAAACTAAGAGAAATGCTGAGTCGGCACTCTTTTCGTAGACTTCAATCCCATAGCTCGAGTTTACTAAGGCGTAACTTCTTTGGTGCCGCAGCTGTAACTTTAGGAGGATTCATATTTGGTCAGGATGCTCGTCTTGCCGATTCCATCAGCGAAGGTGAGGTGCACAACAAAAACGTTGATTATGAAGCTTTGAGAGAAGAAAAAGTGCAGATGAGATTGAAATCAATCAAGAGTAGTCGTCCAATGGCGCCCCAATACGAGGGCCATGTTCCTCTTTATCCACATGAGCGCTTTCTTTTGTTCGTTACGTCGGGGCTAAGGTCCTACTACCATCCTGAAAACGGTGACAATATAGTACAATTGGGAGAGGCGACGGCTTTTCCTTGCTTCCTGGAAAATCTAAAAGAGGTCATGTTGTCAGATAAAACAGGAAGGCAGATTTTGAGGGAACAGCCCGATATTACGACTGAGAGTTTGCACATGGACAGGTTGAAGGAGCTTGATGAAAATACGGTTGGGTACACTTACTACAAATGGCTTCTTAGAGAAGGTGTCTCACCAGACACACGAGCTCCTGTCAAATACATTAACGATCCCTTACACGCGTACATTTTCAAGCGTTATCGGCAATGCCACGATTTCTACCATGCCATCAATGCACTTCCAATCAATATCGAGGGCGAAATTGCGGTGAAGACACTCGAAGCAGCAAATATCGGAGTGCCAATGGCCGGATTGGGTGCTCTTTTAGCGCCACTTCGCCTCAGCAAAGTCCAAAAGCAAAGAATATACGACATTTATATTCCATGGGCCCTGAGAGCTGGTTTGAGTAGCAAGCCCCTTATTAACGTTTATTGGGAGAAGATTTTGGATCGTGACGTGGATGAGCTGCGCGAAGACTTGGAGATTAGACCACCGCCTGATCTTCGAACAATTCGTTCCGAACGGGCAAAGTTGCGGAAGGCTTTCAAGCAAAAATACGAAAACTACGAAAAACAACCATAGTGCTGGTTTATCTGATGTGGTTTGATCTCTTTGATAAAGTTCTAAGTTTAATTATATGAGTGCTGCATGCCTATTAAATGTCTATCTCTCGGCGTAACAGTCTGAAACAGTCAAGCTATGATTAAAATAGGTGACAAATTACTGATTCTTTTCAAGGCCGTCATCGCCATGAACTTCAACCCTGTCCGTCTCTTTACTTACGTCGGAATTGGCATCCTCAGATGAGCTTGCCTTTCTTTCGCGGTAATGCAATACGTCGACTTCTTCTGGAGTGAGCTCGCTATAAGGTATCATTCCCTTCTTTCTGGCCACCTCATCAGTGAAGCCTCCATAGTAATCCTTGTCGTCTTGTCTTACGTTGATTTTCACAGGGAAGATCAAACATAGAATCCAGTAAGTAAAGAAGGAAATCAAGAACGAGGTGAACGAATCGGCGAGGAAGAAGTTGTTGATTCCTTTGTTTTTCACCAAATTTGGATTGACGTAGCCCGCAATACCTGGCAAACCGGGAGCCATACCGCATACGAAAGCAAACATAGCTCTCCAGTTAACACCGAGAGTATAGTAGTATTCTCCCTTGAGGATGAATGCTTCTGACACAGAATATTGACGCTTGTGGACAAGGAAATTGTCCGCAATCATGACGGAGATCAATGGTGTCATGACGACACCGAACGAACTCATGACAACCAAAAACACAGAGGAAGAATTGTAGAAATTCCAAGGCTGGACGGCAAAGGACACAACCGCGCAGAATATGGCACCTCTAAAAATGTTGATGTATTTGGGGAGAACACCACTCAAGTCCATACCGGCAGCAAAACCACAGTTGGATATCGTATAAGCAATCTGGGAACAAGTGAAAGCTAATCCGCAGAAGAAAGAAGCAGCTCTAGCTCCCGAGGAATAATTAGTCGTCAACCAGTACTCAGTGATGTCCATTGGCATCCATAGCGCATCACCATAAAGCTGGGCTGTGGTAGAGGCACCAATGACGCCGAAAACAGGAATTAAAGTCGTTGGGATCAAAAGAGCACAGATTGTTCCCGCGTAAATTGCCGTCTTGGAAGAGGCAAAACGAGAGTAGTCACTTTGATTGGTAGAGCCAGGAGACACAGAGCCGAACCAGTAGGAAACCATGTAAACCCAGGCCCAGGATCTGGTAGATCCGGACACGGTCGTCTTAGAGGTCTTGAGCAGTTGGCCTACACCGTGAGCTTCCTTGCAAAGGTAGATGATCATACCCATCATGGCGAAACAAGTCGCGACACAGGATGCAATCAAAAAGTAGTTCATGCTCTTGGGCTTGGCAAAGTAGAAGAACGCTGTGACAACGTGGAAAATCATGAACCCGATAACTTGTTTGGTGGTCATCGCGACGTGGGATGAAAGCGTGTTGGGTAACGTAAGGTAGTGGTGCGACCACGAGTCCAGGATCATGTTGATACAAAGCCCGCCCAGCCAAGCGTTGGATCCGTAATTCACAACGCTCATCAAGATACGCACCAAAATGCCTAGACCTGACCCATAGATACCAAACACAAACCGCTGTGACAGCGTGTAACCAACTTTCCAGTCGTAACCCTGGTACGAGTTGGCCAGCGTGAACACGATGGTGACGACGTCACCAACGATAAAAGTACCGATTGTCTCTCCGTAAGAGAGACCTACCGAAAGCGCTGAATTGGCACTAATCCAGGTACCCACGGAAAACGAAATGACACCCCAGTATGCAAAATTCGACCAGAAACCCCATTGCTGGTCCTTGGCCGGAATGGGCTGCAGGTCCGGGTTTTTCAAAACACTCAATGTCTCTCTTTCGCCCACGGGAACTTCCAGCAGTTTGAGGCCGCGGCGCCATAAACTCTTCTCACCTGCCATGATCACTTTGTAACTATTGACTAGATGCACTTATCAAGAAAAACCGACTCTCCAAAAGGGTCTCCTGGTCGTATTTGCATATCGTTATATATGAATGTCTAACGAGTCGAACGAGCCATCGCCTGCCATCCCGCACCATATCAAACTTTCATCACTACCTTCACTACTACGCTCATCACTGCGGACTTCACGTTTCTCTTTCTTCGTACCGTCCATCTCATTTTATTAGCCTTTTCGGGCCATAAGAGAGTCCCTCGGCAGCTATTAGCTTTATGCATTTAGTGCGCAGAAAAAGACATGCAGTTTTACGAACAGAGCGGAGGATCCACCAAGCCCACAGTGAAAAACTAACACCAACCACGATCAAGCCTTGAGAAAACGCCTTTAGCCGCTTGCATCGTTCCTCTATTGCAGAGAGGTATTTCTACAACACCTGGGTTCCTAGCCTTTGGTTCCTGGCCTGTTGCCTGCGGCAGCAGGCAATTTTCTTGGCATTTCTCATCTTACTGTTCACTTTTTCTCGACATGTATCGGCCGAGAGACATTGAATTTCCTCCAAGCGACGGCATGGGAGAAAAATTGGGTCGAAGTCGCGCGACACGATATATAAGATCACGTACGCATGTACATACGCATCCAGCTCGGTACATAGTCCGACTGCCCCTCTAATGCATTGTGCAGGGTCGAACGATGAACAATGCGTACGGCCCATTGTTACCGAAATACGCGCTAGATATCTCACGCCACGTGAGGCTACTGAGGGCTACTGACAGAATGATGGGGTCCGTAGGCTGTGTACATCGGTTCGCTAGGTTGATGGTGAGGTGATGGTGGGGCTTTAGCTAATTCAGGTATGTTCAAGAAGCGCGGGGTGTGTGGGTGGAGCACTCATCTACGTGCCCTGTGCACGGGGGACGGATCGTCAACGACGGGCTGCGACACTTCATCTGACGCAAGCACTGAGCACGACTTCAGAACAGAGGTTGTAAACACCTTGAGGAACGCCTTGGGGTTCAAAAAACTGACCTGAGGAATGTCCTCTTTTCTTTTTGTTCTGTAATTGAACAACTCTCGCGACGTAAATGCAATGGTCCAGTAAGAGGTCTAAATGCGTCCTCAGACGGGTTAATTATCGCCTGTCTAGACTGAGTACGCGTGACACAAAAACCAATTCATAAGAAGAGACTGGGTTCGCTAGTCACCACATTCGTGCCCAGCGCAGTTACTAACTTATTCTGCTGGCTATAGCCCTTACTAAGGTAGTGGAGATTTAAGACTATTGCGTGAAAAAAGTTAGCCGCCGAGAGGTATCATTGTGTACGGAGTAGTCAAGCGTTTCTCGCCTGATCAAGGTTTACCGGCATTTGGTGAATATTATAGGCCCGGGTGGCGGAAACGAAAACAAAATCGTATTAATGCCGGTAATTAGATAGCCTGGTGAGTTCTTTTATGGTGGTGTAGACTCTGTTCGGTTGAACGTTTTGTTCTAAATGGCAGTTGTTCTTTGTAAAACATGCAAGTTCCTCAACTCTTGAAAGCCGGCCTCCCGATTTGGTGCCAGATCCTGATTAAAAAGGGTCGTCGAGATATCTTAGCAGATGAGCGTGAGTACGTTCGCCGATAACATGTCCCGATTTCGTGCGGAATTTGATCTTATATCCTTCTAAAGAGCTGCTAGAGTCCCTCGAAGTAAGGCTTTAGATGCAGTCAAGGGCGATTTTCCTGCCTAATTCGTAGCCCAGATCCTATATGGCCAGAAAGTCTACCTTAGGACCCCTTTTGATTCATCCGTCTTTTTGGTTAATCGTAAAAGTTTCGGCAGGAGCATACGGCATGGTGGACTTCCTACTGGTGCACTAACAATAACTAGCCCAGCAGACCGCAAGCCATTCCAGATCGTGGTTACCCCATGCTACGTCTCTTATATTACCAAGCATGCTTGGGCTAGCATTTCTCATCACTAATAGAAAGGCTGGAGGAAGTTTTCACTAGTTACAGTCATGGACTCGAGAAAGGGCTCGTGAAAGGACTCGTGAAAGTATATGATTATTTGATACGAATGTGTTTGAACCCTCATTCGTCTCCAGTGCTACGTTCAAATAACCTTGCCGGTGCTACTATCGAAGGCGAAGAAACCTCGGCTAAGCACACAGGGCCGTCTCCACTCGCAGAGCTCAAATCTGGACGACAATGTTAGGACGCCTGATACCACACATTCCAATTGTGCTGGCGTATCCAACCGTTCTGCTGTCCAGCAATCTAATAATATCCGTGAAGAATGCTGGAGGTTTTGACAACGGAAGGATAGAGAGAGCAGTGGACGCTCTGGTAGTGCCGCTATTCTGTGCGTCGCTCATGACACTGTTGAGCAATAGCATCAATGGTCTCCAAAATCTGCCCATGGCCTTTTACGTTGCGTACGTCAGTTTTGTATTGAACGCCATTTTGGGCCACGCGCAAACGGCGGTCATCTCAGCGCTATTGGTGCAGCTGGTCAGCGGCCATAACCGCCTATCGGCGCTTCACTGTGCGTTCCCTGTTTTGAGTCTTCTGATCAAATATTTAGAAGGCCAGAGCTACTGGCAGAGCGCAGTTGGCTACTTCGTAATTGCGGCGACGCTGACGTTGAAAAATTGGTTGAGTAGAAAAGCACTAAATGGAGCCTCGAGCTCGAGAGTGATTCTTTGCGGGATTTTATTCGTCACCGGTTTCTTCCTGTTTGCTTCGGGAATGCAGTCTCCAGATAGTCCTCACAGTATATGGGGCGATAGCATGTCGGTTCAGTTTTCCATGATATTTGTATTTACTGGGTCGTTGGTCGTTTTTTTGGTAAGCTGGAAAGACTCGAGCGAGGAAAGCAGTGGTGAGGACATCCTGGGCCTCTGGAGGTCGTACTATCTACCCTCGACTTTAGGTGTCATGACCATTCTTCTGCAGTATCTTTCCTTCGAGTCTTTGACTTCCACACCCGTCGCAGATTTGGTACTGGCGTTATTCGTAGCGTGCGGCAGCGTAATTTCGAAATTAACAGGTGTTGGAGATCAGAGCGGTCGGATAGAGAAAAAATCGGATGACAACATCGTCTCAGGTGGGGACGACCTTTCCGGTGGACATGAGAATCACCACTGCCATGATCACGGTCATCATAACGGCCACCATGCCACGACCGGAAAGACACCGCCTGAAAAAGTAGGACTATTTTCCGAAATGGCAAGGAATGAAGATACCAGATCCATCTTTTCTTTTCTGCTCCTAAACACGGCATTCATGCTTATCCAGCTACTCTACTCATTCCGCTCTAAATCATTGGGGTTACTCTCGGATTCGCTACATATGGCCCTGGATTGCACTTCCTTGTTTTTGGGCTTAGTAGCGGGCGTTCTATCCAAAAGACAAGCTACAGACAGGTTTCCTTTTGCCTTAGGCCATTTGGAAACTCTCGCTGGATTCACAAACGGGATTTTATTACTGGCTATTGTCGGAGGTATTCTGGTCGAAGCATTTGACAGAATATTCAATCCTACGATGTTGAAAGAAACCACCGAACTACTTATCGTATCATTCCTAGGCCTAATTGTAAACTTGGTGGGTCTATTTGCCTTTGATCACGCAGAACATTGCCATCACCATTCAAACGAAAACATGAGAGGCATTTTTCTCCACATTCTTGCCGACACACTGGGCTCTGTTGGTGTTGTCATTTCAACACTTTTAACGAAGTTCTTCGGCTTGGCTATCTTCGATCCAATCGCGTCTATGCTAATTGCAATCTTGATCCTGTTCAGTTCCATGCCGCTGATAAAATCAACAGCATCGATAATTTTGTTGAAACTTGACGACAAGACGAACGTCATCATCAAAGACGCCTTGAATCAGATAGCCACGACACCTGGTATTACAGGGTATACGACACCAAGGTTTTGGCCCTCCGGCGGTAGCCCCAGTTCAGGACACGGACACCATCACAGTCATCATGATCATAATCATGAACATGATGACCCTCATAGCGCACATTCACACGGTTCAAAGTGTTCCCATAGTACGCACTCATACAATGATGAGGACTCTCACGGACATTCTCACAATCACGATCACTCGCATAAAGGTCACACCAAAGATCATCATCACGAAGAGCAGGAAGTAAAGTTGATCGGATACATTCACGTTCAATATCTCGAGGGCGAAAACTCCACGATTATCAAAAAAAGAGTTGAAAAGATATTCGAGACCCTGGGCATCAAGGCTTGGATACAAGTCGAGAGCAGGGATTCGCCATGTTGGTGTCGGACAACATTAACAAGTTAAATAGATCACAGTTCTCTCGTAAGTAGAACAATCAGCATATTCTGCATCTCACGTCACCGTTCTTCTAATGTGGTTGTAAACCTCGACTAACTTGTTTTGATTTCTGGAAGTAACACCATAATATAATTGATACCTGCTGATCAAATCATCAATAACTTGCAATTTGCGCTTTTCGCCCTCACAAATGAGTTTTAGATCCACTTCCATCTGCCGTCGCAAGAATGGTTTAGCGAAAGAATCTTCAAGTCCAATCTCCTCGAAACCGTGGACCAGAGAGATTCCAAGTATTGTCGGTATCAAATAGGTTTGCTTATTGATTTTCTTTTTTGTAATGTATTCCCGCTGTTGTATCTTTTCAATGTGTTCGGCTATTGTAGCGTCAGTTCCTATTCCGTTGGCATCCATTAACAAGATGAGCTCGGCCTCAGTCATTTGATTTGGCGGTGAAGTCTTACCATCCTTCATAACATGTGAGCTTAGTTGTATTTCCTGACCGACAGTGAGAGCTGGAAGCTGCTTCGTTGTTTCCCACTTAGCCCAAAAATAAATGTCCATGAAGTTGCGCTCCAACACAACGAGACCATTAGCCGTAAATTGTTCGTAGCCCCATTCAATCGTCATCGTCGTTAAATGGCCCTTGGCGTCTTCTGAACAGCAAGCGAGGAAATGTCTAGTGACATACTCGTATACTTTCCTTTCGTTGTCATTTTCTAAACCTGAGCCACAAGTAATGATGGGGTGAATGGGAGGATGTGCTTTGTCGTCGTTTTTGCCCGAACGGGGCCATTTAAATCTATTCGATGTCGTTTCTGCCAGCAGAGTTTGAGCATATGACCCCCAACGCGGATCCAAAGTTTGTTGTTCGACTAGCGCTTTCAAATCCATGTTAGACGGAAAAATGTCCGTCTCAGTTCTTGGGTATGATATAAAGCCCTTTTGATATAGTTTTTCAGCAGCTTCCAGAGAGGTTTTGGCGCTCATTTTGAAAAAACGTGAGCAGTTTTTTTGTAATTCCACCGTCGTCAAGGGCAGGGGCCTGTATTTCGTGGTAGATTTCGATTTCAAATCGCTGACTTTGGCAATCGAGCCTGCTGTCTCGACACAGGACTCATAGATGACAGCGACGGCGAGCCGATCAAACAAGTGTACCCGTTCCCATTGGAAAAACGTCTCATCGGCCCCATTAGCAACACCTACTTGAATAAACCAAAACGATTCAGATACAAACCTTCGTATTCTTTCGTGACGATCGACAACAAAACCCAGTGTTGGAAACTGACAAGTTCCATAGGATATGACAGGGCGCTGTTTATTCTTGGGGTCGGAAGCTCTTTCAACTTTGGAAGCCAGTAGTTCCGTCAAGAATCGGGTGAACGCCACTCCAGATCTGAGATCGACCTCCATTCTCGTCCGTACGGCATCTACAGCCCTGAGATCGAGTTGTTTGGGATTTTTGGCAGCATGAATGATGTGTCGCGGCTCCAAATGCGAAAATATTGCTCGATATGTGTTTCTCTCAAGTCCCGCATTGGAACTTATCGCCGCTTGAACGACTTCCCAGCCAATATATTCCCCTTCCCTGTCGCAGTCGGTCCATATCATCAAAAAATCGGCGTTTCTGCACTCTTTGCGTATGTTTTGGGCGATCTTTTCTTGATCTTTCGTGCGAATATCGATAATAGGTGCGTTGAAAACTGCAGGAATCGGGCATTTGCCCCATCCATGCGAAGCATCCAGATCCATACCTGACAAATGGCCCGCAACGGCGGTCATGGTAACGTCACATTGGCCTGCAAACGGGAACTCAAACGTGAAATCGTAATTTTTGATATATTTGCTCGAACTATCCCTTCGTGCAAGTCGTCCTCCGCCAAGTATCCCTGCGACGGCCTTGGCTATAGAATTTTTTTCGGCAACGCATACGACGCGCATATGCCCTCCCTCTCAAAATGACCTGGGGCTTCAACTTCAGTTCTCTTCGGGTCAAGCGGTTCAAGTAGATGAGATCTGTGATGTCGGATGCATGGGGCGATGAGATTTGTCGATGATGTACTTATGTACGAAATAATCAAATTCTCGATTCGAAATTCTGAACTCAGTTCAATTTTTCAAATTTTTCAGTCGTCCATCAGAAAATCGACCAACGAAGTTGTGAACATTATCGGAGGGTTTAACTCTAAGGTTCCGCAACCAATTCGATTGAAAGTTCAAATAACTTCTTTGGCCATTCTGCTGCCGAATGTGATTCCATTTTTAATTTCAAGATAACAAATCGGAAATGTCAGAAATTAATTTAAATCAAAAGACCACATCTAAAAGCGATGAGTTTGAAAATTTTAGAGTTCAGCTTGGTCAAATTTTCCTGTCTTACGAAACTCACCAGGATGATGCCCTTTTGAACGGCTTTTTATCGTTCGTGCATTCCAAAGTTGAGAAAAGAGTTTTCGGCTGCCTGGAAGCAGCCCAGAATGAGACCAATAAACAGCATGCAGAGTTGCAGCGGACAGCAGACGAAGTGCTGGATGCGTTGTGGTTGAGTGTGCATTACGCGGTTTTCAAAAAATTTCAGCATTGGATGCTGTTTATGATTTCAGCTTCAGAATCAAATCCGAAAAGCGGCAGATCGGTTCAAAATAGGAAGCTTGAAGCCAAGATGACTAAGTATTACAAGTCTGTGCATAAATTTTACTACGCGCTACTAGAGAAAACTTTAGCGGAGTACGATGTTACTTGCATCGTGCCAGCCAGGTTTTTGAAACTGCTCAATGTACCGTCCGCACAGAAAGAGGGCCGAATAATTTTGAATGTGAACGATCCTCGTTCCATAGCGATTACGCTCGTGATTCATCGGTGTTTGCTGTATATTGGGTCGAGCAGTCGTTACAAGACATTGTGTGAAAGGGGGAAAGGTCCTTACGGTGCAGGAAGCTTCAAGAAAGCATTACGTTACTATGACCTAGCTCTTCTCTTGTTACCTTCTGTCGGCGAAACACATTTGCAAAAGGGATTGATATATGTTCAAACCAAGAATTACGGTTTTGCTTGTTACTCGTTCTCAAGAAGCGCTTCTTCGAGGATCTTTGCGCCCAGCGGTTTGCTAAACCTGCTGAACTGTATCGCAAATCCTAAAAGCAGAACTTTTCAACAAATTTTGGCGCAATTTAGAGGGTTAAGGGAAGTGGAACGCAACCGCAAGCTCCAGTGTCATCGTGAGATAATCGAGACCTATTTCCTCGTCCTATTTGGTGCGATGTTCTCGCCCCAAACATGGCTTATGGGTAAAAGTAACAGGATAATTGGCGATGCTTCAGTTGACGACGTGAAGAGAATTTTGAGAGAGAGGATTTTACTGAAATACAATCAAAATATGAACATCATACTTCAAAATTGCATTATGCTAATTACAGGATTTGATTTGTTGAAAAGCAAGGCTATGGAACATTTGAGGTCGCCGGAAAGTGAGTCCCGCTACCTTTGCATGGCGTTTGATCACCTAATCTTCTTGCTGAACAATATAGTTGCGAAAGAATGGGCTCAAAATAATGATGGTCAATATTTGGCGCTCCTTCGTATCGTCATGGCCTGGGTCAAGTGCGACAAAAATGTGCTCAAATATGCTCACCGTCGAGAAGACTTCTGCACCTCAATCTCTAAGATCATGAACCAAATTTCCACATCATCTCAAGTCAAATTGTTTGAGATGGAACACAGGCCGCAACGCAATTACTACTTTGACGAGGACGTTTCGCTGCGAGAAGTGAAAACATTTAGGCATGCTTTGACGGATTTCCAAGATGAGAACATATTTAAAGAACCGGACGCCGCTCTGCGTGTTGCAGGCCTGTACGATAAGAAATACAGTGTCGAGGAAGAAAACGACTTGAGAAGGCAAGCTATTGTTGTTTCCTTAAAGAAGTTTTTGAGCAAAAACTCCAGTCTTTCCGCGAAGAAGAACGTCGTGTCTGGAAATCATATCGCGAAACCTCACAGTTTTGTTAAAAAAGTGGTTGGGGTGGAGCAGACACGCTTCGAAATCAACAACCGCCCAACGGTTGAACATGAGGAGTTGGAAGTTCTTCAAACTACAGAGTTCAAAAGTGATCCGGGTTTTGCGGGATGGGGTTACAGCGGTTCTTCGGTACCAGCTGCCCCAAGTGGATTTAAAGTCAGACCCAGTAATTCACTTGTTTCTGGCGGCAAAGAGCAAAGCGCCAAGATTTTGAAAAGTGCAACAAGCAGCGAGTCTGTCGGCGGACTGCGGCAGCCACAGGCTTCCACCTCGGCGGTCATAGCAGCACCACACCCCAATAATATGATATCTCCTTATATGTCACATCCAAACATTGCTTCTGTGAACTTACCACCAGTTGTTTATCCACCATACTGGCAACAGCAATACCAACCGCCGATGCATGACGCCTTTTACCGCGGAATGCCCTCCGGCCTTCCCCTAAACATGAACACCTTTCCACCTGTCGCTCCAACACCTGACTCGAGGCATCCAGCACACCCGGCTATGTATCCGACAATTCAAGGTTCCTCCTATGTCAACAATTTTGCTCACACACCCTACTGAGGTAAGTGTATGGAGTTCATTTGACATTTTTGGTAAGGTAGCTTGGCAAAAAGTCCTTTTAGTTAGATTTATGTAAAAGTAAAAACTGTTAATTCCAAGTTTCGAGACCTTTGCATTTGCTTTGCTCAGCGCTTTAATTTGGTCTTTGAATTCTGTTGTCCGTAATATGATGTTTCGATTCGAAGCCAATGATGATGAATAGCTCAGAGTAAAACGTAGCTTTCTTTAATTCGTCATTGGAATATAGTTTTATGCGTTCAATTGGCGTTTTTTTTTTACATTTTCCGTTTCCCAGTCCCAACTGTTTTTAAAAGCCTTACTTCATGGAAGCGTCTCAAGGTTTCCGCCTCATTGCCAAGCGCTTTGCCTCTTTGGTCTTCTTCTTAATCTCTTCCAACTTTTCATTCTTTTTGGCGGGATTAGAGATGAAGTCAGGCTTTACAATGTCATAGTAACATTTCAAGTTCAGACGAAGGCAGTTATGGCAATGGGGCTTTTCTTCAGAACATTTTTTTTTCCGTAACCGACAAATCCAACACCCACTTCTGGATCTAGACCCCGACGTATTTTTACGCTTAGGTTTATCTTTAGGTGACTCTTCCTCTGGTAGAAGCTTTTCGGTGGTTTTAACTGCTGGAACTTTTCCTAAAAGAGCAGCAGCCGATAATAGGGAAGTGACAGTTGAAGTTGAAGAATTGGAAGAATGTCGCGACGTGCGGTTTTTGTCTACTTGACTAGAGCGACGACGTTTGAAGTCATGAGTAGGTGCAGATTGCCTGCGTGTGACTCGTTTTTTCATGCCGCTCTTATTCCAGGTAATCTTGTCCCAGTCACGCTTCTGATGATCTGGCAAATATTCGTCTTCGGTATCGTCCTCGATAACCGCTTGCTCGTCACTTTCATCAGGCTCGTACTCTCGTTGGTTTATGCGAACAACCGGACGCGTATGAGACCTGAACGACGCAGAGCCGGGTCGGCTTGAAACTGCAGAAGGTATGAGAGGTGGTAAAGCATTCAAACCATAACTGATGGACGGGAGCTCACCTGGTGAATTTTGTGCAAACGGAGATGATCTCATTTTGGTTATAATGGCGGCCGCGCCCAGATCGTCATCACGAGGTGACACGCTGTTTCGACTGCGGGGACCCAACAAGAGTCGCGATCGCATCTCATCTAGCTTGGAGTTGATATATTTCGGTGGGTCTGGAATTTGCTCCTCCTCCTGAAGCACGCCGGCGCGCCCCAGTGCAGGCGATGAGCCACCTTCGTCCCCTTCTGTGGTGTCATCTTGAGTGTGCAATGTATAGACATCGTCACCACCACGCGAGTTGAGCAGCGACGATATATTGATCTTGTTGTTGTTCTCTTGTGGCGCGTGGGGGTCAGTCGCCGACCGGTTGCTGTTGAAATGGAAACGGCCCGGGCTGACCACCTCTTTCGATTCGCGGGAGCTACTCGTGGTAAACACGTTTCGCCTGCTGAGGATAGAACTTGGCGAGTTACCGCCGGCCTCATCCTGATGGCTGGGCAGCGATAGTAATGCTGAGATGTGCGGTAACGAAGGTTTTTCGTCTGGAACGATTTCCTTGCCGCCCGCGTCATCCACTTCTCCGTCCCCATTGCGCTTAGCCCCTTCTACGGTTTTGACACCCGTTGGCGGTTCAGGTGTATTATTGGGTGCCGACGTTGGTTTAGGCAGTACCATTGCATGGTATTCGGCTTCCTGAGTCTCTTGGCGCGTTTGTTCATCATCTTGAGGTTCTGTTGGCGCCGAAACCGGCTCTTCGGTGGCGTTCGCGGCAGTGGGCGGCTGGTCGGATATGTGGGGCTCGAGGCCATCCTCTTGTCCAGTCTCCTTAGGAGAAGCTGTTATCTCCGCATTATCACCCATCCTTGGCCTTCTGTGTAGTTGGGCTGGCGTTCGATAATCAATCCTAGCTTGGTTGCGCGGTTCTTTGTGAAATAAAAAATAAATGCTCGTGTCTCCTACTCCTTTTTCTTCAAAAAAACTGAGCCCGTGGCTGGCTGGGCGGGCCGCGCGTGAAATGGGGAAAAAGGTAAGCCGACGAACGAACGGAGACAAAAAAAAAAACCACTACCACGATGGCTCTAAAGAAAAAAATTTTTTTCGCTTCCCACCCACCTTAACCCCGCTTCACACCCGCGCCTCATACCCGCGCTCTGGAGTCATCGTGTACGTAAGTAGATCCATCATTGTCGGCTATTTTCGTATTTCGGAACACTGGAAGCTTGGAGGCCCCAGGAGTGTTAATAAGGGACAATGGGTCATGAATGGCCCAGAATTCTGTAATTCGAGGCAAGCGGCTATTTCGACTCGAATTAACAACAAAGCTTGGTGCGTGGTTAGAAACTTTCGGTCTCGACAACACCATTACCCGCCGAAGGTTCTTCATTCACTTGTGGGACGTGTTCTGATTGTGCTCAAAGGAAAAGGAAAGCTATTTAAGAGATTCGATTCGATTTTGAGGGATCCTTGAGTGTCGTCTTCGAAGCTTCGCTATCGTTGATATTCTCGCTCAATGCTTGGTGGTATACATTAAACACTTGGTAGCTACATATTGATTATTGCAAAATTGTACTCCAGCTGAGAGAAATGTAGTGAGTAGGAGGAAAGGTCAGACTGGGCCAGTGGTGCCCTTTTATACCCAAACTCTTGGAAACTGACACAAAAACACCCAGACAATCGCTACGTACGGAATTCTGGTATAACGCTTTTAAGCGCGGGGTAAGGAAAAGAAAAAAGCTTTGTTTGTCTATCGTAGAAATGGCCCCGAGATGGCATTTTTGGGGCAGTTCCTCGGTGGAAACATGTCCTTTGATTGCATAAATCTGTGTAGAGGGCTATAGGTATATAGTTCAATTATTTTTCAGATAAGTCACGTGTTGAGACAGCCACTATCTCTGACTGATTCATTATAGCATGACGTTGTTCGAGGCATGTCAAGCGTCAGATCATCTCAATGTAAAAGCTTTCTTCAGTGGGCAATTCAAGGGTAAACTGCGATTTGTCGGTTGGGCTTGCGCTGTGTCACACAACGGGTGATTATGTGATTATTCCACTTTGAGCTCATAAGCCTTGCAGAAATGAGGCAGGACTCGCGAAAAAGTCGCAGTTATCTGAGCCTGTCTATTCTTATTCGGTTCTTAGAATATTAGATTGAGCGCATGTCAGTAGTTAGTTTAGTGCATAGAGGTTCTGCCAGTCACGCTGTAGTACACGACAGAATCTAAGAAATTGAAAAATAAAAAAAAGCGAGCTACAGCTTATGCAATGGGAAGCTTCGACATTTGTCAAAAGCAAGTATAAGTAACCATGGAAGAAGCACGTGCCCTGGATTCGACGTACCCTGCCACCAAGCGCGACGCCTTTTGCATCCCGACATTTGGATCCATGGGCACCAAATTGGCACCCAACGGTTCGCTGGGAGACCCAGTGACCTATCTGTGTGGTAACTCTTTGGGCTGCATGCCGAGGTCTACGAGAGCTGCTATAAATGACGAGCTAGACGCATGGGCTGCGCGTGGTGTCGAGTCCCACTTCCGACATAGCGGTGAGGACCGGGGACTGACTTCGTGGGTCGACATCGACCTGCCTTTATCGAAGCTTATGTCACCAATTGTCGGAGCACGTGACTCGGAAGTCGCGATCATGGGTTCCCTCACAGCCAATCTGAACGCTTTGTTAGCCGCGTTCTACAAACCAAGCTCGTCGAGATTCAAAATACTTTGCGAAAAGGGCGCGTTTCCTTCCGATTATTACGCCTTCTACAATCAGTGCAAACTTCACGGTATTGATCCTGATTCGGCACTGGTGCGGCTTGAGCCACGCAAGGGCGAGACGTATCTGCGGACAGAAGATATATTGAAGGCTATTACTGCTAATAGCGATAGTCTTTCTATCGTGTGTCTTCCGGGAATACAGTATTACTCTGGACAATTCTTTGAAATTGAAAAAATCACAGCCCATGCACATTCGTTCCCCGGCATTGTCGTAGGCTGGGACCTTGCCCACGCTGTTGGCAATGTTCCTTTGGAACTCCATTCTTGGAATGTGGATTTTGCATGTTGGTGTTCCTATAAGTATTTGAATTCTGGTCCGGGAGCCATTGGCGGGATTTTTGTCCACGATAGACATGCCAGTGTTGCTGCTGATCCTCTCAGCCCGGATGTAGAAGCAATGCCTCGCATGGCAGGATGGTGGGGAAACAATCGAGACAACAGGTTTCAAATGAAAGAAGTCTTCGAACCAATTGAGGGTGCCTTGGGTTTCAGACAGTCGAACCCTAGCGTGATTGATGTCGTGGCCTTAAAGGCTTCGTTAGAGATATTCAAGGACTTTGGTGGAATGCAAGCAATCCGCCGGCGCTCTCTTCTTCTCTCAAACTATCTGTTGAAACTTCTCCAAAGATCCGCCTACTATCACGAGAAGAGTACGGATGGAGAAGGAAAAGTCGGCTTTTCAATTATCTCACCGCTTAACGAGACGGAACGTGGTGCACAGCTGTCTCTACTCATTCAATTCTCCAAAGACAATCCGCAAGCTAACACAATGGAGCGTGTGTTTGGTTATTTGAATGATCGCGGTGTCATTGCTGATGAAAGACGGCCGGACGTCATACGAATTGCGCCTGCCCCTCTCTACAACACTTTTGAAGACATTTTCACGGCGGTGAAACTACTCAACGATGCTTTTAAAAGCTTATAGAATTTGTTGTGTACTTACGTACTTCGGTGACAGATTATGTACGATTCGAAAGGTAGATGAATGAAATTAGTTTTGATAAAGTCAGCATTTCTTGGAGGCGTCCATGGAAATCTCGGCAAACGAGCCAAAAGTGCTGTATTTTTCGAAAGGATCTTCGACTTTCTCTAAATCTTTCTCAGGATTTTGAACAAGATTCCTGTTCCTGTAGAATCTTCTCTTGGAAAACTTGTAAATCTCGGCGCCAACCCAGAAAGCCACACTAAAACCAAAGGCCAGTCCCCATTCGAAACCGATTCCTTTGTGTAGAAAGACTTTGTCGTTTATAACTGGGATGTAAACCACGGGAAACACGGATACGAAGCCTAGAATGACGGACCAGAACAAAAACTTGTTTGACCATATATCCTTCATCCACTGAGTGTAAGGAGTATAGGTTTCAGGCTGCATTTGGAAGAAAGACCTTCTCAAGTCGATCACCTCCCAAGCAAGAATTAGGGCACACCACGTCATTGTTGCAAACACAGCAGCACGACCTTTGAAAACAAGATCACAACTTTCGCTGTAAGAGATGTTGCAGTTGATACCCAACATACCGTTTCCAGTCCCATAAAGAACAGTAACGAAGCATCCCAAACAGCAACCAGCCATCCATACCCCATATACCACCATGTCGACGATAATCTCCCAAGTGAAAATTCCGGTGCGTGAGTCGTTTGGTGGCTTCTGCATGATATCGGGTGCAGACTTCTCTAGACCAAGTCCCATGGCTGGGAAGCAGGAAGTCACAACAATAATCCACAACACCTCGACGGGGGACAGCGGGAATACAGAGAGTTTTTCCTCATCCATGAAACAGAGACCAACCATGAGATAAAGGGCCTGAGCGACATTCTCAGCCAGCAATTGCAGCACAAATTTCTGAATATTGTCGCTCATTCTGCGCCCTTCTTCTACGGCGTTCAAAATGGAAGCGAAGTTGTCGTCACTCAGCACAATGTCTGACGCATCCTTCGCGACGTCGGAACCATTTATACCCATTGCGATACCAACATTGGCCTTCTTGAGACTAGGAGAGTCGTTCACCCCGTCACCTGTCATTGCACAGAATTTCTCTCTGCGATGCAGTGCGTCAATCATGCGAACTTTTGTCTGTGGCGCACAGCGCGCAATCACAAGTGGTAGCACCGGAAGTGCATCAATTTCATCATCTGACAAGCTATCAAATTGGCTTGCAGTCATTATCATGGTGTCTACGACTTCTTTAGGGTAATGGTATAAATTGTGTGGCAATATTCCCACTTCGCGGGCAATGGCTTTTGCTGTACCTGGGAAGTCGCCTGTTAGCATGTGAACATTGATCCCAGCGTTGTGACATTTCTTGACAGCTCCAGCTGTCTCAGGACGAGGAGGGTCATAAATGCCGACGAGTCCCTGGAAAAACAGGCCACTTTCAACCATATCTCTATCTTTCGAAAGCTTTTCTCTCAGGTTTACTGCCTCATCTTCGGTGTAATCCTTTGTTGCAAGTGCCAGCACGCGAAGACCTTCAGCCGAAAGGGTCTCGACATTCTTCATGATGGTATTCTTGTCATCTTCCGTCAGCGGCTGAGAGTCGCTGTTGTCTGCAAGCGGTTTCCATTTGTCGCAGCACTGCAAGACCCTCTCGAATGCGCCCTTGCTGAAAACTTTGTATTTGTTTTCATCGTGCAGGTCAACGTAAATTGAAGACATTCTTTTGATTGAGGAGTCGAAGGGAAACTCAGCGAAGTGTTTGAATCTTCCGATGGAGTCGCTCTGAGACTTTTCGTTTTCCTGATAAGTTAGTTTACCACGCGCTTTGTCCATTCTGATGGCAAAGACTTGAATGGCAATTTCTGTAGGGTCTCCGTTGGCCTTCCATACGCCAGACTCTTGGTCTTGAAAGACATTGGCAATGTTCGCGAGCGAAGAGATTTGCATATATTTGTCGAAAGCGCTGGTGTCAATGTCTTGCGGTAGAGTGCCTTGGTCGAGCTGCTGCTTGAAGTTCTTGATGATCCCCACGTCCTCCGATTCATCGTGTTGGTATTGATGTGGAGAGAATCTGGGGATAAGCTCGACAGTGCCAACGGTTGGGTTGAGAGGATCGTTTGATCCGTTGATCACAAGAGTCCCGAACGAGGGTACCCATGCTTGTCTCACGATCATTCTCCCTTGCGTCAGAGTTCCAGTCTTGTCGGAGCATATGTCATTCACGGCCCCAAGAGCCTCGAGAGAATCCAATTTGCGCACGACCACATTTCTCTGGGCCATCACTTTTGCACCTACAGACATGGTGATGGTTAGCACGACGACCAGAGACGAAGGAATCATGGAAATGGCAACGCAGATGGCGTAAATGGCGACTTCCTTATTGACGTGGTATTTCTGAGTAGCCATCACTACGATTGCGAAGACCACAGCCACGAAGAAGAGCAGCACGGCCAGCTTGGATAGTTTCCGGTTCAGTGGAGTGCCAACGTTGGTGCCCAGGAACGACCCGATGCTCGTTTTGATGGTTTTGGCGGCGTTCTGCATGAAATTCTTGTCTTCATCCTTGCTGATGAGGCTGTTTTCGCCGCGCAAACTCTGTGCGATGCTCCCGATCTCGGTGTTGAGCCCCGTCTTGATGACCACACCAGTGGCGCGTCCCTTGCTTACGGTAGAGCTCGCATATGCGAGATTGAGACGGTCGCCGACGGGGACGTCCTCATCGGCCCCGAATACGAGCCGCGCATCTTTGGCTATGGGCAGGGCCTCGCCAGTGAGAAGGGCCTCATTGGTCTCGAAGTTGACGCAGTCCAGCAAACGCAGGTCCGCGGGCACCGTGTCGCCCGCGCTGATCCGGCAGATGTCACCGGGCACCAACAGCTTACTGGACAGCGTCTGGTCACGTGAGTCTCTGATCACGTGCGCGGACGGCGTGCTGAGCGTACGAAGCGAGTTCATGGTCTTGGACGCCTTGTATTCCTGGAAGGAGCCGATTGCGACGTTGATGAAAACGACGAACGCGATGACGCCGCCCGAGATCCAGTCCCGCATCGCAAGCGAGATGACCATCGAGATGAAAAGGACCAGGATCATGGCGTTACATATTTGATGAATAAATATGCCTTTAATGTCAATGTGAGAGTCATCTCCAAGAGAGTTTTCGCCCGTCTCGCCAAGTCTAGCCGTGGCCTCAGTTGTCGTGAGCCCGGTCTCGACGTTGGTCTGGAGCGCTGTGAGAGCGTCTGATTCGCTCAGACAGTAAAAAAGTTGTTCTTGTCGTGTTGTACCTGACATGTTACTTGACAAGTTTCTATATAGTCTACATGAAAGCAATATATACAAGTCCGAAGAACTGTCTCTGTTACCAAACCCTGTGCCTTATATATTTCTGGTGCAAACGCGGCTGTGTCAGCTTTTTCATGCAGGGAGCTTGCAAGGGTCCATTCCGTTTTTTGCTTTTTTTTTTCTTTTTACGTGATACCTGCTTATCAGCCGGCAGGCTCGACGATCCACGTGGAGATGGGTGCAGAGGCACAGCAAGACACGGCAATTCGTATGGCGCTGCGAACTGCGCACTACGGAGCAGTCTTGCTCCGCAGTGTTGTTTTGCTGGTCCTAGCTTAACAGCGGCTTGTATCCCCTCTTAGCTCATGTGCCCATTAATCTCCACCTGCAGCCTGATTACGTTACCCTGTACAAAGGGACCCTGAACGGTGCGCGCCAGATCATTGTGTACGCTTCCGTTTACCCGGCTGCACCCCCGCTTTCAACGGACACGGAAGCGGAAATAGAAACTTTGCCCTCGGAATGCAGCGTCTCCGCGGGAAGCAGTAACTGTGGCTTGCCGCTCATGCGAACATGCAACCCTTATCGGAGCGGGGCGCAGTGCAGGTTGCAGGAAGGTGCCACGTGGGATGACACATGATAAGGGATGACAATTTTGTACGAATACGTGCACAGGATCTGGCAGCGGATAACCAGGGGAAGTCTCTATAGGCTCGAAACTTTCGTATGGGAAACTTGGTAGCGTGGTTGTAAACGCTTCGAGAAACGGGTCAAGTATAGGTTAAAGGTCACGTGATTCCGACTTATCGAGGGCGCAAGGTATCCATGAGCGACACCATGGTGTAGCTGGCATGTTGTATATTGGATATTTTCGGCGCGGTACTCTAGGCTGCGTGCACAAGGCGCAGGTCGGCTGGACGGAAACAATTTTGGAAAGAGATGGCGAGATATGATATCGTTCAATTGTATCATCACGTGATCGATATGACAGAATAAATTGGAAGAATTAACGGACGGTTCTTGATCAAGATGAGGTCATAGGAGCCAAGTGATTCTCGTGATGGTCATGATGGCATCACATTTCGTCACCACTGTAAGAGTGACATAATAGGTGTCGTAATGATGACTCACCGTGACCGTGAATATTAGAGACAGGAACGGATTCCAAAATTGGAACGATGTTACAGAAATTGTATAAAAGGAGCTGATATGACCAGGATCTTAGTGTTCATGGTCGTAAGATAGCCACGGAGAGATATAAGTACTCAGTTGCTTATCAGCCTTATTATTTAGATCAATTATGAAGGAATTAAATGAACAGTTCAGAAATCTGTCAACCACCGACAACGAAAAACCTCATCAAGGCCATTCATGGCCGGTCCTAACGATAAAGCAAAAACCGCGTCGCGAGTATTCATCATTTTCAACAATTTTCTTGACATCAAGGCAACTCTAAAATTGGTCATATTATCTTCTTTTAAGCAATTTCCGTGTCATCGGTTTGTTCGATATCTTATTAGCGTAGTATGGATAAGTGAACATTTTCCTTTTGTTTCCCTAACCTTTTGAGGCGGGTTGATGATTTCATATCCATCATTGATATCTTGTATGATTCGAAACCCTCCTGTAGATGCGGGTTCGAATCGACCATAAACCCTATTTTATTCTGTCATTTTATCACGTGGTCTTTACTTTGAAAATGCAGTCTCGCTATCTTCCTCGAGCAGTTTCACGATCAGAAGAAATATGAACGATTTAAGCGGGCAATTCATGAATTTATCCGCAACGACGCCGATTAGCCTCCATGGATGATTTCCTGAATTTCTTTCTTCCAGTTTCGACGCGGTTTAACACCTCTTCTTCAAATTTGGCAAACGTCAACGTAATCTTGTTGAGAGGTAATTGAGCGATCTCTTTGCTTGATTCGGCACCCTCGGCAGGCGAGCGCGGGCTACCGTCTACTCGAGCGGGTTCATCATATTTCCATCGCGGGGCTGGTCGCACTAACGGCAGCTCCTTTTGAGTTGATTCAGATCTAAGAACACTAGATTTAGGGACTTCTCCCGAGTAGGTTAAAGCCAGGGTCACATCACTAAATACGCGCGCCATCAGAGTAGTTGTAAGCGCCTCAGGGTTTGACAAACAACTTGACTTGAAAAAAATGATAATCTCAATATGAAGTCGTGTACGACACTCGTCAAAATTTGACTCCTAATGCGAATTCTGTGGGGTCTCTTTGAGAAGTATCAACTCGATTACTTTTAAGCACGAGTTTGCAGTTACTCGCGGGACCAATTCCACACCGTCAAAAGTGATAATTTCATCACATTTCGAGATTGCGAGAAGTGACTAGATCGTCCCCAGTGTTCACACACCTACTTGAGCGATGAGTACTGGATAATTTATGTCGCCACTTTACGTAACCTGACAGAACTCATACCCACCATACCTGGTTATTCCTGTGAATTCGATTAGCTGCGAGTTCAGGCGCCCCACAAAATCCTTGTGCAAATTTGGCAAATAACTACCAAAATTTAGCCTAGCTCAGAGATCGTCGGGTATTTAGTCGCGCCTTTTTAGTAGCTTCTTACGAGACGGCGGTGTGACCGCGGAAGTCTGAACTTCCATCCTCTGCTTGGCCTGTTCCTCCAATACTCGCCGCTACAAACACTCCAGTAACTCGCACTCGCCCGTATTATGGTATTCGACTCTCTTTTATAAACCCTAGGTGACCATTGCAGAAACTGTCACTGAGGTTACTTACTATTGGTTATAATCACTGTGGGGATGCTTCATATCACTATGGACGCACTACAGTCACTACATTGGTGGTGTGTGAGGTACGCTACTACGTCTATGGATCCTGTAATGCCATTAGGGTCTCGATTGTGTGATCTCTACGAGGCGTATATTCTGTGAACTTAATCACTGTTTTTCGCTCACCTGTCTCAACCCCGGAATGTAACGGCGAAAAACATAAACGGCGAAAGGGCAAAGAAAATTAATGAATGCAATTAATATAACTTAATGTAGACAATGACGATTATGAGGAGGTTACGCATAAATTGGTGAAAATAAAGGCAACTGCGGGAACTGTAGCACCAGCTAGAGACGTAAGGAACGCGACGTTGAACGGCCCTCTCTTTGTAGTTTATTCAACTGTCATTTACTATCACGTGACCTTTTTCTTTCTTTAGTCCCCGCACTGGCGCGAACGATATTTCCAAAAAATTTTCTACGGCGAGAGTCTGTTTTGGTGGCATATGCAGAACCCCCTCGAGAAGGAAAAAATCACATACACAACTTACTACTAACACAGAGACACAGCAGGAGCTGGGATTTCAAGGGTATGTCTTTGGTGCTACAAGAGCAGTATCAGCAGCAGCACGAGTTGAGCTCGAACACACCCAGGTCATCCCAGGAGCAACATTGCTACTCGTCTCCGACGTCGTTGGAAAGTTACGGGAAGCTGCGACAAAGTAATACGATCGGTGGGTCGCAGCGCCCCATAGATCCGCTTGATGGCGCAGGTTTCGTGCTTGAGCCTCAGCTGCTTCCAGATGGCGGTGCAGAGCGTACTGGCGCCGGAGGCGCCAGTACGCCCGACCACGTCAGCCCCGATACACAAAATATCCAAACACAGCTGGACAGGTACCATCTGGGCAAAAACGAGCTTCTGGAAGAGAACAGGCTGGTGAGGTGCGGGTCGTTCATCCAGAGCGCAGAGGACGAGGGCCAGGTGCTGCTCAACGGAGACACGTCGCGTCCCCGGTCCGCGCGGCGCGGTACCCGTGCGTCGCTTGACTCGCAGGTGTCGCATGCCACGTACGCTTCCAGAAAACAGCCCATACGACCACCGCATCCGCCGTTCAATTCTGAAGAGCATGCGCGAATCGTGCCGCTCCGACATCCAAACTCGCCTCCCGAGCCCGATCTGGTGCGCGAATCAAGTCACCTAGATGGCGTGAACAGCTCGCACAGCTCGATTCATTCGTTTCCGGCCAGTCCACGGCCCAACGTGATAAATGAAGGCGGTTTGAAGAGGTCGGAATCAGCGACCGCTGAGATTAAGAAAATGCGCGAGTCGCTACTACAAAAACGAGAAATGCGCAAGAAGCAGAAAAACTTTCTCGACGATGACCACGTACTCATCGGCAACAAAGTCAGTGAGGGACACGTGAACTTCACCATAGCCTACAACATGCTCACGGGCATTCGCGTGGCTGTCTCGCGCTGCTCGGGGATCATGAAACCTCTAACAACGCGCGACTTCAAGTTTACCAAAAAGCTGGCCTTTGATTTCAATGGTAACGAGCTGACTCCAAGTTCACAGTACGCTTTCAAGTTCAAGGACTACTGTCCCGAGGTGTTCCGTGAATTGCGCGCACTGTTTGGTCTGGACCCAGCAGACTATCTGATGTCGCTGACGTCCAAGTACATTCTCAGCGAGCTAAATTCCCCTGGCAAGAGTGGCTCTTTTTTTTACTTCAGCAGGGATTACAAATATATCATCAAGACCATTCATCACGCGGAACATCGCCATCTGAGGAGAATTCTAAAAGAGTACTATGAGCATGTGCGGGAAAACCGAGATACCTTAATTTCCCAGTTCTATGGGCTTCATCGTGTGAAAATGCCCTATTCTTTCAAGCATAAGATCAAGCACCGTAAAATCTATTTTCTGGTGATGAACAACCTTTTCCCTCCACATTTGGAAATACACACAACTTTCGATTTGAAGGGCTCCACTTGGGGTCGATACACAAACGTGCGGAGCGACTCGAAGGACGCGGCCAACCATCGTCCAGTTTTGAAAGACCTCAACTGGCTGGAAGAGCAGCGCAGTTTGCAATTGGGACCCTTGAAGAAGAAGAAATTTCTTACGCAGATGAAAAAGGATGTTGACCTTCTGGCGCGTCTCAATATCATGGACTACTCGCTACTTTTAGGTATTCACGACGTCGATCAAGGCAACAATTTACTTGACGACAGGAACAAGCTGGCTATGTTTTCTCCAAATTCGTCTAGTCTTAAAGAGGTCAAGAGAAATTCGGTTGCCCAACAGCACCGTCAGCAATCCACTTCTGCGGTGTCGCACTTTTTCCAGCAAGACGAAGGTGGCTTGCGTGCGTCAGATGCGCTCAATAACAACCTCGACAGAATTTATTATGTCGGAATCATTGATTGTTTGACAAACTATTCCATGGTAAAAAAACTAGAAACGTTTTGGCGAGGGCTCAACCATGACTTGAAAGTCGTGAGTGCTATCCCTCCGCGGGATTATGCAGATCGTTTCTACGAATTCATCGAGGAGTCTGTGAACAGAGTGCCCGCGCCTCAATACAAAGACGATGAGAAAAGAGTCGCCTACAAGGACGATGTTAAAAACAAATAAGAAAGGTGAAGGGCATAGAAGAACGACTCATGGTGGTAATCTCGGGCTGTATTTTACCTCTCGTACGTGACCCTACACATTTTTCTTATTGCAGCGATGATCCCTTAGGGCAGAACTCGTCAGAAGGTTTGCCAAATGGAGCTTTAGAAAGCGGGGTAAAACTTTATTATTACAAACTATAGGACAATAATATTAATACAGTACGGACAGACAAGAACGAGAATATTTTACCAGCTCGAGCTGAGAATGTCGGTGTCTTGCAAGCTGTCTTGTTCAACTTCTCCGGTTAATTCATCTATCATTTCATACTCTTCTCGGATCCGGAACAGAAGATCTTTGAAGCGCTGCTCTTCAGTAGCATCGTCGATGCGCAGTTCTAGAGCAACATACCGTCTTTTCGAACATTTCATTTTCACCTTGTACCACTGTTCACGTTTTGTTATCGTTTCTTCAAATTGGGCGGTGTTCTTTATAATATCTGTACTGCTAAACAGGAAATCAGAACTCAAGCCTTCGTCCCACTTGAATTTAAGCTGATACCATGGCATCTCGTCGCTCTTGCTCAGTATCTCGGATACACACATCAAACCATCGAAAAGCTTACATTGAGGTTCCCACGCCAACGACGACGTAGGCGGTAGAGCATTATATAAAGAGACAGGCTGAAAAGTCTGGTTACGTGAAACGATTCCCCCAGACATACGGGGAAGCAGTGCTAAGGATTTAACGGTTCTCATCACCAAAGTACGCGTTTTTTACTTGGCTGCTGCTGCTTTTATCGCATACCATTCGTATGTGGTGATCCTCTGTTTTCCGAAATACACTCTCTGTGATTGCTTGGCGTTCATGGTGTTAAGCTCAAAGCCGCTCTCAAAAGGCGAGGCATAAACCTCAATTTTGCAGTGATCAACCCATAAGTTCTGCTAGTAAAAAGCGAGCTTCTAAGTATTGGTTCATATTTTTATATCTTTCAACACCGTTTTCTTGTTATCCAATTCATGTTTTTCATGATCAGCAGGGAATTCATAAATGTCACTTTGGCCCGACTTACAAGTTGTGATGATCACTTGGATAGCAAAAATAATGTCCCGAAGACCTCCAGAGCACCTACCTGATGTGAAGGGGACAGAGAAGCTTGCAAGAGGTTTTACTTGGATATCTCCTAGATAGATTCGAATATGCTTTGCTTTATCCTTTATCTTCAATTTTTAAAATCTTGCATTTGAATAAGTAGTCCTCCAAGTCTACGTTTCAAGAAAGACATAAATATAGATTTTACACTGGAAAGTCTCAAATGGCCACTGCTATCGATTTGTGGCCTAGATTATGGAGATGAGGTATATAATGAGATATCTAACCATTCCAAACGTGAGAAATTGCCTTGTCGCCGTGGCGCAGCACTGTGTTTCACGTACGGTACGACAGTCGAAAAAGTACAGGACAGTTTCTTGATCTTGAAACTTCAAGTTCGTGATTTTTAAGAACAAGAAGGTTTTGCTCGAACCCACCTCTGTCCAAGGAACAGACTGCGAAGCAAATGAGCTACCAACAGCAAGGCTACCAGCAAGGCTACAATCAGTACCCACCACCACCTCAGAATGGTGGGTACTACCAACAGGGTCCATCGCAGGGGGGCTATTATCAACAGCAGCCACAGCCCATGTACCAGCAACAGCCGCCTCAAAAAGAAGAAAGTGGATGTTGCGGAACGTGTATGAAGGCACTCTGCTGCTGCTGTTTGCTGGAACTGCTCTGCGGCGATGTTTGCGGACCAGACGCTGGTGGTCCCGGCTACTGAGCCAAGCGACTTTCCAAATCTCGTCACTACATAACGTTTTGTAGACTAAAAGCCTGTAATAAAAAGCTGTATCTACGTCGATGTGGACAATGTCGTCAAGGTGATGCATGGGTATACGAGCAATGAGAAGGCCCAGACTCATTTTGGTAACTCGTTTGGAAGTTACATCGTATATGTACCCTTTCGATTGCATCCTATTTCGAAAATGCTCGTGTAGCTCAGTGGTTAGAGCTTCGTGCTTATAGAAGCATTCGGCACTCCGAAGCATTCTGTGCTAAAGGTTCTTCATTGAATCACGATCCTTACTAGGGATCGCAGCAGTAAGCAACGCGACCGTCGTGGGTTCGAACCCCACCTCGAGCACTTTCATTTTTTATTTTTTAACTTCCCTGAATTTAAAGTGCGGGTAATAGCATTTTTTTCACGATGCAAGAGCGATGAGTATGACACTGTCAATGATCACTACGGACCTTGACGCTTCGGAATACCACCATTGAAGGAAGGGTGTACGATCCAGTTCCTTAGAGTGTTTGTCATTTGATGGCTGGGAAGAAAGAAAAGGACAATACGAAGTCTGCCTCTAAGAAGGGCAATGAGCATCTGGTAGGAGAAGAACGTCTACAAGCCGTTGTGCTGACGGACTCTTTCGAGACTCGATTCATGCCACTGACCGCGGTTAAGCCAAGATGCCTGCTACCACTGGCAAATACACCGCTGATAGAGTATACACTAGAATTTCTAGCCAAGGCTGGTGTAAACGAGGTGTATTTGGTGTGTGCATCGCATGCTGATCAAATCAATGAGTACATCGAAAAGTCGAAGTGGAATCTACCGTGGGCCCCCTTCAAGCTGCAAACCATTATGTCTCTCGAATCGAGATCCGTAGGCGATGCGATGCGTGATATAGACAACCGGGGTCTCATAACCGGTGATTTCATCTTGGTCAGCGGTGACTTGGTAACCAACATGCAATTCGACAAAGCTTTAGAGTTCCACAGAAAAAAGCGCGCCTCCGACAAAGATCATATCGTAACCATGTGTTTGAGTGAGGGTAGCCAATTCTACAGAACGCGTTCTCACGACCCAGCTGCTTTCATTTTGGATAAGAAAACTAACCGATGCCTCTACTACCACCAATTGCCTCCGGCCAGCTCTCGCAAGAAAGGCGCCATCGACATCGACCCTGAGCTTTTGGAAGATGTGGATGACTTCGTCTTGAGAAACGATTTGATTGATTGCCATGTTGACATCTGCTCTGCGCTTGTGCCAGCAATTTTCCAGGAAAATTTCGATTACCAGTTTCTAAGAAGCGACTTCGTGAAGGGGGTGTTGACAAGCGATCTTTTGAAGAAAAGCATCTACGCATATATCATGGAAAGCTATGCTGCACGTGTTGAGAGCTGGCAAACTTACGACGCCATTTCACAGGACTTCATCGCCAGATGGTGCTATCCCCTGGTGCTAAATGCCAATTTCCTTGAAGATCAGACTTATTCTTATGAGTCGCGGCATGTGTACAAGGAAAAAAACGTCGTTTTGGCTCAATCGTGCAAGATTGGCAAACACACGGCAATCGGGTCAGGCACCAAAATCGGCGAGGGCACATCTGTTGAAAATTCTGTCATTGGGAGGAACTGCCATATTGGCGATAACGTGGTCATCCAAAACAGTTATATCTGGGATGATACAACAGTTCTTGACAGCACTATAATAGAACACAGCATCCTTGCATCAAACGTTAAAATCGGCAGAAATGTCAGTTTAAGCGATGGGTGCGTGATTGGATTCAATGTTATTATTGGAGACAACATGGTTATCCCGCAAGGCTGCAAGATCTCTGAAACGCCTGTCATGAAAAGCGAGGTGCAATTTTTGGACAATGAATCCTACGATGAGGACGATTCTACCATATCAAGCGATCGTGCTACGAACTTTAAACTTGAGCCTGCTAGCGATCTGCTAGGCGAGACGGGTGTGGGATACATTTACGAAAGCGATGGTTCGAATGGAGACGAGGACGCTAGCGATGAAACCAGGATAAACAATACTCTCGCTTATAGGATTGACGAATTGTACTTAAGTGACGACTCCATTTCGTCTAGTACCGGTGAGCGCAAGAAAAAGAGAACGATGTCGACTACGAGCGTGTACACGGACATGGAAGGCGAGGATGAGGAGGATGAGGAAGATTTCGAGGTAGAAGCGATGGCTACAGTGGAGAGGGCAATGGAAAACAGCCACGATCTGGACACGGCTCTGCTAGAGCTGAACACCTTGAGAATGAGTATGAACGTGACCTATCACGAGGTCAGAGCTGCCACGGTGTTTGCCCTTCTCAAGCGAGTTTACCATTTCATCGCAACGCAAACTCTGGGTGCGAAGGAAGCCATCTCCAAGATCTTCGGCAAGTGGGGATTGCTGTTCAACCGACAAGCCTTTGAGAAAGACGAGTACATCGATCTCATGAACATTCTGCTGGAAAAGGTGTTGGTGATACAGTTCGAGAAGCCAGAATTCGTGCTTTTCCGCGCGTTGAACTGTCTCTACGATCAGGATGTCTTAGATGAAGAAATCATCTACACCTGGTGGGCCCAGGTATCCGACGACGCCAAATACGACCAAGTGAAAACGCTGACCGCCAAATGGATCGAGTGGCTACAAACCGCTGAAGAGGAATCCTCGGAAGAGGAAGAATCCGGCGAAGAAGAGTCTGAAGACGATTAAATAAATATATCGATTGAATAAAGGAGAACTAAGCTAACAGTGCATTTTTTTTTTACACTGAAGGGGGGCTGGAAAGCTTTCCACTTCGAACTCAAATAACGTTCAAACGTCGGACCACCAACGGACCCAACCGTATGTCCGATCCGTTTCCATAGTTCGAGCACCGTTCACAGCCGGCTTATCGCATCTTACCCGGATTGGACTCACTGAAAAAAATCGTGTCCGAGGTTGAAGAGTAGGTCAAACGGGAAAAATATAATATCAGGGAGCTGTAACGCGGTTGAACAAGCAAATCACGAGAGAAGCACATCCAGGGTCAGTGTAACAATGCAGACGCTGAAGTGTGTGGTAGTTGGAGACGGTGCCGTCGGTAAGACATGTTTGCTTATTTCGTACACAACAAACCAGTTCCCAGCGGACTACGTTCCCACGGTTTTTGACAATTATGCAGTCACGGTAATGATTGGAGATGAGCCGTACACTCTTGGTTTATTCGACACCGCTGGACAGGAGGACTACGATAGATTGAGACCACTTTCATACCCCTCGACAGACGTTTTTCTGGTCTGCTTCAGCGTAATCTCGCCGCCGTCTTTCGAAAACGTCAAGGAGAAATGGTTTCCGGAGGTGCATCACCACTGTCCTGGCGTTCCGTGCTTGATTGTCGGCACGCAGATAGATCTGCGTGACGATAAGGTTATCATCGAAAAGCTGCAAAGGCAAAGGTTACGTCCGATCAGCGCGGATCAGGGCGAAAGACTTGCCAGAGAGTTGAGAGCCGTGAAATACGTCGAGTGCTCAGCTCTGACGCAGCGCGGGCTCAAGAATGTGTTTGATGAGGCCATTGTTGCTGCGCTGGAGCCCCCGGTCATCAAGAAGAGCAAAAAATGCACCATTTTGTAGTGCATTTTTTTCTTTGTCTTCTGTCCGTCTGCCGTGCTTCCCACCAAATTCCAACCCTTGGTCATATCAGACCCATTTCTACTCCCCCACATGCCTAGGTCGTGTGCTGGTCGGCGCCGTCTCTGAAGTGGGTTTCGCAAGACCAGAGAGAGCCGAACCTCTGTATCACTGATATTTCTTGTATTCTCATTCCGGTGCCTGAATCGACAATTTTTTACTCATTAACGACTGCAATCCAATATGCTGCCCTTCGAAACCAATTTTGGAGTGATCAACAGTCCGTGAACGCTCGATAGTATATAATCCTTCTTTATACAAGACCAACTGATTGTCCTTCAAGCGTTATTCACGTGAGCAGGGTAAATTGGAAATTTCGTTCTACAAGAAGTGGCGAAAATTTGATCATTTCCACCGGCCAAGCGCAGTGAACTAGAGGAGTTTGTTGAGAAAGCATTGGAAAGTCTTGGAATCACTTCCAAATTCTTGCAACTAGTATTCAAAATGGCCCAAGTTTTGAACAACTCTCGCTCCGACACGCTTTTTCTCGGGGGCGAGAAGATAAGCGGTGACGACATTAGGAATCAAAATGTGCTTGCGGCATCTGCTGTGGCCAATGTGGTAAAATCGTCACTGGGGCCTGTTGGCTTGGACAAAATGTTAGTGGATGACATTGGAGATTTCACAGTGACCAACGATGGTGCCACAATTCTCTCTCTTTTGGATGTGCAACATCCAGCCGGGAAGATTTTAGTGGAACTTGCGCAACAGCAAGATCGCGAAATTGGTGACGGTACCACCAGCGTGGTAATTGTTGCATCAGAGCTTTTGAAAAGGGCCAACAGTTTGGTCAAAAACAAGATACATCCAACCACGATCATAACGGGATACCGGTTAGCTCTCAGGGAAGCAATTCGTTACATCAATGAGGTTCTTTCGATGCCAGTGGACATGCTGCGCAAGGACTCGCTTGTAAACATAGCCAAGACAAGTATGTCATCCAAGATTATCGGATCAGACTCAGATTTTTTTGGCAATTTGGTGGTAGATGCCCTGTTGGCCGTTAGAACGCAAAACTCCAAGGGAGAGATCAAATACCCAGTGAAAGCCGTTAACATTTTGAAAGCGCACGGGAAATCCGCTGTGGAGTCTGTTTTAGTACAAGGATACGCTCTCAACTGTACAGTTGCTTCGCAAGCCATGCCCAAGCGTATTGCTGGCGGCGCAGTTAACATTGCTTGCTTGGACATAAATTTGCAAAAGGCTAGAATGGCGATGGGTGTTCAAATCAATGTTGATGACCCAGAGCAGTTGGAGGAAATCCGTAAACGGGAAGTAGGAATTGTTTTAGAAAGGGTCCAGAAAATCATCGACGCAGGTGCTCAAGTGGTGTTGACCACCAAGGGTATAGACGACCTGTGTTTGAAGAAGTTTGTGGAGGCTAACATCATGGCTGTAAGGCGCTGTAAGAAAGAAGATTTGAGAAGAATTGCCAGAGCCACGGGCGGTACACTAATCAGCTCTATGTCCAATTTAGAAGGAGACGAGTGTTTTGAAAGCAGCTATTTGGGTACCTGCCAAGAGGTTGTTCAGGCCAAGTTTTCAGATGATGAATGTATTTTAATAAAAGGCACTTCCAAACATTCTTCGTCTTCGATCGTTCTCCGTGGACCGAATGATTACTCGCTTGACGAAATGGAACGGTCGATCCATGACTCCTTGTCTGTTGTCAAAAGAACTCTAGAAAGTGGGAATGTTGTTCCTGGTGGCGGTTCTGTCGAAACAGCTCTAAATATCTACCTTGACAATTTTGCCACCACAGTGGGTTCCAGAGAGCAATTGGCCATTGCTGAATTTGCGGCCGCGCTGTTGGTCATTCCAAAGACGCTTGCAGTAAATGCGGCTAAAGACGCCAGCGATTTGATTGCCAAATTGCGCTCATATCATGCTGCTAGCCAGCAAGCCCAGCTGGAAGACACCAAGAGGAAAAACTACAGAAATTACGGACTTGATCTTATCCGAGGTAAAGTTGTGGATGAAGTCAGCGCGGGAGTCTTAGAACCTACCGTGAGCAAAGTCAAGTCGTTCAAGTCCGCGCTAGAGGCATGTATCGCTATTCTCAGAATCGACACTATGATTGTTGTCGATCCGGAGCCTTCAAAAGAAGATCCACACGGTCATCACTGAAGAATGAGCGGTAAGCTTCAGATGTACATAGCGTAAATTTCATAGCTCATTCTACGTGGAGGTCATCAAAAGGGTCGGGGCGGCTGCCATCTCAGAAGGACATCTTTTTGCGAAGCTCAAATTTCTCAGAAAGCGTCTGAATGGCTATCCTGAAATATCGTTCATATAGAGCTTTACCTGGCCAAAAAACCTAGTCCAAAAAGCCTTGATCTAATAACTTCCTAGAGAGAAGGCTCGTGGAAAGTATATTTCCAGGCTGTTTTCAGAGTTGAACCACGAGAAACCCATTAGAAGTGAAAGGACTGCCTAACACTTTTAACATGAGTAAAATACCGAGAATACAGTATATATAATTTCAAGATCAACAGAACTAGTAGAACTTAAAGAACTCCGTTAAAAACCGTTCAACACCGTTTCCTGGGAAAATTACCGGTGAGTTTCCTTCTGCCGTCAAGTAGACACGTCGTTTGCTGCCAAGAAACCCTGGCAACCAGTTTTCTGAACCAGATTTGATACTGTCGTATCAGACCATTTTTTTTTTCTCTCGTCGGGTGAACTTGTGATGTTAAGTGCCAGGGTAAACATCGTGTGGATGCTAAACGAGCCATATATAAGAAGTATCGTACAAGTCGAAGACAGACGAGGTATTCTACGAGGAACGGGTGTCACGTAGGTCCTGAAGGGTCAAGGATACGATTCAGGGCTTCTGGGAAAAATCAAAGCAGGGACTTACCAGCGAAACAGTACGAGAATCGGGCTCCATTTGTTAAACGAAACAATACCGGAGCTCCACGACTTTGAAGAGCGACCCCACTGGAATTTTTATTGGCGGCTGACGCAAGCAAACTTGGGATCAAGCAGTTGTTAACGAACGAGCCTGGTCGAGTTGTCTAGAGCGTGACGGTAAGGAGAGAATATTTTTTCTCTGTTGGAAGGTCCAGTCTTCGGCGATGAGCACTGACAGTAGCGGCGATGAGGCGCCCAAAAGGACACGAGCTAGAAAGGAAAAGGTGGTAGAGCTGATCGAGATTGACGGCAAACAAGTGAGCAAGACGTCTACGGGCAAACGGAAATTCCACAACAAATCCAAAAATGGGTGTGATAATTGCAAGCGACGGAGAGTTAAATGCGATGAAGGAAAACCGTCTTGTAAAAAATGTCTGAACATGAAGCTGGAGTGCGTTTACACACCTGTGCAACCACGGAAGAGGAAACATACCCATTCAGAAACTCCTACGCTTTCTGAGTCGCCTCATACGCACCACGCGGCTGGGACAAGTGACGACGGAATAGTGCTGGCAGCGGCAGAGGAAGAAGACGGTTTGAAATCGGACAAAATCAAGTCGACGGAAATCCACCGACAGCCTTCCGTCGCACCTCCCAACGCATCTCAGATAGGGTCTCCGGACGGTTTGCTTCTGCCGCCTCTCTTTCCGGGCGGACACATGCAAATACATCACCAGATTCAGCAGCAGCCGCAACTGTTACCGCAGTTGATGACTTTGACTAATTCTGAGAGATTCGCCGGGTTTGATCTGCCGAACAGCCCGTCGCTGCAATCCACGCCGATGAACATCACCAATAGCATAGGGAGCATTTTCGCCGCTAACAAGTGGCCTCCTAGTTTTCTCAACAGCGTTATTCACCAGCAACAACATCAACAGCAGCAACAGCAGCAACAGCAGCAACAGCAGCAACAGTATCAGCAACCTCCTCTTCAGGCCGCAGATATGACCCAAGCGCCCAGTAGAACGGGCATCAACCTTAAGCAAATGGCGATGTTTTCGACAGCAGGAATCGGCGGAGTTACTTATGATTTCCATGAACTTCTTGGATTAAAGGCTAACAACATTTCGGCGAACAACACAATCAAGACTCAGACTACCGCCGAAGAAGTTCTCGCTACAATGCAAAAGCAGGAGCAACAGCAAGGGAGCGTGCACAACCAGGGCCAGCAACAGGGAGTCGAACATGGTACTGGAAACCAAGTTCAAGGTATAACGAACGCTAGTGAACGCCAACAGAAGCAAAGCGCTCTCGACCAATCAGCTTCGTATAAGGAAAAGAATGAGACGCAGATGGGAATCAGCAGAGCTAAAGGCGATTCACAGCGGGACCAAGCTGATGCCATGAGAGATGCTATATCTTCGCACCTAGCAATGAATGCCACTATATCGCCTGCTGCTGCTCTTTCCCCCATTACGAAAAGCACAGCAACTTCAGGAGCCGACGAAGAATGTGGCTTACAGGCTCCGACAGCTCAAGAGGGGAATGGAACTTCAATTGGGAGTAAAACTATGACCAAGTCAGCGACACAAGATTCTACCACTACGGAAGAGTCTCAACATGGCACTATCGCCAGACTAGTACAACTTTCCAGTCAAGGAAGCTTGAATTTGGTCGATTTAAAACTATTCCACCATTATTGTGTGGCGGTCTGGCCGTCTATAATATCTGCTGGAATTTCAGGGGAAAAGATTTGGAGTGAGGAGATTCCACTCCTTGCATTCGACTACCCGTACTTGATGCATGCATTATTGGCCTTTAGCGCCACTCATTTGTCCAGAAAAGAACCTGGACTTGAACAATTTGTCGCATCTCATAGGCTTGACGCTTTGCGTCTTCTTCGCAAAGCGGTTTTAGAGATTTCAGAGGACAACACCGATGCATTGGTCGCAAGTGCTCTCATATTAATAATGGACTCACTGGCAAATGCGGCCACTCCAACTGCAACCGGCTCTGAATCGCTTTCACATACAATGCCACCTTCAGCTTGGATATTCCATGTTAAAGGTGCTGCTACGATACTCACCGCCGTCTGGCCTTTAACAGAGAAGTCTAGGTTCTATAACCTGATTTCCGTTGACCTAAGCGATTTAGGAGATGTGATCAACCAAGACAGCGGTACTGTATCAGAGCTTGTATGCTTTGACGAGTCTATTGCTGATTTATATCCAGTAGAGATCGACTCACCCTACCTCATTACACTTGCTTATCTTGATAAACTCCACAGAGAGAAGAATCAGTCCGATTTCATTCTACGCATTTTTGCATTCCCTGCTCTGCTTGACAAGATCTTTCTTGCCCTATTAATGACGGGAGATCTTGGTGCTATGCGAATCATGAGATGCTATTATCAATTGCTGCGTGGCTTCGCAAATGAAGTAAAAGATAAAGTGTGGTTTTTGGAAGGTGTGACTAATGTGCTACCGCAAGACGTGGACGACTACAGCGGCGGTGGCATGCATATGATGCTGGACTTCTTGGGAGGGGGCCTACCATCAATGACTACTACAAATCTTCAACCTGGTTTGAACGATTTCATGTAACAATATATATATCTAACGACCATTTATAGAAAGTCCTGTTACGTCTTGCATTGAACAAGTTTGTTATATGAGACCTTGTTTCTTCAAATCGTGATAAACTCTCTCAGTCATAACATTTCCATCTTCGTCTTCAATTTCCACCTCGAGTTTGGCTTTGGATGAAGTCTTTTTGTTACGTATTGTCTTCCACAATTCAGTAGCTTCCTCAATACTCGATATGCCTTGGAAGGAAGGGGCGGCTTCTATGCCTAACATCTTTAGGCCGTAAACGTGCCTAGCTTCAGTAAAGTGCTTTTCATAACGTCGCCGGCCTCTATAAACATGATTGCCGCATATTTCACAAGCATACTCGATATTAAGCCCCTGCAATTTGTAAAGCCAATGGGGAATCGGGAAGCCATCAGGTCCTAAAGGCATGTCAAGGGAATTTTCTGTCGGAGGGGGCGTCATTGAGCTTTCCTCATCTTGCTGACTCGGGAGGTGTTCTTTTTCTTCGTCGCCAAAGGCTGGTGCTTGATACAGGTCAGATATGCGCTCCATCTCTTGAGCCCTTTCCTCTGCGGTGAAAGCTAGTTGGCGCTCAATAAAATTTCTCGTATCCTCAACATGGTTTTTTAAATAGCCCACATATTTATGCACTCTGTATTCGAGAAGAAGCTTGTCCTTCCGGCCGTTTAAGCTTTTCTGATGTTTTCGCCCCAACAAATGGTTTCCGTATACTGATTCGGTTTTGAACGTCTTTCCACAGGGAATGCAAAATGTAAGACCGTTAGAAGATGCAATTGGCGATCCAAGATATTTGGGGAACGAAGATGTAATCTCATCTTCGAGAACTTCCTTATTCATCCAAGGATAGACGCGGTAGAAAAAGCTGGTAATGTAGATCGAAAACGACTTTAAGAACTCAATATACTTTTTCGCATTCCGATCTACCGATGGCGAGATCAGAAAGGCTTCGTCTTTGAAATTTTCCACGATCTTGATAAATTGCAGAAATGACGTTGAGCTGTCTGACGCAATGCCCATCCATTGCTGATAATAGTTCTCTAGACTCAAAGTTTCCCCATACTGCTCTTCTCTGCTGAAAATTTCGTTAATGTCTAGGAAGTGCGACTTCATTGAAAGAATGTTTTTATATTCTTCTGTCGAGGCCGAAAACATGCTGTATTGTCGCGAAAGGATTGTGGACTGTTCTGAGTCAGAATTTTCAGTCCCTTGGAACCGAGACTTAAGTGTTTCAATAGAGCCTTCCAAGGCTGCAAAAGTGCCGTGAGGATCTTCAAAGTCGCTCACATCTTCTCCTGTTGTGCCATCTATAAAGTGACTTGTTTCATTATACCTGTCCAAAAAGCTCTTAATCTCATGCTGCTGGAGTGCCACCTGCTTTTTCGACCGTCTAGGCTTTGATATTTTCCATATACGATTCTGAGTTGCTTGCGCTTTCGTCACAGGTACATCGATTGCCTTTTCGCCTTCTATGGCTTTAAGTTCGTCAAAATAATCGTAAAAAAGAGCTGGATTTCTACCGATCCTATCGGCAATCGCCTTTTCAATAACTTCAAGCTCCTCTAAGGCAATTCTTTTGGCCTCAATGGGATTCATTGATTACCTACTTCTCGTGAATATCATCGAGATGCCTCAGTTGAAGATGCCTTGACTGTCCATGAGCTTCAAGAAAACCGTATATAATTATGTCATTATCCAGCACTTTAACCGACCTCGTCGCCTTCTGCTAAGAAGCGCTTAAGTGAGTTTGATCAATTTTGATCAATTTTGTCCAGTTTCATTAGCCGGGAATGTCTTGATCATTTAACTTGCTTTACAACATACGAAAGGCCAACTCAAATCAAAATTTGCGTTTTTTGCTTGGACGTGCGTTTTTGGCCATCCTCTTTTCCTTCATGACTCTCTGCTTTCGCATTTGATCAGCATTCCTTAATTCATTTTTGCCACCCGGTCCATTAAAGCCCTTGACAGCAACCCCATTATTGATTGCTTTTTGTACCTTCTTTTTCTGGGTTTTATAATCGTCTCTGAGCTTGTCGGGCATTCTGGGAGCCTTCATTTGCTTGTGCATGAATTTCCCACCAACTTTACGTTGAACGTCGCTGAGAGGATTAGATAATAGTTTAGATTGACCAGGAGACTCTTTTGCTCCGACCTTCAATGGTCCAATCTTTCGCGCCTTCGACCACTCATCGAATTTGCCAGATCTAAACGAAGCCGGAATTTTCTGCCCACTTTCGCCAGTGATATATTTTTTGTTGTCGATGCCCCTTATGTTAACGTACTTCTTCTTCTTCTTGTCCCATCTAACATTGGCAGTTTGCTTATGCACTTGGATTTTGTCGTCGTCGTTCAGGTCAAATGTCGCATTCGCAGCTTCATTCGTGAAACCCGGGGTCAGCTCAAGCTGCTTGTCCTGTATCTCCTGCGCAGGTGCGTAGTATGAAAGGAAAAACTCAGGATTTTTAAACGACTTCCTGCTCTTTTCTTGCGCATCCAAGACTTTGTCACCGTCCTCGAACTCATTTTCAAGAATATCTTCACGAACCGAGTAGCCCACCTCGTTGTCCTCTCCTTTTAGAATTTCTTCTTCCAAAGAGTGTCTCAACCCGGCGGCTCTCTCCTTTTCAACAAGTGCTCTTCTCTCGTTAGCCTTTCTTTGGATAGGAGCTATTTGAGCTCTTCTTCTCTTCATGAGCAACGCAGCCTCATCATTTGGATTGCGCGCGAACTCGAATACCGTCTCTTTCTTATTTCTGTTACGCAACTTCGCAAGGAAGTCAAGCTTTTCTTTCTCCAGGTTCGCGCCAAATTTAAGATTCTGTTCGTCCCATCCGGACCCTTTCACCTCTTTGGAACGCTTCAGAGATTCAGAGGATGCAGCCGTACGTGTTCTGAAATAAAGTTTCTCAGCTTTTACAGCAACGGCCTTCAACGACCTTAATTCATAGTTTGATTCTATCAAGTTTTTGAAGAGATCTCCACAATTCTCCACATCAGGTCTCGGGCAAGAGCCCAATACCATCCTCTTGGTATACGATACTTTAGGAGCCGCAAAGGAGTCCTCATCGTGACCTTCAGATAGCCATTTCTGCTTCATTATCTCCGTGGAAGATTCGTGCATTGGTGTCAGTAAAACCTTTTTGCCCAAGAAAAGCTCCAAATCAAGTAGATAAGGTAGCTCATTCTCCGAGACAATGGAGTACGCCCAACCGCGATTACCTGCTCTGGCTGTTCTACCAACTCGATGAACAAACACTTTAGAGGAAGACGGCAATGAAAAATTAATGACATTGGCTAGTAAAGGAATATCCACACCTCTCGCGGCGAGGTCTGTAACTACCATTATCGTGGTGAGACCATTTCTAAAATTTTGCAATTGCTGCTTTCTTGCCCTTTGATCCAATGTACCATAGAGATAAGACACCAAGTATCCACACTCTTTCAAAAGCAGCGAGACGTATTCGACGTGATGACGCGTGGGAACAAAAACGATTGTAGCCTTTTCACTCGACAAGTCTTTGGGAGAAGGAAGATTTTTCCTCGATTTAAACGCTTTCTTCTTTTTTTGACGCTTTTTGTCCTCCGTGTCACTGTCATCATCGTCACCACTGCTCTGGTACCCAGATTCCAACAATAGACGCTGCTCATCCGTACCAATCGGCGCCTGAATGGCCTCTTGAAGCAAACACAACAAGTTTGCTTCTCTTTCCTCATTTTTCGTAGCAACGAAAAGCATCTCCAATTCGTCAGAAACTCTAGTCTCCGCATCCAAGCGCACAAGCACGGGATTCGTCAAGCCAGCCTTAGCGAAGTTTACCAAGGACCTCGGTAGGGTAGCAGAGAAAAGTAAAGTTTGTCTTGTTGTGGGCAAGGCTGCCAACAACTCATTGAGTTGTTCTTCGAAACCCATCTCGAATAATCTATCGGCCTCATCAAAAACCACGTATTCCATAGTCTTTAAACTCAAACTCATTTCAACAGTTAAATGCAAAAATCTGCCCGGAGTTGCGACTACAACGTCAGGATTCGACATCATCATTCCAAATTGCTCCTCAAGACTGTCACCACCAGTGAGAAGAACACTGCGTAGGTCAGTTCCGCGAGCAAATTCTTTGAGAACTTTGTGAGTCTGAAGTGCAAGTTCCCTCGATGGGGACAAAACCAGGGCTCTAGCGCCGATCTTGGCCGAATGACACTTGAGTTTCTCTATCAGAGGCAAAATGAAAGCAGCCGTCTTACCTGAGCCAGTACGGGCCATGCCGACTATGTCACGCTCCTGCAAAATCAAAGGAATGGTTTTCCGCTGAATGGGCGTTGGCTGTCTGAAACCTTTTCTGGAGATGTTTCCCAAGATAGTCTTCGACAGACCAAAGCTTGGGAACGAGCCCTTCTTGTGTTTGGCGGCGTTGGTCGATTGAGTCGAGAAATAGCCCGCGATATCATCTGCATCGTTGTCCTCTTCACCTTCTTGTTCAGGCATCTCTAATGCAGGAAAGCTTGCATCATCAGCAATGCTTTTTTTGGCCTTCTTGATCTCCTTCGCCTTATCCTCTTTACCTTCATCATCACTAAACTCTATAATGTCCTGAACTTCGCCAGAACCTTCGTCGCTGCTTTCATTACCACTGTTTTCGTCATCTTCGCTACCAGAACCTCTAGCGATTAGATCTCCGGCTATATCGAAGCCTTCCTCCTCAGAGTTTGACTGTTCACCTTCCCAATCTCTAGTGCTTCTTTTTCTCATCTTTTGAGAGGTTAACAAAGCTGTGAAAAGCTCTCACCAAGGAATTATTCACTTGTCTTGATAGTGTTCGCTTGCTCATCGCGAGCTCATCGCTCAAAATTTTTCACCAAAAGCTGACTGGCAAACTCATCACAGGCAACGTAACCAAGAACTAATCAAACCTGCACAATGAACGATTAAGATACAGAGTATGAGCCGTTAGATGTCGAAAGCTTTATCTGTTGTGAGAGAAAGAGTCCTAAGAATTGCGTCTCAGCGTGTTGGCAAGGGCTATAAATATGGGGCTGGGCCTTCGAAGTTCGATAACATAGTGATCGCTATGTCATCTGGAGTAGATTCATCGCTAGCAGCATCGCTATACTCTAACTATCCAAAGGCTCGGGGTATTTTCATGGAGAATTGGTCGCAATCGCTGTCGATGGAGGACCCCAGTAAAGAAAAATGCTATGAAAAGGACTGGAAAGACGTTTTGAAAGTGGGGAAACATGTCAATTTGCCCGTCGAGAGAATAAATTTCGAACACGACTACTGGATAGATGTTTTCGAGCCGATGCTCGAGCAATATAGGGCCGGTACCACGCCTAATCCGGACGTTGGATGCAACAAATTCATTAAGTTTGGAAGCCTACGAAAACACCTCGATTCGTTATATGGAACTGGGAACTACTGGCTGGTGACTGGCCACTATGCACAGGTTCTGCAGGACGCCGTTACTCAGGAAACACACTTGCTGCGTGCGTTTTACAAGCAAAAAGACCAAAGCTACTACCTCTCTCAAATTCCGCATTGCATTCTGCCGCAGCTTCTATTGCCGCTCGGAGGGTTAACGAAGCCCGAAGTGCGCGAAATGGCGCGCGACCTGCAACTACCGACAGCTTTGAAATCGGATTCGCAGGGAATATGCTTCGTAGCCAACTCGCAGCATGGCCGGTTTCAAAAGTTTCTGCAAGAATACTTACCGGCGGAAACCGGGGACGTTGTGACAATCGACACAACAAGCGGCGAGAAGCGCACATGGGGTAAACATAAGGGTTTATGGTCGTACACGATTGGCCAAAAAATTGGCATTGCGATGCCGCAGGGCGACCCGCAGTTCAAAGGACAATGGTTTGTGAGCGAGAAGCGTATGAATACCAACGAGATCGTCATTGTGCGTGGGCATGCGAATCCGGCTCTCTACCAAAATACGTTGAGAGTGCGGCAATTTGAGGCTTTGGGCGGCAACGAGATCATGCAAAGGCTGACATCTGGTTCAGTTTCTGGTTTGAACCTACAGTACAGATCTCTTCAAGAACCTGTTGCAGCTACCGCATGCGAGTGGAACGGCAAAGATCTCATCATTTCGCTTCCGGAGACGCAGCGTGCAATGGCACCTGGCCAATATTGCTGCGTCTACGACGGTGACCGTGTTTTGGGCAGTGGTACAATCGAAGAGGCATATTCAAGGGACACAGACTACCCGATTCGAAAGCAAAACTAGCTATTTCGTCGCATCCAGTGCACATGCTGCAGCAGCGATAGCGCAACGCGGAGAGGCGTCTGAAAAGCTGAAGAAAAACGCATTATAAAAGAAGACTAGCTCTTCATGTTAGCACTCTGTGGGATCGTGAAAGGGCCTTGGGTCCGGCTGTATACTTATTTTTTCTTAATTCTTGTATCTCGAATAGCTTAAATACCAATAGTGCTTCATGCATCCAAAAAAAAGGTGACTGAATGGTAAGAGACTTAATCACCAACCAGTAGTCGATAATATAAAGACATTTCGTGCCACTCATGTCATTGCATCGCGAGCTAATTGTCGCAACTGAAGCCGTGCGCAAGGCCTCGCTGCTAACGAAGCGCATTCAGTCCCGAGTTATTGCTAACGAGGACTCGACCATAACCAAAACGGACAACTCACCAGTGACCATTGGTGACTTTTCTGCTCAGGCGATCATCATCAATGCGATCAAGGCAAATTTCCCAGAAGATTTTATCGTGGGAGAGGAGTCTACGGAAGGAATCGAAGACAGCTTCGTGTCTCACATACTCCAAGAGATCCGTGACAACGACACTGACTTCGAAACTGCATTTGGAGACCGCACCGAAATAGTGTTCCGCAGTGCAGACTACCCGCTAAATTCGGTTGCCACTGTGAAGAAAGCCATCGACTGCGGCGACTACGAGGGCGGGTCAAAGGGCCGGTTCTGGTGTCTGGACCCGATCGACGGAACGAAGGGATTCCTACGAGGCGACCAATTTGCCGTGTGTCTCGCGCTGGTGGTCGACGGCGTGGTGCAGTTGGGCTGCATAGGTTGCCCTAACTTGCAATTGAAGAAATATGGCGGACAAGACGAACCCGATGCTAGCAAATGCGGCTACATTTTCCGCGCCATCAAAGAGGGCGGTGCTTTCTACTCTCCTACGGCTTGCGAGAGTTGGAAACCAGTTCATGTGCGCAAATTAGGCTCTACTAGCAGAGCGGTCTCCCTGGAAGGCGTTGAAGCGTCTCACTCGTCGCACGACGAGCAATCTGTCATCAAATCGAAGCTGGGAGTTTCTCGCTCCCAGCACCTCGACTCCCAGGTCAAATACTGCCTACTTGCGATGGGACTCGGCGATCTCTACCTCAGACTTCCCCTCAAGCTATCTTATCGCGAAAAAATCTGGGATCACGCTGCTGGAAACATAATCGTGAAAGAGGCTGGTGGAGTCCACACAGATGCCATAGACAACGTACCACTAGACTTTGGCCGGGGTAGAACCCTCTCTACTAAAGGTGTCATAGCTTCCTGTGGTCCACGTGACCTCCACGATCTAGTTCTCAAGGTCTCGTCTGAAGTTATCAGATCCAGAAATTGAAGGATACACCTCACGAGGTCAGCAGGTTTCTTAAAAATAATCGTTGAAATTAAGAAAAGATGAAATTAGTAGTTTAAATTATTAATTAAGAGTTAGTGGGGAAGCACACAAAGGAATATAGACGCGAGCGCCAACAAGGCTGTAATTACTACTCATAAGCTTTGGGAAGTGGGAGGGAACACAGTGGATTTAGACGAGCGGCTTCATGTCGAAATCAGTGGGCCCGGTGTTTGAGATCGACGGCCATATCATCGAGCCCGTGACGTTGGACAGATCATGGAATACCACAACGGTTAACCAGCTGCTTGGGCTACCCGGAATGTTTTCGACTTTTGACAAGCCGCAGCTAAGAAATTTGCGGATTATTGCGATCACGGCTTCAGTATTGTCGATTATCGCTGGCGTACTCGGCCTGCATTTTTTCACCGGCATCCATCGCAGCCGACGTGTATTTCGACACTATCTGATCTTCTACCTCGTCGTGTGCGATTTTTTGAAGGCGCTGGTTTTGATGATATATCCAATCATAATCCTAATTCGAAACGACATCTACGGTATCCCCGCATTTTACAACACCTTGGGCTGGCTGACGCTTTTCGCAATCGAGGGCGCAGACATAGCCATAGCAATCTTCGCGGTTCACTTCGCCATTCTCATTTTTCGCCCGAACTGGAAGAGACTGAATCACAAAACGGGCAACATCGAGGGCGGACTTTTCCCCGTGAGACATTTCCTTTACGCCGTGACGCTTGTCGTACCGGCCATACTTGCGAGTCTGGCGTTTGTGAATTTTGACAAGTTCTGGCCCGTGAATTTAAATGACCACGTAGTATTGGACAACAACAATTTTGGCTTCACATATCAGGGACGCGTGGGTGGCTACAAGGCACTCAGTGCTTGGTGTTTTCTGCCTCCGGTCCCCTATTGGTATAGACTCGTGTTAAGTTGGGGTCCGAAGTACTTCATCATAATTTTGATCTTCACTGTCTACATCAGCATTTACGTTTATGTCTCGAAGGAAAACAGGAAAATCAAGAGCCAACTTGGCGAGTTCAGGGGCGGGCTGAATAGTATTGACATTCACAGAGAAACTGACAGCAAGGGAAGGCTTCTCACAGTAAGACAGAAGCTGGTTCTCTATCTCAAGTTCGGCTTTAGAAAGTCAGGTCTGAAATTCTTTCTCGATGGCCTCGAGAGGTTTCTGTCCATGACTCTGGTTGATGATCATGAAGAGAAATTAGGTGTGAGGGGAGAGAAAAAAGGAAACGGTCGCGCTCATACGGCCGGTTTGACTCCTGCCCGAAGTGCCAATAGCTTTATTGAGGATGAGTTTCGAGAGCATGGATTTAGCGCCCCACCGACGGGTATTAAAAGCGTCACCTCACAATCAAACGACTATCAGAATATTTTCTCTGATACCCACCTGATCGCAGAACATAATCTCGGTCCTAGGGAACCACATGAAAACATCTTTGATAGTCCTTTGACGGTTTCTCCTTGGTCCAAATCCAAAAGTATCGCACCAACTCCTCATCACGTCGCCAGTAATATTGGAAAAACGCAACTGGAATTCGAAAGGCAACCTGAACATGGTGTAGTTGATCCGACTGATTCTCCAGAAGGCAAAAGACAAGCAAAACTTTCAGGTCCTAGACGTAAGAGCCACTCGGCTCAGGATTTTTTCCCAAACCAGCAACCTCGTAGCCAGGAGGACTTGCTGCCCTTTGAGGCAAATACAATTATGATAGGGGACGCTTTTAGGGAAAACGAGAACGAGGATGCATGGCTGCATGGCAATAATGCAAACACCGAAGCTGTATCTTCTCTCAAAGAGGCCACAAAAAGCGTCAATCCAAATCATCTGCTAGATTTGAAACAAAATTTTCAATTTGATACTTACCAAAACTTTAAAAATCGGCGATCCGTGATTCAAAAACAGCTTCGATCAATTTTCATCTATCCCTTTTCTTACATTGTTATATGGACTTTTCCCTTGGTAGTCGACTGCATTCAATACCGCTACGAAATTGTTCACGGTCCTGTCGTTTGGTTGGAATATATCGCGACTTTTATGCAGCCACTAAGCTGTGTAGTTGATGTTATGGTATTTCTTTACCGCGAAAAACCATGGCGGTACTCATGGAAAGCGGTTACGACCAAAGAATTGATCAATATATATGGGCTGAAGGGAGAAATTGGCGAGGAGGAGATACGAAAATTGTGTTTCAGCAACTCTGGACGAAAAGGTTGGTATTATCGCGGGAGATGGTCGAAGGCAAACTGTTGGCGCCACAAACCTCAACGGTGGAAAAGAATGGTTTGGATTTTATTTCGATGCATCAAGGGATTTGTCAATAAGAATTATACTTTCGAGGACAATTGCAACGATATGGCTTACTGGGATGACTATTACTCAGGAAAAGACATTACCAATGGGAGGTTATCGCGGGATACTAGCTGTACGTGTGCCTTGAAAGAGATCATTAATGCGCCTGACAGTCGAGGAGAGTCTAACATATCGTCATCCACAGACGAAGGAATCTTAGAATCCTTCAAGAGACCTTATGTACCAAGATACTGGAAACTTCTCCATTTACTTCCAATGTCACATGGCATAGACCTAGACGAACTGGACCGCTATTTGCGACTTAATAATAAATGTAACCCGTACGAGATTCCTGGTTTACAGATCGCCTTGAACACCAGTACGGAACACACAAGAGCAAACGATGAGAACATCATATTCAAGCCTGGTTACGAATTATCGGAACGTAACTCTAAGAAATGGCTGCAGCCCAGCAATACATCTCAGTCTAGTCCAGGTACGCCAAAATCCAAGTATTCTTTGGGGAATAGCGCTTCGGGAATTTTGGCTGAGTCAAATTCGGGACATGAAATGCACGAGCTCAAAAAAAATAACAACGGTACCAAACACAAGTCCGAGCTTGAATCCAGTGAAAACGATGAGGACGGGTCCTCTTCTAAAGAGCTAGATTTGATGGACTTTTTAAAAAATTGATTGCAGTCGAGCACTGCCTATGTTGTTTAATATGTGATTTAATAAAAACCTTTACGAATTTTATATTGGCAGATTTCTCTTGATCAGTATACTGCAGCGCCTTGAACGTAGTCTTGACACGGGCGTGTAGATTCGGTTTCTGATGCGAACTCCTGATCATCATTGATGGTGAGATAGCACTTATAACGTTTACTTATTTTCAAAGGGAGACAGACCCTTATGACGAATAGCACAATGAGTAAGTTTGAAGACGTAAGGCATTTTTGAACACGTCATGCCTTTGAGCTTCGATATTTTCCTTTCAACATTTAACTGTGCCAAAAATTTGCCATTTAAAGATGAGGAGCGCCTAGAAGACCTTATTTCTACTCTAATTCCTTGCGATACTAAGCATCAAGTGTATGTTCTTGGCTTCCAAGAGTTGGTACCCATATGGCAAGGTTCCTTCCCTCAGCTTGTGGAACAGGTTTTGTCCACGGTTTCTCGAATTGCTGTAGGCTATCTGAACGAGTCTTCGGCGCACACAACGTATACATCGGTTTATGAAAAGACCTGCGGGGCGATAGGCCTGATTATCATCGCAAACAGTACCCTGGATATCAAGAATGCTTTAGGATGCTCAATCGGTTGTGGAATGTTTTACTCGAGTCTGAAGGGCGGTGCGGCTGCTAAATTCACAGTAAGAGACGCAGGTGAAGAGATCTCCGATACTTTTGTAATCATATGTGCACATATGGCTGCCAACGAGGGTCCATTTTACACCGAAAGACGTGTTTCTGATTTTGAAACAATTTGCACCAGTGTTCGCGAAGAATTGGGTCCTTTTAAAGCCAATCATGTCTTCTTTCTGGGGGATTTGAATTTTCGAGCATCTCAATTGCTAATGAACGATTTAGAATCGGCCAGTTTAAGCGAGAGGCATCAGGTATTTTCTCGCCATGACGAATTGAGTAGATTGAGGCGGGAGGGACGAATTTTCCAAGGCTTTGAGGAAGGGAATGTAAGCTTTCTGCCTACTTACAAACTAAAACGCACAACGCGAGATCGTATTTATGACAGTCGCCGTTCACCGTCGTGGTGCGACAGAATACTTTTCAAGAAATATGAAAATACTTTTCAAGTCGAAATTTATGACACTTATGCGCGTTCCGAAATTCTACAGTTAAGTGATCATCTACCAGTCAAACTCTCCATCAACGTCCCACATATTCATGAAGATAATGCCCCCATTGAAATCTTCATTACACCACCTTTCCGAAAATGGACCAAGATCATTGGCAAACTGAGTGATGTTGTTATTGGTTACAGTGGATGGATCTACGCCATTACTGGCCCTTATCCACTTCTTCTCTCAGTGATAATTTTGATTCTCTTCCTGTGGCTTAAATAAAGGTTTTGCGAGTGGTTGCGACGTTGTAACTCGAACCTTTCAAAGAAAAAAAGCTACATATTGCCGAAATGGAATGGGGAAAATTGATGCGAATAGCAACATGCAAAGCAAGAGGCGGTTACAAATTGATATATTGAATTTGTTCATCCACTTTTCCCGATTTTTTCGAGTTCTCGCAGAGATAATTGCTCTAACTCTTTCTAGCCGTTCGATGACGTATAAGAATTTAAGCACTGGTGAAGGCGTGTAATGGCAAATAATGACTTGAGGCTGAAATTTTAATTCATGAAATTGTTAAATCAATACAGTTTTCTTATTTCAAGCATCGCGATGGCGGACTGTGAAAAAAATGATGAAATATATATTTACCGAAGAACTCACGAAAACCATCCAATGCAAAGAGCTTTCTCTCTGAACGCCAAGAAAAGGATCTGCTTCAGAAAATTTGATAGAGAGGGCCTCTCGGGCATGGATCCCACTAGAAAGAGAGCAATGGAAACCCCAGAAATTAACAATGATATAAACGACCAAGACGGCAGAAAAAAGACTAAAGGCCTCGGTCTCGGCGAGTTGCGTGACAGCAAAGGTTTTAAGCTCAAAATTCAAAATTCAAACAGTCTGAGAAACAAACAAGTTGACCCAGACTATACTACCAAAATCGAAGGTCCTTTGAGAAAAGTCGTTCCTTACTTTTTCACTTACAAGACATTCTGCAAAGAGAGATGGAGGGATCGCTTGCTGATAGATATATTTGTGAACGAGTTTAGGGATAAGGAAGAGTCTTATTATCGTAAAACTGTTGCTGCTGGTGCGGTAAAACTCAACGGTTGCGCGGCCAATCTTGAATCTGTCGTAAGGAATGGAGACCTGATCTCACACAGAATACATCGGCACGAGCCCGCTGTAACGTCGCGACCGATTAAAACTGTGTTTGAAAATGAGGATATTCTTGTTATAGACAAACCAAGTGGCATTCCGGTCCATCCCACAGGGAGATATCGATTTAATACCGTGACGAAAATTTTACAAAAACAAATGAATACATCTATTCACCCCTGCAACAGGCTTGATAGACTAACAAGCGGCCTTATGTTCATGGCAAAAACGCCTCGTGGCGCCGATGAAATTGGAAATCAGATGAAGGCTCGTGAAGTCAGGAAAGAATACATCGCTCGTGTCGTGGGAGAATTTCCTTCGCATGAGATTACCGTTGAAAAGATGCTTCGGTCTGTTGAGCCTCGCCTAGCGCTAAATTCCACTTGTGAAGAAGGAACCGAGGGTGCTAAGCATGCCAGAACCGTATTTAGGCGAATAAGCTACGATGGGCAAACGAGCCTTGTAAAATGCCAACCGTTGACCGGACGCACGCACCAGATACGTGTACATCTACAATTTTTGGGCCACCCAATTGCTAACGATCCCATATATTCAAATCCTCACGTCTGGGGTCCTACTTTAGGCAAATATTGCAATGTTGACTACGACCGGGTCATAGAAGAACTCAATGAAGTCGGGAAAACGGTCTCTGCTGAAAGTTGGTTTTATCCTAATTCCAAGGGAGAGGTTTTGGCCGGCGAGCGATGTCAGATTTGCGAGACTGAGCTTTACACAGACCCGGGCCCGAACGACCTAGATCTGTGGTTGCATGCGTATTGCTACGAGTCAACTGAATTTGACGAGAACGACCAGAGGCTCTGGAGTTATAAAACCACATACCCCGGCTGGGCCCTAGAGCCGCACAGAAAATTCATGCTCCAGGCTATCGAAGAAGCGCAAAAATGCCCTCCGACTACGACAGCCTTCTCTGTGGGTGCCGTGCTAGTAAATGGGGATAGAGTGCTTTCAACAGGTTATTCGCGCGAACTACCAGGAAATACGCATGCCGAACAATGTGCCCTAGAGAAGTATTTTAAAGTGTCAGGCACCAACGAGATTCCGTTGGGCTCCGTTCTTTATACAACGATGGAACCTTGTTCTCTGCGATTAAGCGGAAATAAGCCTTGCGTCGATCGCATTATTGAGTTGAATCCTGGGATAAAGACCGTATTTGTCGGCGTTATGGAGCCTGACACTTTCGTCAAGAACAACATAAGTGCAGCTAAATTGTTGAGACATGATATTGACTACGTTCTAATACCTGGTTATGAAGAAGAGTGCACTAAGGCTGCCATAAAAGGCCATGAGACTTAGCTGACCATTGTCTCTTGTTATATAGCAGATTTCATATATAAGACCCTCTCGAGAGCCTTTTTCGTCTTTATGGATTCGTACTCAAGAAAAATTTTACTGGAGGATTCGATCTTGTCGATCATGTTAATTTAAGTCAAGCCATCCTAAAGCCCTCTGCTATTATCATGTCCAAGAAAAGGGTTGGGCTTCCCCAAAAGAGCACATTGTTGCGCTCCAAAGATGACAATAATCTTGTCGAAGCATTGAAACTCTATGAAGCTAAGAACTATAAGAAATCTTTGAAAATGCTTGATGGCATTTTGAAAAAGAATTCAAGCCATATCGACTCATTAGCTTTGAAAGGTCTCAATCTTCATTTTACCAATCAAAAGGATGAAGGTAAAACTTATATCTTCAGAGCGATTGACAAAATTAAGGCACAAGAGCCTACGCCGATCGCTTGCCACATTTTAGGCATCTACATGAGAAATGTTCAAGATTACAAGGAGGCCGCCAAATGGTTCCAATGCTCTTTAGATAACGGTTCGAGCAACAAACAAATCAATCGTGACCTAGCAACACTGTATTCTCAAGAACACGATTATGGCAAACTCTTGAAAGTGAGAAAGGATTATTGGGAAGACTTCATGGGCTATCGGGCAAATTGGACATCTTTGGCCATTGCATACGATCTCAATGGACAAAATGAAGAAGCAGTAAACATTTTGACAAAATTTGAGGAACTCGCGGCTGGCAAATTGGGTACCACCGAGGCGTTCGAGCATAGCGAGTGTCTCATGTACAAAAACGACGTATTGTTCAAGTTGGCAGGACAAGACTCTCAAAAGCTTGAAGAAGCGCTCAAAAATTTGGAACAAATCAAGGACCAGGTATTTGACAAATACGCGTGGTACGAAAGAAAGGCGGCGATTTTAATGAAGCTTGGTGACAGAAAGCAAGCCTCTAAAGTATACAGGCTGCTGATTAAAAGAAATCCTGATGATGTCAAATACTATAAGCTGCTTGAAGTAGCTCTGGGAATCACGTCTAATGACAGGCTACGGGTCGCTTTGTATGATAGGTTTATGAAGATATACCCAAGAGCCGATCCTCCGAAATTCATCCCACTTACTTTCATCAAGGACGATACCGAGTTTTCTAGAAGGTTGCAAGCTTACATCGAGCCTCAACTTCAGCGGTGCGCGCCCGCAACTTTCGGCAATATCAAATGTCTTTACAAGAAAGATTCAAAACGAATGATTAATTCGGTCGAAAACTTTGTTCTTCAATATCTCCAGAATTTAAACTCAATTAAACAACCCCTGCAATATGTGTGGACCTGCTACTTCCTCGCCCAGCATTTTCTATTTTTGAAGGAATTCGGGAAAGCACAAGAATTTATTGGGAATGCTATCGAGCATACTCCAACGCTGGTTGAGTTTTATATCCTCAAGGCCCGCATTATGAAACACGTAGGCTTACTTGAAGAGGCAGCAGCTACTATCAATGAAGGCCGGAAACTCGATCTACAGGATAGATTTATCAACACCAAAACCGTTAAGTACTTCCTACGGTCAAATATGGTCGAGGAGGCCGTTGAAGTGGTCTCGATATTCACAAAAAATGATGACGCGTCGAACGGAGTAGTGGATTTGCATTTGCTGGAAGCTTCATGGTTTATTTGCGAGCAAGCAGAGGCTTACTACAGGTTATATTTGGAAAGAAAGCGTAGTTTGCAGGAGCTAAGAGTACAGAGAACTACTGCTGAAGACGACGAAAAGTTGAGCGAATTGTCTAAACTCATTAAAGAGCAAACTTACGAAGTTTCGAAATATAAGGGTTTGAGTTTGAAAAGATTCCTAGCAATTGGCAAGTTTTACAAACAGTTTGAGGATGACCAGCTTGATTTCCATTCTTACTGCATGAGAAAAGGTGTTCCACGCGCCTACATGGATATGTTAAAGTGGGGTAAGAAGGTTTTCACTTCACCAATGTACATCAGAGCGATGGATGGGGCAGTGAAATTGTATTTCGACATTTTTGACGCAGTTGAACAGGACACTTCAGCGATCCATGACGAGGACTCAAATTTGAAAAAGAATAACAAAAAGGCTAAAAAGGAATCTGCTGCGTTTGCCAAACGTGTCGAGGAAGATAAAAAAGTTGTATTGGCTTATGAAAAGGACGACGACATTTTGGGTGAGAAACTGTTGGCCACGAAATCCCCTCTAGAGGATTTTAGCAAGTACTTTTACGCGAACTACGTGAAGGAAATTGACGAGAGATCCAAAAACTATCTACTGGACTACAATTATCACTTGAGATGCTCCAAATATGCTTTATGTCTCGGGTCCGTGTCAAAACTCGCAGAATATATTGGGAGATCAAACGCCTTGACCGGTTCCCTTCTGATATGCTTGCTCGAAAGGGTTACAAGCTCCGCCGCCACTGATGAGGTTACCAAAAAGATTGTCTTGAAGGGCCTGGAAAGACATTTCGCTGATTTTCCCCAGGACAAAGCTAACGAGGAATACGATTGGCTTTCATATTTTCAGACAACTTATACGTCTGAGAAACTCCAGGGTGCTCTGTACCTTTACCACACATCGTCGGTCTTCATCCCCCACCATGCGGTGAAGACCTTGATTTTAAAAGAACTTCAAAACGAAGAACCGCTACTTCAGAACCAGGTCCTAAACTATGAATTATAGTAAGATGACAACAGTGACAGATGAGAGCTTATACAAAATAACACTAAAATATGCTGCCACCAATTCGGGAAAGGTTCACAGAGAGTTGCAATTTACCCATCAAAAGCTCAACGACTTGCCGTTTTGCGCTTGATGTAGAACTGCTAGTTTTTGTTGTAGTCTGATATATACGCTATATTAGGATTTTCAATTTTCTAGAGAATCGGTCAAAACTAAAAACCTTACAATCAGCCAATAGATAAAAGCGAACGTTCCACCGAAAGAGACGATTTGTGTTCCACCGCTTCACAAGTGAGAATTTGACGTATGGGCTCCTATCCTGAGCAATCTCCGGCGCCCTCTTCGGTTCAACCCGTCGGAGGAATAACGACAGAAAACGATCGAAAGCGGAGAGATAACATCAACGACAAAATTCAACAACTACTGAAAATGATTCCGCCGGATTTCTTTGAAGACTACTATAAGCGCAAGGACAGTACGGAGGAGGGTAGTGTAAATGCAGCGGCTTTGGGCTTGAACAGCAAAGCAAAGGGCACTGGGACGAAGGACGGGAAACCCAATAAAGGTCAAATCTTGACGCAGGCAGTCGAGTACATTGCGCACATGCAGGGTCAGGTAGATGCGAAGAACAGAGAAGAAGTTGAACTGATTATCAAAATAAAAGAACTGAGCAAACAGATGGGCGTTTTTGTCAATGACATTAATATTCAAAATACCAGTGCAGAAGTAGCTCTAGCGAGAATTGGTGTCGGTCCGCTAGCCGATGCTCCTGGAGAATTTGACCGAGACCAGAATAATAATAACTTTGATTATGGTGGCTACGATGAGTATGGCAGCGGAGCCTAGACGTTCAGGCTCTTACTGCCAAATTTCATGCTAAGTTGATTCCTTTTCAAAAACTAAAGAAGAAACAGGTCAAACTAGGTTCATGACGGGTCAATAGAACAGGCCGATGGACCAGGAAGACGGTCTCAAAGCTTCGCTATAGTCGTTGTGCGCGTCATGGAATCTCGATGTTGTGCTCTTTCACGAACTGTTTTGTTAATAAAGATTTTTCAGTTTAAAAGTTAACCATAACTACGGGCGACATATAAACCCAGCAAACGTGTCGTTACGTGTCGGTAAGGGCCTGTGATGAACACAACCGTCGATGAAGAAGAGGTGGGTAATAAGCGTTTGGTAAGTCAGGTAGATTACGATTTAAGTGAGGAAGATGGTGAAGCGGAAAAATCCTCAAAAAAACTAAAAGTGAAAGAGGAGGACAATACCATTTTCGATGAAGTTCCGCCAGCGGACGAATTAGAAGACATTGTGGACGAATATGTGGAACAGCATACGGGAGGAACAGGCGTAACGGATTCCTTGCTTTCAATAAATAAGGGGGAGGCTCACGAGGAAAATTCGGGCGTCAATGCGCAGTATGTTCCGAAAGGGCCTTCGACTGCAATCGAGATAGCAAAGAACCCTGAAACTGGCAAATACAAATTTCCTTTCATTTCGAAAGAAGACTCTCTGACAGCTCGCTCGTATTTGAAACATTACGGCGCTAATAAGTTCTTGGACACGCATCTACCGGAGGACTTGAACTCGTTGTACATATACCATCTTATCAAGTTGCTTGGATTTCAAATCAAAGACAAACAGCTGCTGGAGGCGGTACAGAACGTAGTGGAGAGCGATATTTATCCACACGGCGCGCTGTTGACCAAGGATGTGCCACCCCCCGATAAAACCTCTGAAACGGGCGAGAACGACCAATTTGACGATCCTCTTGAGAAAAGACACGCTGTGCGTTTGATTAAGGATTTGCAAAAGGCCATGAACAAAGTGCTGAGTACTCGAATGAAACTTGCCAAGTTTCACACTCTAGATGACTTCTGTGCTAAACTCAAAGAAGCCAAAAAAGTGCTGGTTTTGACCGGCGCAGGGATCTCTACGTCGTTGGGCATACCGGACTTTAGATCTTCAGAGGGGTTTTACTCGAAAATAAGACATCTTGGTTTGGATGACCCCCAGGATGTTTTCAATTACGACATCTTCATCCAAGACCCGTCGGTTTTTTACAATATTGCGCACATGGTTCTTCCTCCAGAGAATATTTTCTCTCCTTTGCACAGTTTCATAAAATTGATCGAAGATAAGGGCAAACTTCTACGGAACTATACTCAGAATATCGATAATTTGGAATCTTACGCTGGTATACAGTCAGAAAAGCTAGTGCAGTGCCATGGATCGTTTGCCACAGCATCTTGTGTGACTTGTCATTGGAAAGTACCAGGAGAGAAAATTTTCCAAAATATCAGAAATTTAGAACTGCCTCTTTGTCCCTACTGTTATCACAAGAGAAAGGAGTACTTTCCGACAACTCCGATTCCGAATTCTGGCAGTCCAGCGAATGTGGTTCCTCCAAGCCCTGTTTATCACATGTTAAAATCGTATGGCGTGTTGAAACCAGACATCACCTTTTTTGGCGAAGCTCTGCCTTCCAAATTTCACCGCTTCATTCGTGAGGATGTTCTGAAATGCGATCTTTTGATCTGCATTGGCACAAGTCTCAAAGTTGCTCCGGTATCGGAGATTGTCAACATGATACCCGCGGGCATCCCGCAAGTTTTAATAAATAAAGACCCCGTTAGACACGCGGAGTTTGACTTATCACTTTTGGGTCTTTGTGACGATGTCGCGGCACTCGTGGCACGGAAATGTGGCTGGGATGTGCCTCATGATCGCTGGCCGGAGTTAAAAGCAATGAACATTGATTGCATTGAGGTAGATAGAGGTGTTTACCAGGTAAAGCCTTCTCAAAATGTTGAGGAAGCTGCTACAAGTGAGCCAATAAGCAAGGAATAATTGCAATGCAATTACTGTGTAAAGATATGTGTACGAAGATGTGTAACTTTTTCCGAGTATTAGTAGTAATTGAGTCTAACTGATGACAACTTGAAAACTAATGATCTTAATTTTAAGATACAAGAGTCTGAGAGAAACTCGACAGATTTAGGCAGACACCTTTTATAGGAAACTCGCCAAAAACTCGACCTTAAATCTACTCGGATACAACGATGGATTACCAAGAAAGAGCAGGCTCTAAAAAGGGTTCTGGTGGCATTGCCTCCGCTTCTCAAGAAAATTTACATCGTAGGAGACAGGTCGATGAGCTACTGGGGGGTGATGCGGAAGTACCGTTTTCTTTCGGAGAGGAGGAGGTTGATGACGCAACGAGGAAAAACCCATATATTTACAAGAACAGTGCCGGCAGACTTGTGTGTAAGCTTTGCAACACGATGCACATGTCCTGGTCTAGCGTACAGAGGCACATTAATGGTAAGAAACATGGATTGAATGTGCTAAGGCGAGGTGCCACGAATAATGGTAAGCAGCGACAACATGTCTCAGAGGAGGAGGCTAAAATGAAAGACTTAGTTAAAGAGCTACGATCAGAAATTTCAAATAATGGCATTCTCCCGAAATATAAAGCAGTACTCGTAAAAGATGGACAAACTGGACGAGAAGGATTTGCAATGCAAGTAGACTACCCTAATGATGAAACGACAAAAAATCACGACTCCAGACCTTTCGTAAGATTATTATCTGGTATTGAATTGCCAGACGAATTTTCGGATGAGTTAAATTATCTCGTTGTCGCCAATGAGCCATTTGAAAACATTGGTGTTGAACTTCCTAAACGTGAGTTACAGATCGATCAGAATACTTCTACGTCGGAGACGTTTGTGGATGGCTTAAATGAGAATTGCACATATTGGAACAAAGAGAGAAGGCAGTTCTATGTGCAAATCTTCTTTCAATGAGAAGCATGGGCTAGCCCTGGTCCATTTTTTGGAGAACGCTTTCTATGTATTTGTTAATGTGACTTGCCAAAAGCGAATATTCAAGTTCAATGGCATCAGATTCACGCTGAAATTGGGCCTTAAGATTCCGTATCTCTGATTCTAAATCTTTCATCACACCTGCCATTATTTCCTTTTCTATGCGTTCTTCGGTCAACTGTAACTCCGGAAGTATTTCCTTGGAATACTCGTGTTGGAGCATCTCAATTGCTTTCTTGTTTTCCTGCTGTTTTGCGGTCGTTGACTCTTTAAGCTCGCCAAGTTTTTCCTGGTGGTGGTCCAATTGAGATTGCACAATAGATATTTTCACGAGAACGCCGGAGGTCAACAGGTTCTGGAGCTTATCAGCACTTTGTGAAATCTGCTCTTTAAGATCTATGAGGCCTGATTCCTTCATATGCGATTCTTGAATATCAGTGGAGATGACTTGGAGAACGTCATATACTTGAGACATTATGCTGGTGAAAGTTTTGCCCGAAATAAGGATTTTTCGCTGCCGCCACTCTAACTCAGAAAGCTTTTGGTGCTGTTGCTGTAAGACGGTTCGAAGCTCTGTGAGACTTCGCTCCAAAGTGGGTAAATCGGTCTCTGTGTATCTTTTCAGCTTGTCTCTCTGAGATTCCAGTTCAATCAGCTGATAGCCCAAGGACTCTAATTCTGACAGCAAGGCTTGTTTATTGGATTTATAAGTATTATAATCGATAGTGAAAGCCTCCTGAACGTGCGTTAAATTTTTCAATTGGGTCTCCAGATTCTTGTTTTCGTCTTCCAAGGTAGTAACGTCGTCTTGACCTTCCATGCCCTCCACTCCTCTGTATCTGTCGACTTGTCTTCGCAGAAAATTGTGGTCATCAAATTTTTGTCGTATTTCTCCTAATAGCGTCTCGGTAATAGACATAAATTGATCACAGTCAAACATTCGCTCCTCCCTAAACCGGGCGTAGTTTACCACTGCGCTCAAAAGACGTCGAGTGCGATAAGGATCTGGTTTGAATAAATCCATCAAACTAAAGTCAGACACCCCGACGTCGCAAAAAAATTTATAACACACTTTGTTCAACGTCAAAACGCTCAGGGTGTCCTTCAATCGCGTGTCAAAATTATTTACACCCAGTTTGAAGCCTTCTATCTCGTTATCAAATTTAGAGAGATCATCAGGCGATATCCCCATGAAACTATCAATTATCTGCTTGTATAAAGTCGTCACATATTGCGAAGTAGGTCTCAATATACTATTTTCCGACGCCATGGAGAAATCACAACTTTGCAGACAAACCACCAATTCTTCTAGCTCCAACATGGGAAAGACGTCTTTACTCATGTTGAAGACTTAAAAACGAATGCAATCTTCTCTAAGCGACCAAAGCTCTTATACCTATATGGCTCTGTTTATTGCCATGTTTATTTAAAGTGCTTTAGCATATAAGTCCGCTGAGTTTATCAAGTTTTGTTTTTTAAATCTTGCAGATGATCAGATCAACAAATACTCGAAACTGTAAGAGCCCAGAAATTGATATAAAAAAGGGTTCCACAATTAACATAACTGCCCCTGACTTCGCGTTGGTAATTTGCTGGGTTTTATGGCTTAGACCGTAGAAAATCAGGAAAATAGAGAGCAAAATGCTAAAGAAAATCGCAGTGATTGGCGGCGGCCCAGCTGGAATATCGTTCGTTTATGAATCCTTGAGAGAAAAAAGCTGCCAATGGGACATTGTGGGATTTGAAGCTAAGAATGAGTTAGGTGGGGTGTGGAGTGGTCAGCCCAATTGCTCGAGGAAAAGCGATGCTGATTCAATTTCTGCGCTTGACAAGCTCAGATCACTTCCAAGCGATTTAGATATCCCCATCACTGCTGAAGAATTATTTCAGTACGGGTCACCTTTAACTGAAGGGAAAAGTACCGTGACAAGCCTGAAACCGCTTTTAGGCACCAGCGTCGAAAATCCGCTGCGATTGGTGCGGTCAAAATTGCTACGCGATGACATTATTTTGTCGTCAGAAACTGGGCTCTATTCGAACTTCACGTCAAATGTCTCAGGCAAACTTATGGAATTTGACTGTAGTGGAAGCTACTCTGATTGTGACGTTAAATCTAGCTCTTACCCGTTAATCCCGCTCCCAGAAATAAAACGGAAAATAAAGGCATACATGGACAAGCGTAATATCAAGAGTTTCTACAGATTGGGAACAACAGTCGAATTTGTGGACAAAATATCACCTACCAAATGGATAGTTGTTGCTAAAGAGACCGAGAAGGAAAGTAAATTTGATAGATGGTACTGTGAAATATTTGACGCTGTCGTCATAGCCAATGGTCATTTTGGTATTCCCTATATCCCTTATTACATGAGCAGTTTGTCAGAAGAAGCTCCCGAAATCCATGAATTTAATGTGAAGTTTCCGAGTACTTTGTTACACGTTCGGGATATCGAGTCTTGGTACCAAAATTCACTTCCACGGATTAAGGAACAAAGTTTGGCAGGTAAAGAGCAAACGGTCGTTTTGGTGGGGAAAAGTTTCAGCTGCATGGATGTGCTCAAAAGGCTCATGCCTGTCAAAAACGCTTGCCCATCTTTGAGAATCGTCATTTCTTCGAATTTTCCTGCGATGCCGGAAAACGAGCTGAACCCCTTTAGTTGGTTCGACAAATGGCTAGTGGAAACATCCAATGTGCAACTCACGGGTGCCATCAAGAAATTCCAGAATTCAAGTGGACCTGGTCTCGAGTTTCAAGACGGCTACGTAGTAGAAAACCCCACGTCGGTGATTTTCTGTACCGGTTACCTCTTTAGTTATCCTTTTCTTTCGAAGAGGCTACTTGAAAGTTACAGAATTTTTGTTACCCCAGATCCGCAGACAACAGATGGCGCACCATCCAACATGTCACGCGTAACAGGTCTTTACCTCCATACTTTGTCAATTGCAGACCCAACGCTAGGGTTTATTGGAGTTTCTAGTAACGCGTGCTTTCAATCCTTTACGATCTCTTCTCTTGTTTTAATCGGTGCTTGGACTAAGTTTAACGACGCTCTGTCAAAAAATGACGATACTGGAAATTCTGCCCACAACGTTGCTTGGTCTCAAGTACTACCAGCAGTGGAAGAAGAGCTAGAATGGTCTCGCGAAAGATTATCAAAAGTTGGTAACACAGGTGCATACCATTTTTATCACCCCATCTCTTCTCTAAAAAGCGAATGGGTACGTTACTGTAAGGCTTTGGTTCTCGATCCCTGCAGGTTGGATAAAATTTGGCCCAACGAACCAGAATCGCTGGCTCAAATAGCTCTTGATAAGATCGAGGATCTATTTTACCATTTGGTGAACCAAGTGTGGCATCCTCAAGGAAATCTGAACCAGGGCTCTCACGAATGATACACGGTTTATGCATACAGCAAACGTCGGATCTGGCGGCGCAATAATTAACAAAAAAAAGATTCAATAACTTTCAAAGATCTCATCTCACATATATACCCCCCAGCTCTCTCATTTGATAACAGGAATCAAGTATCTTGTAGTAGCTTGGTATGAAGCTTTGAACCGAGCTCATCGCTTGGCTTTGGGGGTTAGCTTGTTTTTTGTCAACAGGTTCACGTGATTTTGATCTCATAGAGGCCATCGCCTTTCCAATTTAGGATAAGTGATAAACAAGGCTTCCTCTATTCGAGGATCTTTTCAGCTAAAAAAGTCGATTAGGTTCAGTAAATACTACGATGCATTGATAAGGTTTTAGTGATCTGAACGATTACCATTGTACTTTACGTGGTCACTAATACCAAATTATATCAACTTCAGATCAGACAAACCTATTATGGCTGCGAACAGTAAGCGACTTTCGGAGATGATCGACTCCTTCTGCAGTGAGAGAAGCGACGATCTACTTCATATTCCAAGCCCAAAGAAAGAATCCCCGACGAGAGAGCAAGAAAGCGGGTTTTCCATGGATCGGCGACATTTTTCGTTTGAAAAACCTGGTACGCTCCATGAACCAGGTCCTAATGCAAACCAATTCTCGTCGCCCAATTCTTTTGCAGAGCGCGGCAAAAGGGAAAGTATGATATCAGATTATTCTGCAAGCATTCATGAAGGCGTTCCAGTCGCGTTTATTGTCTCCAAATCCAATCCTCAAGACAGTAGTAGACAGCATGGTGCGCCTTTGGAAGAGAGCAGTTCAAGGGCAGCTGTAGGATCAAGCAATGGGGACGAAAACGGACAATCTGATATGCCATCAAGAGTGCCTTCTACTTTGAAACTCGCTTTCATCGGCGATGGCAAGCACAAAAAGCCGAACTCGTCGATCGGATCAGGCAATCTCGCAAGTGAAAGTGGTCACTCTCACAATATTTCGAGCCACAGTGGTGCAAGCACGGTCCTGTCCGGCGGCGAGAATGCAAGACTTAACCGCTCTAAAGTGCACAATCCAGCACAGCAGGAAGATTACGGGGCCCAAATGCTTCTCGGCCCCGCCTTTGGCTCAGCCGACAAAGCTACGAATCATCCACAAATAATCTACGAAGAAACGGCAAGCAACGAACTCGTCATCACATCGGGCGAAGAGAACGGCGAAATGCAATCAATAGCCTCCAGCGTCGTACCGCCTCTTGCCACGAGTGTTTTCGACAGTTCAGAGGGCCCCAGACCACCAGACCGTGCTTCGACCTCAGATTATCAGCCGTCTATTCCTCCTCGAAGCAGAAACCGGCCACCATCTCACCTGTTCATCAAGGATACGCTTGATGACATACAGACTCAACTGGAGCAACACATGTCCCTCAAAGACTCCGTTTCCCGTGTGAGTACCAATAAGTCCACGAGCTACTACTCTGCTGCGGACCAAGATCAGAATGACCTCGAAGGTGACGCAATGGCCCAAGCCGAAACCGAAGATGACAGTTATTTAGCCAGGCCGCTTCCGAGCGTACCTGATGAGAGTAATAATGTCTCGATAGACAGAAACGAAACCCTCTTGGCATCACCCTCGATACGGCAACAGCAAAAGCTTGAACAACGACCCGAATTACCAAACCTGCCCCTGCCCCACATGGCAAATTTTAATGGAGAGGGTGATGAACCTCACTTGGCGAGTAATGATGACAGTAGGAATGCCAAAAAAGACGAGCATTTAACGACACCAGCGAGACAAAAAAAGGGCAAAATTAATACCACACATGAGAGCAAGCCAAAGCGTAGGCCGCGGTCTGAGATGAGACCTTTTGATATCGACACAATTTCTCAGCTACTCAATGTAACGAAGGGAACCATGATCGGATCAGAATTTGCCAATTTAGGAATGAGAGTAGAGGAAAAACGAGCGCTTGAACGATTGGTCGACTCTCTATCTCGGTTGACAGCTGATATGGTTCTCGATCCCGAAAGGTTTGAGGAAGGACTAAAGAGATTAGAGAAGGCAACTAGAGCTCTAGAAGGATTCTGATGCTTGTCATAAATAGATCACCAAATAATTAACAAATTTAATGCAGCGATAACATAAAAAGAGCAAAGAACACAAACATAATAGTTTTGGATGGAATTTACAAGCGGGGAGACATCAATTCAAGAAGTTTTTTTGCTGAATGAAGGGCGAAAGGCTACTTTTTTAATCAATAAGCGATTTGAGCCTTGTCGTCATTACGAAACCATAAAACCGAGCCTAGCAATTTGAACCAAAGAAGCTTGAGTAAAGCATTCTATTAATTGCTGGTGGTTATTAGGGAAACGCTCATGTTATGCCAAAAATTTAGGATACAATAGCGTCTAATTGATATTATCCAAGTCTATGAAGGAAGAAAATCTAATTTCGAATGAAGCTAGAAACTGACAAAAAATCAGCACAAAGTAAGATAGACGTCGCTGAGAATGAAAGCCTTGCAAGGGCCACGCACCCTTCTTAGAAGATCTCTCTTTTCAGGAAAACTATTCCAACAGGAGCGTTCGAGAAATGCTGCCAACCAGTTCAAGAATGATCCTGTCTCATCTGTTCAGGAACGAACACTGTTCGAACAAATATTCCTAGAAATTATGAAGAAAGATGAGAAAAAGAATGCACAGACGGGCCTCGGGCAGTCATTGCCAATAAAAACTCTACAGCGCATGGACAGTGCGGAAAACTTACAAATTGTTTTTGAAAAGAAAAAGCCGTCAATTTCTGATGCGAAACCAGCGGAGAATGGCATCGATCAGAAAGCTGTCGAAGAACACCAATCACCGCGCCTTACTAAGGACGATATAAGGAGATATCCGGTTTCACTGACATCCACATACTTTGCTGAACAAGACGTATCCAAATCTGCTTTAAAGGGCCAAAATGTCTCTAGCCCTGACCTCAGGCTTAGAAGCACCGTCAAAGCAGAGACTGTGGAGAAGCTAGAAACCAAGGAAAAACTAAAAGCAGCCCTTCAAAAAGCTTTGAAGCCTCATCTGGAATTTTTGAGTCGAAAAATACATACTGATCAGGACTGCTTGAAACAACTGAAATTGTACTTCGATTTGTATGCCAAGACTGCAAACAGCACAGAAAAGCTCAATTCAGAAACCTTGAAACATGTTGGAGAGGCTTGCAGGCGCAGTCCCTCTTCCTTACCACAACCCTATACCATGACCCTTCCGTACATTGTAAAGCATCTTTTGAGTGATGAAGAATTTAGCTTTCCTCTAGACAGAAGGTACACGCTGATAACAGCAGTCTACACGTGGTGCAAACGCAACAGTGACTTGGAGCTCTATTTGATAGTTTGCAACGTCGATTTTTACAATTTGTTAATGAAGTATTCGTGGGAAAACTACCAAGATATCGCTCAGCTTCGTCAATTAGTCACAGAAATGAGCGTCAACGGATTTCTAGGTGACGTCGATACTATTGAGATTTTACAAGATATTGTGCTAGAAGTCAACAACTCAAACATAGACAACAAAACTGCTACAGACACCTATCCCGTGGATGCGCTGTGGTGCCAGGAAATTGTGGAGAACTTAAGATACATCGAACGATACCTCGCTAAGCTAAAGAGAAGTCAACTATAAACAACTAATCGCTCGTATGTGTCGATCCGAGTCAGGACACTATTTACGAGAGAGTCGTCGATTTTTGACCTCAACGAGCTCGCAAACTAGATCGCCGATCTAATAATTATTGCATCAGCGCTCGGCCGTCGTTCCATCACAAATGACTTTGAGTTCAATAGCAGAGCACTGCTTCAATGTGACAAGAGGCTATCTTTCCCTGCCAGATGAAACGGCTTTCATATCGGAAACAAAGGAAGCTATTAACCTGACGAGGCACCAGCTAATGGAGATCGTCTTTAAGCACTGGGATCCTTTTAGTAAGCAAATTTCGTTCTCGTTCAACGGTGGGAAGGATTGCCAAGTCCTTTTGATAATATATCTATCTTGTCTGTGGGAATTTTTCATGCAAAGCATTACAAACTCAGAGTTTCCTGCTCAATATCACAGATTTCCGTTCGAAACTCTCCCCACGGTGTACATAAACCGTGAAGAAACGTTTGAAACTCTCGAAAGTTTGATAGAATCAACGAGAATCAGATATTGCTTGTCCATTTACGAGTCTCCTCGAAATCAATCCACCATGCAAGCTGCCTTCAGCGACTACTTAGCTAAACACAGCGAAACAACAGCGATTGTCATTGGCATACGGCACACAGACCCATTTGGGGAAGACCTGGAGTGCGTACAGGAAACCGACTCCGATTGGCCAAAATTCATGAGGATACAGCCGCTTTTGCACTGGAAGCTAGCAAATGTGTGGAGCTTTCTCATCTACTCGGGAGAGGAGATATGCGGACTATACGGATTGGGATTCACGTCTATCGGTAGCGTAAACTCGACCATCCCCAATCCTTATCTAAAGGAAAGCCCTGACCATTACGGCTCATTCACCCACAAGGTGAATCATTTCAAAACAGAGCAGAATATGAGCTACAACGAAAGCCAGCGAGAAGGTATTAAAGTGTCATCAGTCTCAGCTAAAGACCTTGAAGTTGTGAGGTCCAAGGAAGATACTAAATTTTTCCCTGGGTGGTACCTCATTGATGACGCACTGGAGCGGAAGGGAAGGATCTAATCATCGTCTTAATCATTGCAAGTATATAGAGAAGTTAAGACAAAGGACGCATTACATACAAGAACGACATTCTAGTCGTGAGGCTTTCCAGAGACTCTGTCGTACAACCTGGCAGCATGATAGTTTATATTACTTCTTTTCACGGTGGCTCCTTTACCCATCGCATTTACCGACGTACATGCCTTCAGATCCTTCGCGAGTTCTTCACAGGTGGCATTCATGTGTCCGTTCGATGACCAGCATTGTAAAAGGTTGGACATAAGCACAAGGCATCTGTTAGCTTCTTGTTGAACAACAGGTTTTTTCACTTTCAGCCTCGGAAGAGGAGGCAGTCTATGGATCGGTGCCTTACCTGACATAGTCTCAACTCAGGGAATCAGCCTTGGCAAATTCCTACTATTCCTTCGGTTTCTGAAGATTCCTCACTGAAAAGTGTCTCTTCCTCTAGTTCAGGTTTTCAATTTTTTTTTCTCCACTTTCTGACCCAGGAAGAGAGAGACGACCATAACATCACTTCTAAAACTCTCTCAAGAACAAGGCAAGCTGGCGCCTCAAGGTAGCCCCAGTCTTTTATTCGTCGCAACCGCCGAAGATATCTAGCTTGTCATTTGGAAGTAGTTGAAAAAGCGCACATAAATGCTGCACGTAGGCGTTGTCAGTCATAATAGTGATAATATTAACAATAATACCGAGGCCTATATACAAGTGGTTGAAGCAGGAAAAGGTACGCATACCATCAATATTTGGAGAGGTCAGGCATCCGCAAAATCTCTTTTTCCCTATTGACGCTGAAGTCCTGCAGCATTTTCAGTATTTTTGAATTTTCCCATCTCTTGGGTAGTGGAGTCACGCTATAGTTCTTGGTGGCCCAATAGTAAATATCCCAGTCCAGTTCGTTCAGCAACTGATCATATTCTTCTAGCTCTTCCGGGGTCATGCTTTTCAGGTGTTGAGCAGCAAAACGAGAAAGTAGTAAATCCGTTTCCAGAATGCCCCTCTTTCTCGACTGATAGATCAAACGGGCAGTTTTTTTGTCAAGTGGCTCATCTGTTCTTTTAATGGGTTCCACTTTCACTCTAAGCAGGACGTCGTCGTCGTCTTCTTGGGTCTTAGGTTTATCAGCACTGAAGCGTGGGGCAGTCGTGGAAAAACAGAACAAGCCCGGGCTGCGAACTCCTAGTAACTGAATTCTTCTGAATGGTATTTTATTTAATAGCATAGGCATGTTGTATGGCTAGATTCCACAGTTGTGCGGGGGATTTGGCTACCTTCAATAGTGGCTTGATTAATGTATGTATTTGCAAACTTCCGTCCCCGGATACATTAAACTAAAACCACGTGATTTGTTGAAGAAGTGATTTGACAATGCTTAGTGGACTATCTCATCAACACCACGGGACAACTGGCTGATTTAAAAGTCGCTAAAAGCTATTACTGTTTACTTAGAATGTTTAAGTCTCTTTAGTAAGCTGGGAACAGCACTTCTCCGGTCAGGCACGAGATTTCCTCGTCGTCAACCGTGAAAGCTCTGGCCACAATACTGTATTTTCCTGGAGGCACTTCACCTGGAATCTCCACGCTCTTCTCGAGCATATACTCACCGGGTGAAAGTGGGCATGACAAGCCATTAACGTCGTTGTTTTCGAGCTCCTCGCAAATGTCGTAGGTCTGGCTCAAAAGCTTGATGTACCCTAGACGCACCTCCACATCCACATAGGCACCTTCGTTAACCTCTTTGCTGAGTTTCCCCGCAGCTGAGATTGTCAAGTTTTCCCCACGGACTGGAGGGTTTGGTAGCAGGTTGATGAGCCTAATGTCCAAAAGCTGTGACTCACTCGCGTCACACTGTTGAAGTGGAGAGTCGCCAGCTATGGGCTTGTTGTCGCTTGAAATTCCCGGAAAGCGGAAAAGCCCCTGGAAAGCTGGTAATGCAGTCGCCGCTGCTAGCCAAAAGGCAAGGAAAACGAGAGAACGAGGGTTTAATATAGCCATTTTGAAAAGCTGGTTTAAATTAAGTTTTATTCTATTGGCTATATTTCTATAGATGCAAAGGGTTTGTGCCATCCATCAGGTCTCCTTATTGTTGAAATTACCAAACTGGCGGAGATTGTCCCTTTTCACGTGCGGAGACAGCCATCTCCGCACGTGACTTCAGTGACAGAAAATAGCCTCTCTAAGCTGTAATCTACACTATCTGACAACAAAAACGGACCCGAAAACATATTTATTCCTGAATCATTAAATATGGTACAGAAGAAAAAGAGGAAGATGGTTTTAGCGTTTGTCTCTTTTAATTATTTGAAAATTGACTACGTTCTCACCTTTCCACCTTTTTTCTTTTAGGCTTTATACTTTCTTTGCATTGTTCCATTATAACCTCGCGTTTCTTCATTAGTGTTTGACAAAATATTTTAAAAAATGCTGTTTGACCAAGCAACGCATTGGCTTGTTTATCCTTATGTCACAAGAAATAGCCTCCGCGCTGGGTCGTGTGGCTAGATTCCTGAATGTAGTCATCAGGCACCGCGGAGAAAATCTTGAAGGTCGGCTCGAGGTCTTCGTCCACCTTCATGACACTGGCAACATTACCACACCGATAGCAGTAGTTAGGTGCGGACCAGACGGTAACGACGTCTTTCTCGGAAAAATGATATTTGAAACCTTCCATCACAAGTTGATGTGCTCGGGCGATGAGACTAAGCCCGTTGACGTGGTTGAACTCGCGGGCCACCTTGCTGCCGAAAAGCCATCCTGCGCCTCTCGGAGAAACTTGCCAGGCCTCGACATTATCTGGATCACTCCAGAGCAGATCTGAGAACCCACCTTCGTGAGGAACCTCCTGAGCCCTGGAAAGCACACGTATCTGATCGAGCATACGGATTTCTGGCGACAGACCACCATGCACACAGAGGATCTTGCCATCTATGATCGCTGCTAGGGTCAAAAAGTCGAAGACCTGACAACAATACTTCCAGACGGTGGTCGACCCATACTTGTTTAAACACTCCTCGTAGAACCCATATACTTGCGTGATCTGACGCGATTCGTGGTTACCACGAACCAGAGTCAAACGTGAAGGGTACTTGACCTTGAGACACATCAGAAGTGTAAAAGTTTCCAGACTGTAGTAACCGCGATCCACGTAGTCTCCCAAGAAAATGTAATTTATTTGGTCAGGAAAGCCGCCTGAAGTTCTGAATAGCTCGAGCAGATCGTGAAACTGGCCATGGATATCGCCACAAACCGTAACGGGTGTTTGCACAGGTTGTATATTAGACTCTTCCATAAGCAATTCTTTCACCATTTCGCATAATTGCTTCATTTCCGCCTCGGTTAAAGACTGGCATTTCTTGATTTTTTCCAGCCAATGGTCTGGGCCTCTTTCAACCATGGGATTTTGATTCTTGTATATGTTTAGGTTGAATCACCAATTTGGACTCTTGCCAATATTTTGCTAGTTTAAGGTATCCCTCGGACTTCTCGGGTAAATATGGTAAAATAGTACGCTACTAGTCTTGAAACGTTGGCTTCAGGGAATACGCGCGGTCTTCAACAAGCTTATAACTAAAAAGGTTGCTCTAAGTATCAGTTAGCCACCACCTTCTTGCCAGGAGCCTCCCAGCTTCCTTCGTTTTGGATAAATTTTCACACGATGAGAACCTTCGAAATGATTGATATCACGATCAACGTATTTGTAAGACGTGTTTTTAGTACCTGGTAACGTGACAGTGATGCACCAGAGAAGCATTGTAGATAACGATAAAGGGGTTTCAACCTAGCGTCAGGAAACATGCCAACATGCCCTCTTGTTAAGTCATTTGGAGCAAGCCCTGTTTTAATTTCTTCATTTACTATACTTTTTTGAAATACTCTCACTAATGAGTGTAAAGGTCCAAAGGTCCAAACTCTTAATAGACTGCTCATCTAGTTTATCACATCTATTAAGAAATCCTACAACATTCATATATAATCTATCTAAGTAAAGGAACAATTAGGAGGGTACGGGTTCATTAGATTTTCTACGCAAACATGGAATATTGGTGCCAACTTCCTTTTTGGAGACTTCTGCCTTGTTCCAGTGTCGCAACTAATTTTCCCCCTTATGGCAACGCATGGAACGATGTTCTACAAGTAAACGGCAGTCCGCCACAAAACGACTGAGCTCGATTAGCTCCAAGCCATCATCCTGGGATCCGCTTAGAAAAACGATCTATATATAAGGAGTAGTGAGAGAAATTCAAGACTAAGTCAAAAAAATTAACTCCACTTCTTTTGACAACTGTCACTTTTGTCGAAAAACTTCACCTTTCAACAGTTGCATACGGCTTTCTTTTTAACCGAGTAATGTGACCATATTTAATGGTATTTGAGTTGATTCGCTACATTAATGATAAGTAAAAGAAGCATAACACTGCCCGGTTGATCTCGTTGAGTGGTAAGACGCTGTCGTCGAAAACTAGATATCACAGTCGCTTTTTACGTTCAATTGCAGCTTTGCGAACCCTACTTCAACAAGGGGCGGCATCTCGGGCCAAGGGGCCGAGCAGTATAAAAGCGGCCTAGCTATAGGCTCGAGGAAATTGCGATGAAGAATAGGATCGTCCCTTTTTCAACCTGATTTTCGAAGAATTTACATAATATCAACGCTAGCGCGGAGAATGAGGGAACTGCTCTTAAGGTTATCAGAGTCTGGAGAGCCAATTGTTAGTTGTTCGTACGGGAAAGGTGTTTTGACATTACCATCGTTGCCGCCATGCAAAGATCAGAAGAATTCTGATCCTTCTTTTAGAGTGTATCTTGTGATAGCGGGAGGTTCCCCTGTGACACGTGACGGCTTAGTGTGGACAAACTGTCCCCCGACTTCCGACACTCCATTTGCTCGCGACAAGTTTTACAAAAAAAGAATCAATGCGAGTTTCCAGCGGGATGACCACGTCGCGCTGGACATTTTTGCGCCCGGTTCTTACTGTTTCTATCTGTCCTACTGCAACGACAACGATGAGCTAGAGACCACCCGCCGATTTTATTTTGTCGTGCCTCCCACGCTAACAATCGGCGACCGGTTTTTGCAATTGAACGCTATTGCGATGGAGACTGTTGTTTCCAAGTGGATGGGGAAGGATTGGGATCGTGTGTTTGAAAAAGTCGCCTCAAAGGGTTACAATATGGTGCATTTCACTCCGTTGCAACAGCGCGGGTCGTCGAATTCTCCATATTCCATATACGATCAGCTCCAGTTCGATACACATTTTTTCAAAAAGCCCGAAGACGTGGGACAGATGATCGAGCGACTGCATGAGAAGTTCAAAATGCTAGCTCTGACCGATGTCGTGTTCAACCATACAGCCGACAATTCCCCTTGGCTTCGTGATCATCCAGAAGCCGGCTACAATCATAAAACTGCACCTCATCTAACGGCTGCTATAGAGCTCGATCAGGCGCTGCTGGACTTTAGCAGCAAAATGAAACAATTAGGTTATCCAACGACTCTTCGCAGCACACAAGATCTTATCCGGGTGATGGAGGGAGTCAAGGTTCATGTTTTGGGGTCCTTGCGACTCTGGGAGTATTATGTCGTAGATGTGGAAGCTGCTCTGGCCGCTGTTGAAAGTCATTGGGAGTCAGCTTCACATGAGGAGATTGATGTTCCGCAAGAAATTAAGGAAAATCCAGTACAGCTCGCCAGTTTTGTTCGTGAAAAGACAGGCGAGGAAGGCTTTGGAACTCTGGGAGACAGATTTTCTAATAAGCTTCAAATTTCGAAGTTCATTAGCATCCTCAAATCAGTGTATGGCTTAAACTTTGACAAAGATATGTCTAGCCAAGTTGAAACAATTTTGAACGAGATAAATTTACCTTTATATCGCGAATATGACGAGGACGTTAGAGAAATTCTTGAACAACTTTACAATCGGATCAAGTATCTTCGCATTGATGAGCACGGCCCAAGTTTGGGCGAGGTCAACAACGATTCGCCTTTAACGGAGCCATATTTCACTAGATTTAAGGCAAAGGATGGCGAGGCGTATGCGCTGGCAAACAATGGCTGGATATGGAATGGGAATCCCTTGGTAGATTTTGCATCTTCAAAATCTAGGGCCTATCTAAGGAGAGAAGTAATTGTGTGGGGAGACTGTGTGAAACTGCGCTACGGATCAGGGCCAGATGATTCACGATATCTATGGGATCGCATGTCAAAATATATTGAGATGACAGCCAAACTGTTTGATGGCTTTCGTATTGATAATTGTCACTCGACCCCCCTTCACGTCGGCGAATATTTTCTGGACCTTGCTCGCAAGCATAATCCCAATCTTTATGTTGTGGCGGAACTGTTCTCGGGATCTGAGTCTATGGATTGTCTTTTTGTAGAAAGACTTGCCATATCGTCACTTATTCGGGAAGCCATGCAGGCCTGGTCCGAAGAAGAACTCTCGCGCCTAGTACACAGACACGGGGGTAGGCCAATTGGATCATACAAGTTTCTCCCTCTCGATGACTTTGCCTACCCAATGAGTGATGAACTAAGCGTTACTGATTCGAAAGCGGATGATCAGACGCTAAAGCATGCCTCTGAAATTAGGATCCCAAAAATCCTTACTGCTGTACCACCCCACGCTTTATTCATGGACTGTACACATGATAATGAAACGCCATTTCAAAAGAGAACCGTTGAAGACGCACTCCCCAATGCGGCTCTAGTAAGCCTTTGTGCAACAGCTATTGGCTCGGTATATGGTTATGATGAAATGTTTCCCTATCTTTTGGATGTTGTCGGCGAGTCGCGAACATACGCAATCAAAATGGATGATGGTATTTCTCCGGTTAAAAAGCGGCTATATGAAATTCGTGATTCTATGGCAAGAGAAAACCCAGATATTGAGGACTCCGAAACGCACGTCCATCATGAGGGCCAGTACATTACTCTTCAAAGAAGTAATGCTCGCAGTGGTGCAGGCTGGTTTTTGATTGCTAGAACGAAATTCTGCGAAGGAGGCGATCAAAAGTTACCCAAAGTTATTCTTAGAGGCTCTCGCTGTGAACTGGAGATGAGTTATGCCCTTAAAAAGGTTGGTGATGTGATTGAAGATAAGTGGACCATCAAAGGTATTCCAACTGAGCTTTGTGAAATTTCCGGCTTTAGAATTACCTATGACGAGGCCAACGGTGATTCAGAAATTGAAATTCCTCAAGATTTTCCTCAAGGATCAATTGCAGTATTTAGCACTCAACAGAACGGTATGGATCCGGGTCTCAGTCATTTCTTCCGAACAGGGGCTCTCAAGGCCACTGAAAAACTCGATCTGTACTCGTTAAACGCCGCTTTGTTCAGATGTGATGGTGAGGAAAAAGATGTTAGCTCCGGCAAATTTGGAACGTACAACATCCCCAAATATGGTACTTTAACCTTTTGTGGCCTGCAAGGTTGGGTAACAGTATTGAGAAATGTTATTTTCCTAAATGATCTAGCGCATCCCATTAGCGACCATCTTAGAGAAGGCTATTGGGCTTTGGATTACTTGGTCAATAGGTTAGATTCTTACAAAGAATATCCAGGGATTCAAGAACTTCAAGACTGGCTTGCCTCTCGTTTTGAAAAGATTAAGCAATTACCTTATTACTTAGCTCCGAGCTTCTTTGCACTTGTGGTTGGCATTGCCTATGAAAGTTGTAGGTACCGCGCTTTGCAGCAAATGTCTGAAAACGTCGGTAGTTCAACCAAATTTGTGCAAAGCCTTGCTATGACTTCCGTGCAAATGGTTTCGGTGATGTCTTCAACGTCACTTGTGCCTGAAAGTAACGTTCCGTGTATGGCTGCAGGACTGCCCCATTTCTCTTCAGAGTACATGCGTTGTTGGGGTAGAGATGTCTTTATTGCATTGCGTGGTTTATTACTGGCAACGGGCAGATACGAAGACGCTAAAAAGCATATTTTGGCTTTTGCGAGGACTTTGAAGCATGGACTAATCCCGAATCTTTTGGATGCTGGGCGTAACCCGAGATACAATGCTCGAGACGCGGCATGGTTTTTTCTTCAATCGATACAAGATTACGTTGAAATTGTTCCAAATGGTGAGGAAATTCTCAAGGAGAAAGTATCTCGTCGATTCCCCCTGGACGACACCTATGTTAGTGTTGATGACCCAAGGGCTTTTGCATATGAGAGTACCATTGAAGAAATCATTCATGAAATCTTCAAGAGGCATGCAAAGGGTATTAAGTACAGAGAGGCCAATGCGGGGCCAAATCTTGATAGAGTTATGAAAGACGAAGGGTTCAATATTGAGATTTCCGTCGATTGGGAAACAGGCTTTATTCACGGTGGGTCCCAATTAAACTGTGGTACCTGGATGGACAAAATGGGGGAGAGTGAAATGGCCGGCTCAAGTGGTATTCCTGGAACTCCCCGCGACGGGGCTGCCATTGAAATTATTGGTCTGTTGAAAAGTGCGTTAAGATTTGTAATAAAATTGCAAGGTCAAAATCGTTTTGGGTTCACCGAACTCGAGAAGTCTGACGGCTTGAAGATCACATATAAGGAATGGGAAAGCCTTGTGCTAAAAAGCTTTGAAAAGAAATTCTATATTCCCCAAAATTCAGACGATGACGAATCCTTTGACGTTGATCCTTCCATTATCAATCGACGTGGGATATACAAAGATCTTTTCAGAACCGGAAAACCTTATGAGGACTATCAACTGCGGCCAAACTTTGCAATTGCAATGACAGTGGCGCCAGAGCTTTTCACACCGGAGCTCGCACTGGGTGCCTTGAGAATCGCGGATGAGAATATCAGAGGCCCCATTGGTATGCGGACTTTAGATCCTTCTGATTACAATTATCGTCCATACTATCGAAACGGGGTGGACTCCACAGATTTTGCGACTGCCAAAGGTCGCAATTATCATCAGGGTCCAGAGTGGGTTTGGTGTTATGGGTACTTTTTGCGTGCTTTCCACATTTTCCAGTTCAAAGCCGATGCTAAGGCTCGCACGCGGGATGGATCCCGACCATCGACCTACTTATATCAACAATTACACAACAGACTAGCAGGGCACATAAGTTGGATCGACAAGAGTCCTTGGGCTGGCTTGACGGAGTTGACGAATAAAGACGGGGAGCTTTGCGACGATTCGAGCCCAACTCAAGCGTGGAGTTCCGGTTGTTTGCTTGACTTGTTTTATGACCTTTCGTCCTCGTACGATAATTAAGGTATAAGTAAGGAATATATATTTGACTCGTTTTGATAAACCCATGTTCATCGTATTTGGTGTAGGCGTTGATTATTTACACAATAAGAGGAAGATCAATCCTCGGATAAAACCACGTGATCACTTTTAGAAAATCAACAGCGATTTAGGAAACGCAATGTCAAACAGGGATACACATTAACAACTCGACTACTCAAACGGTGTATGTCAGACAGGTCAAGCTTGTGTCTGACAAACCCAATTTAACATATATCTAGGCGCGTCAAAGAAGAGAAGTGCATCAAAGGCTCTTATTTTTTCTTGTAGGGACGGTTGATTTGGTATGGCAAATGAGCGCAGGCGATGACAACAGAAAGTGATAGTCGGTTATGTGAGCTTATAGACAACTTTTTTCTGAAGGCAGCTACTGTAATTTGTCACTCGAGAACAAGCGGAGAGAATTTCGAAGTTGGTGAGCAGGAAGAGACCAATAAATGGTTTAATATTGAGACGCGGGACGACGCCACCATTGAGGAAGAAATAAAGGATTGGGTATCATTCGATGGGCAGAAACAACTACAACCGCTGGTAATTGAAGTTTTTCTCGATTTGCGAGATTTGGGTCCATCGCATTCCGTCATACTGAGAGACCAAGACGATAACCCATGGAATGTTTGCAAAGGAACGAAAAAGTCGGAGATCATGCTTGAGCGCTGGTTGATACAGCTGGAAAAGAACCCGAAAGCGCCTACGGAGGAGACAGATATCAGTGAAATCTATCGACAGCTGGTCCTTCTCTTCCGGTATCTTTACACTTTGGTGAGTCTTTTACCTGCAAATGATTTGAACAGTCGCTTATCGAAGCCCGCTACCTCTCAACAAAGTTTCGTATCGGTCAATGTTAAGACTCGTATCTTGGATGGGTCAGAGCCCATTGTTTCTAAGGGAAGAGTGGGCCTGAGCAAAGGAATCATCGCCACCTATACGAACATGAGTAACGAAACTAACATCCCTCCACATCTCGAGCAAAGGAAAATAACACCAATTAGCACGGTGTATGGATCTTTGCGAATTTCCGTTTCATACCGACGTGACTGCAACTTCATTGTTGTGGGCGGAGACGACTCCTCTCAGGGCCCATACACCGGTAGCGTGGAAGGGAGATTATCGCGCTCGATTGTTTCTAGTAATAACATTCCTATGAGAAAACTTTCCATGAACAGAAATCGCTCGATGTCCATCTCGCCAAATACAACGCTGAGTCCAAATCTTTACATTGATCCATCACCCCAGAGACGATTGTCGGCATCTTCGCGACAGTTCCAACCCTTCAAAGTTGGGTCAGTTGGCAGCTCCTCCACTTATAATGTACCACAAGGGCAAGGAAGTTTAACGAGAAATCCGTCTGGGAGCTCAATCGTGGCTGCTCTGAGGGGTCAAAAATCCAGTACTGGGTATAATAACATTTACGGTAATGTTTTTCATGACTCTCAATTGGAAGCGTCTAGTATAGGAAGTGGTAGCGCATCAAAATACTCCTCTTCCTTTGGGCGCATTCGCAGACAGTCCAGCGTGCGGAGATCAGATAGCACGGAACGTCCTCAGAGACCGGTTAAGTCCAATGAATCTTTGTCTGGGGATTTGATAGATTTTATGAAACTATTAGAAGATAAAAAGGAACTTAAGTTGAGAAATTCTCAAGTATCGAGCGTGGACATCTCAAATTCATTGATTAAATTTCAGTCAATGAAAGGTACGAATGACACGCTCAGCGACGACTTATCAATGAGTCTTTCAATTGAGCAGTCCTCTAATCAGAAGCGGCGGTCTAGCTCGCACTCCCCCCACTTGTCCTTTTCACCGCCTATGCACTACTCTTCCATTCCCATGCGCCTCTCAAGAAGCAGATCTATCTCTGCCAGGGGTGATGGCGCTAGTGATATGACCAGCGGAAAGTCCATTCATTCCGCCGGTAGCGGCACCCGTGATCGGCAGGGATCATTAGTAGGACGGATTGTTGAAGATGATGACCTTGAGGAGGAAGAGCTTCTTGCAAGCAACGCTAGAATTCTCGGCGACTCCAAGGGAGTACGTTCAACGTCACCTGGTTCGGTCCGGAGTATTTCTAGTTCCTTCTCTCGAAGCCAATTGCCCTTCAAGTCGATAGTGAATTTTTCGAATCCAACTACAATGGCTACACCAGCCCACGCCAAACTCCATAAGGCCGTGGTTGGAAATTCCTCTCAAGAAGGTGAGGATAATACAAAGAAGGCAGATTTGGGTCATGGAGATGATGATGATGACTTACTTTTTTTCATGAGTGATATGAATCTCTCGAAGTGATATTTTTGATGTAGTTGGGTGCTGCTCTGCAATCTTCTATGTAATCCATGAGGCTGTCTCATATGCAAGAACAACGTGCTCTTGGATCTCAACATTGTCTGACGGCACAATAAGGCAAAATTAATGTAGCATTTCTCTCTTTTGAAGTAACGACGGTCTTGACGGGTTCCACTTGCAGAGCTCTCAATTCATGATGTGTAAGTTCATCTCATACACGTGGAGAATTCAGAATAGGAAGACGGGCTGCGTTATAGTGACAAGTTATAACGAGGGCCTCGCATGCTTCTTATCAAGTATGCGTGATATTTCAATGGCGTCCTTGCAACATCAAGTAGTTCAGCTACATGCACTGCCTAATCGAGAAGACCGCTAGACCTCATAACTAAATATATCTCTGAGACTATATTAACTTTATGACGTACATCTAAACAAATAACCGTTCGGTATGTCGGCACACCTCTGTTGATTTAAAACTCCATTCAATGCCTCAATGAGTAACTGATTCATCAGAATCGCCTTCAGTGGCCCGGTGTGGCAATTGCGATTCATTTATCGGTAGGTGATCTTTTTGGCTGTCATCGCGTAGCATCTGCAATTTGAATTCATGAATTCTGTGCTTGTCAAGATGCATTTCGAATCGCTCTTGGCTTTTGAACGTCCGGTAACACCTTGGAAATGGGCACTTATGCTTTCGCCCTACTGAATTCAGCAGCAAGCCGATAGCAGAGTTGCCCTTCTCCAGGTAGCTTTCTAGCAGGAGTTCTGTCTTGATAGAAGGTATATCGCTTTTGTGGCTTGTTTTCGAAGTATTATTATCTTTGTTCGAAATTGTACTCGCCAAAGAACTTTCTTCATTTTGAACTACCTGTTCTCTTTCTTCCAAGTTCTGAGCCGGAAGAACCCCTGGATGGGTCTCTGCATAATGCGAAAATAGCATAGCCTTTTTGGCAAAATAAATTTCATCGCATATTTCACATTTCCACTTTTTTATCACTTGCGAGTCATCGTGAATCAACATATGCATCTCGAGACCCTGTTCACCAACACATGCTTTACCACACACTGAGCATAGCAGTTTGGGATGGTCTTCTTTTATGTGTTGTTGTAGAGCTGTCCACGTCTTAAAAGCGCAGACACATGACCGGTATGTGCACTGATACACCAATTGGCTTTCTGGATTGTGATGCCTCGCCAAATGATTATTTAAGCGGTAAGGTCGCTGGAATTGCTTCCCGCAATGAGGACATTTAAGCTTCTGCAAATGAACTGAAAGTATATGTGCCCTGAGATGTTGATGCTTGTAAAATCGTTCCCCACACCCCTCATAAGTGCATTTGAAGGAAAGGGTATGCGTCACCTCGTGACGCTTTAATTGCTGTCTAGTCGTCACCCCTTTCCCACACACAGAGCATTTAAATGGCTTGTCAATCGCGTGCGAGTACATGTGCCTTTCTAAATGACTTTTTTTGGCAAAAGCCTTCTCACACTGGTCACACTTATAGGACTTTATGCCCTGATGTACAGAGAGCTGGTGCTCGGTAAGCAGAGAAGGCCTAGTGAAAGACTTTACGCAACCATCGTAATCACAAAAGTATATCTTCGGTCTAGGGCTACTCGAGTCTTCCCTATTCAGAACGCTCGCGATTTCTGGCCTTCCTTCGGAATCTCCACAATCCGCACCACCTGAATCATTCTTCGTTATGAATTTGGCAGTATAAATGTTGAGTTCCTCATCCATAAACCGACTTACTCGCAAGATGAGGGAACGATAGTAATGAATATCTTCGAGTAGATTTTTCATGTAATTCATATTTTCGTTCGAAGTGTTATCAACGTATTAAGTTTAAAATTTTATCATCTGAAATCATAGAAGAGAAAGTTCCAAACGGCAGACTCATCTCTCTCATCAGCGCAATGTCCGACTACGACGAAGAGTATGTTTGAAAGTATAAGCTTTATTGCTTTTAAAAGTAGTGACTTTTCAAGGTTGAAACTGACGCAATTTTTTTTTAGATTCAATGATGGTCCTGAGCATTTTGAAGATTTCGAGAATGAGCATTTCTCGGAACCTGAGGCCTATGAAGAGCCTGAAGATATGAAGAACGGCGAAGTCAAAGACGAAAACGGTAAGACGGTTATCACAGGAGGCACTGGGGCCGAGGAATTCCAGCAGCATGAATTCCAGCGCAAAAGAACCTTGAAAGAAAAATCCATACCAAAGGAGGAGAGAACGACCACACCGTACATGACGAAATATGAGAGGGCGAGAATCTTGGGTACTAGGGCTCTGCAAATCTCCATGAATGCCCCTGTTTTCGTCGACCTTGAGGGCGAAACGGACCCATTGAGGATCGCAATGAAAGAATTGGCAGAAAAGAAAATACCTCTAGTGATAAGAAGGTATTTGCCAGACGGCTCGTTCGAAGACTGGAGTGTAGAGGAGTTGATTGTCGATCTATAAAATTTCCTCATTTCAAGTAAAAAAAGAACTGCCCTTAATTAGTCATACGCTGTCGCGTTGTATATTTAAAAATTCAATCAAAGTCTTGAGCTCACTCGATAAAACAAGCGCCCTCATTCCCCGATCGCTTCCAAAAACTTATTACCCTTGAAGGCCGCTTTTCCCGACAGTTGTTCAGTCACAAACGTTTTGAATACAGCCTCTATATCTCCTTCGAGATCCGGCCCCAGATAAGACATGTACTGGAGTAACTCGTCTGTGTCTATGTTAAGTTCGCCATTTTCAGGGCTACTGAAACTTCGCAGTGCATTTTCGATCTCGCTGGTCTCTGGCAATTTTGACAATTTCTCACCCATGAGTGCCAAAAAAGAAGGGAATGTAATGTCTTGGGTTTCTGAAGGTATCATCTTGATTATTTCTTCCTCACTTTTGTGCATTCCAAGTCCTGTGCAGACGGCTAGGAGATCTTCTTTCGTTATTCTTCCATCGCTGTTTTCGTCGAGATACTGGAAAGCATCTTTCAACTTCTGGATTTGAGCATGCGAAAGCTGAGCGAACTCGGCGCCATCCATGGTTTTGTTTGCTCTTTATTTGAGTGTTTAAATCGTGATGGTATATTCATGCCTAAGAATGTAATCAAGCGTCCTTGAAAATAAATAATTGAGAAATCTAAGAAATCTCTGCTTTAGCAACAATCACAAATGGCAGAGGTTAAAAGGCTACTTAAAGAAGCCAAAAATGCCCTAGCTGCTGAAGATTACGATGAGGCAATCAATTGTTCCCTTCGCACTTTAAAAACCGATCAAAACAATTACATCGCGCATGTTTTCTTAGGAAAAGCCTACTCTTGCGTTGGAGAACTGAAAGATGCCAAAAAACACTATCTGCTTGCCCTTAAGCTTCAGCCAGAAAATATCTTAGCATGGAAAGGATTTTTCACGCTATTTAGAAGTGAGGGCACTGTTCCTGATGTTGTTACGTTCGAGGAATATTTCGAGTTTTGTGGAGAATATGCTGAAGTATTACTTCAACATCAATTGCCACTGGTGGATCTCATTGATGATATAAGGGCCTTTAAGAGTAGTCATAAGGATTGCCAGGAAGCGTATCTTCGACACCTTTTACCTGGTAACGCATTGGGAGATCATCTCGGAAGACACTTGATGCCTCTCCATGCCGTTTTAGAGGGCCTGATTAAGATCCTGGGCACCAGAGAGCAACAATTAGTCTCAAAGATAGTGAGCAGAGAGCGGCTCAAAATTAGTGCCAGCGATCCTGAGTACAGTTTGAAGATCAATGCCCTTGCGTGGGAAGTTTACAAAAACTCGGACATGGACAACCTTTACCAGCAACTCATAAACATTACTGACCAAGACGTAGAAAGACGGACTATTGAATCAGATTGGCTCGAATATCGTATCAAGGTTTTGAAATCTATGCCTCCTAATCTCAAAGGCTTATTTTTCCTCAAGGTCAGAGAGATGGTTTTCGATATGATTATTGTTGAGCACGATTCTCTGCATGCCTGGCTGCTTTATTTCGAGTGGAAAGATTACCAAGACCTAGATCAAATGGACGTCAATATCATTTCGGCTTTTATGCGAAGATATCCAAATGAGCCCTTGGCGGCGATTTTATACGCATGGATAAGCTCGAGGTTCTCCTCCTACGACTCAAAAAAATTTGACGAACAGGCTTTTGGAGGTTTAAATAAGCAAGGTTCTTCCACTGAAGATATTCTGCAATCTGTCACTGATGAGATCGATGAGGCTGAGAAAAGCGAACTGCGTAGGTTGATGGACGATCCTTCGGAACAATCAACATTAGGATTGTCTGAAGAAGAAGTCCTCATAGCTCTCACTGATAACATTAAGCAAGCCCAGCAAAGCATGCTAGCGCACCGCATTATCTCGAGGTATTTACTGCACTCAAAGCAATATGAACAAGGGTTACAGTACGTCAGAACTGGTATTACTCTAGTCGCTCAAAATGTTAAATCAATCTGCGCCCAAGTTCCTAACTCCAAAAGAGAGCTAACCTTGGATCTAGCAACAATTTACACATATCATGAAGGCCCCAAGAATCACAAAGCGGCGCTTGCCTTATATGAGAAGCTTTTGGAAGAGGAGCCCACAAACGTTCAAGCAAAAATGGGGAAAGGTCTTATTTTAGTTGAAAGAGGCCTATGGCAGGAAGCTTGCGATCTTTTGACAGAGGTCGCTACTTCGTACCCGGACAATCTAGAAGTCGCCTCAGAGTTAAGTTGGAGTAAACTTCATTTAGATGATGTTGCCTTCGCAGAGGAGAAACTTCAATTTGTTCTGGATCACATAGTAGGTTCTGATAACAGGGCCATGGAATTTAGAGCGCTTAACTATTTGAGGCTAGCAAAGACTTTGATCAAAAAGCAGACGTTAAATGGCGCAGATCCGGGCATGGAAAACATAAAGAAGGCATTCAAGAACTTAATTCAAGCCATTAAGGTCTCTGACACATTTGCACCAGCTTATTCCACGTTAGGCGAGATCTATGCGAACTTTTACGCCGATTCCAGAAGAGCCTTTAAGTGCTACCAAAGGTCTTTTGAACTCGACGCCAGTGACCTTCAAGCAGCTCAATACATGTGCGAACGTCTTTGTAAAACAAGAAACTGGCAGACTGCCGCTGCCATTGCCGGGAGACTGATCAAGGAAGAAAAGGCGAAGAGGGCTCTACAAAAAACTAGTTGGCCTTTCAGAGTCTTAGGTTTATCCTTCCTCGAAAAACAAGACGCGGGTGGATCAATTCAGTGGCTTCAATCCGCACTTCGCGTTGACAGTGCAGATGTTCAAAGTTGGATAGGTTTGGGCCAAGCTTATTTGGCATGTGGGAGAGTTGAAGCCTCTTTAAAAGCTTTTGAAAGAGCTTTGAACCTTGATCAAGGCAATGTGTTTGCCAAATATTTTCAAGCAATGGCACTGGCCAATCTGGGTTCATGTGAAGACGGCATTGAGCTTTTGGAGCAGCTAACTGAGCTGAACCCTCATGAACCGGCATTTCATATCTCTCTCGGAAATATCCTCATTCAAAGTTCTTTAACTTTATGCCAACAAGGATTTTTGACAAAATCAGTAACGAAAGCATCTGAGGCGATTAGGAGGATGAAAATTCTCACAGAGGACAAAAGTTGTTCATATTCGTCTGTCTGGTTTATCATATCAAATGCACTACGTTTATTTCTGAAGGTGCAAAGTAAACTAGATCTCTTACCCGTTGAAGAACTTTTCATCTGCTTTGAGAACAGTTCCTTCAAGTCGCGTCCGGACCTTGATTTTGATGACACCGACCTCGCGAGTATTGCGGCAAATGAAAGTGACGACAATATGTCCCTTGCATCAAAGCTTTTAATTCTTTCAGGAAAGTATGCTTTGGGTGCGCAAGATTATAATGACTTCTCACGTACAACACGCGCTGCATTGTGGTATAACATGGGCGTCGACGAGCTTCTAGCTTACCATAATTTGAAACTTGCCAAAAACAGAGATGCTGCTATCTATTCCCTGAAAAAATCCATTGAGTATCAATCTAACACTGCTGAATCATGGTTGGCTTTTGGAATAGCATCTTTGGATTTAAATCTCAGAGTTTCTCAACACTGTTTCATCAAAGCTGCGGCTTTAAGCCCTCGAGAAGTCAGAGCGTGGTATGATCTTGCAATACTGGCCCTAAAAAACAAAGATTTCGGTCTCGCGAGATCAATTATAACCAAGTCATTGAGTATGGCTCCCCAAAATCCTTTGCCATGGCTGGCAATGGCTTTAACTCCTGGAATATCCGAGGATGGGAAGAGTTCTTCCAACCTTTTATCGCATGCCTTCATCCTCTCTAACGGTCGCTCATCGGCGGCTCAAATTTTATACGCCCAGGATGTGTTTTCGCAAACGCTGAGCTCATCACAAAGCGAATCAAGCATTGAGGCTGTTCAACGCTTGACGGCTGCATCGGAAGGGTTGGATGATTACTTGCGGAAGTTCCCTGATGACACAAACGCTTTAAAGCATGCCATCGTCATATCGGAACGACTCCATGATTATCGATTAGCAGAGTTCTTTTGCCGTCGCTTATCAACGTTATTAGAAATTCGTTTCGAATCAGCTCAGGATGAGTCACAATTAAAGGAATTCGGAATCATCAAGGCTCAAATGGCTCGCATTTCTCTAGGGTTTGGAGAATACGAAGCTGCGATTGATGCCGCAAAATTGTCGTTAGGGCTCTTACTGGAGAATGATGATTTACAGACTTCAGAAGCGATCATGTCAAATTACATTGTTCTCGGTCTATCCTCTTTCTTCTTGTCTGATAACGAGGAAACCTTCAATTATTTTCAAACCGCGTTGGAACGGTTTGGCGAAACGAGACAAGTCATTACTTTAATTGCAAAAATTCTTTACAGTATGGATTCACACGAGACGCGGGGACTTGCCCTCAAAGAACTCGTTGATTGCCTTTCAAGGAACGAAGGAGATCTCGTTGTGACTCTGATGATAGCTGCCATTTCCTTACTTGATGATTCCCCCAACGACATGAAAGCAGTCCTCCAAGAGCTGCAAGGACTCCCATTGAAGACTCTCACTTTTGATCAACAAAAAAATGTGCCCTTCTTAGTGGAAAGGATAGAACAACGGTTGGGCTTGAAAGATAACGAATTTGAGTGCTGGAAGCGTTCGGCATTTTTCTTTCCTAATGATAGTCGTTCATGGTCTAAACTTGATCGAAAAATAAGTGCTCGTGTAGCCACAGATTCTCAAAGCAAGGTGACAGCAGGCCAGATGAGCGTTTTATGTTGCGAGCTTCAGGATCTTTCGAAACTGCAGAGAGGTATATTTCTTTGCCCATGGAGCACTAAAGCTGTCGGAATGCTAAAAAGCTGTTTTATATAGAAATGCAATTTTGTTTTTGGATATGAGACTATAAATGTCCATGCCGATATTTCAAGACACCTTCAGTAAAATTCGAATATTTCCCAGATCGAGACAATTCTTATTCTTCTTGTCAAACCATTGAGCTCGCCTTCATTGACCATCTTCAATTGATTAATCTCGCTCGGCAAAAGTAGTTCTCTTTCTTTACCCTTGACATCCTCTCTGTTGGCTTTTGTTAACAACGTCGCGTTATCGGTCTTCAACTCTTCCGTTTTGCGAATCAAGTTAGCCATATTCCAAGTAAGGTTATGCTTCATCATGTCAAAGGCATGTTTTTCATTATGTCTAAAGAGAAAAACAGATCTTGAAGCTGCCCTATCCACTGTACGGGGAACTTCCTGAATTTCAACAGCATTGTACTTGATTAAAGTTGCAATGACGGAGCGAATGTCTTTTTCCTTCATTAAAACCATTGAATTTATCATTTTCTCGGTCGTTAATTTGTGTTCTTTTACGCAGCGCAGCACTCTAGAAAAAGAAGGACCTAAGGTGGAACTCAATATTGTATCATAGGTAAAGCTCTTGAGACGGGGAATTAAGGCAGAATATGGGACATAGTAGAGGCCAGGTTGAGCTTCCTGCAGAAAAGGAATTTTGGATGAGGCAAGTAATTTCAAATGAGCATTTATTAGGTCAATACCACGAGCATCGCTGGCGTCCTCATCCTCATCAGTAATGTGGTCGTCAACTTGTCCCGCATTTTCGGTGGCTCCCATCGGAAGTTGGGGAACAACAAAGCCATCTTCCGTTTTGATTTTTTTGTTATGTCTCGTTTCATTAGGTGAAGACTTGGATCTTTTAAGAAGCTTCTGGGTTAGTAGCGTTCCGCGAAGATCTAACGATTGAGGAAGGTGTTTCGAGAGGTCAATGGCGTTGAAAGTTACACCTGGAGTCTTTTCCTCAAGCAAGATCTGCTCCTCTTTGAAAGCATTGAGCTCATCAAGATCTTGGAATAATCCCGTTTTGGCCAACGGATGTAAAACCTCAGGAGAGCTGCGCTCTGTTATATGAAGCGCATATTCGTATATCGTCGCTGGAATTTTGCCTACCCTCGACGAAGCGAAGTGGAAAAGGTGTGTTGATCTCTTGGTCTTGAGGTAGCGGGATAAGTTGAACGACAAAGGCACAGTGTCTATGACCTCCCTAAGAGAGGTTCTATTGTTGATAGTTATGATCTTGGATAGATCAGGTGATTGATATAGTTTGGTGAACTGTTCCTTGGCCTTATGCCTGGCTTCAGTCCTCTTTTTCAAGTCAGAAAGCGTCGAAGTTTTGGGAATGTTGTTATATTCCTTCTTGTAAAGCTTCGTCCATAGATCAATCTCCGTGGTATTGTCATGTGGCCTTACTGGGACCAAAAATCCAGTCTCGCAGAGCCTCACGAACTCTGAAGAAATCTCTGATGTGCCGGCCTCGGATTGGCCGCTCTCAAGGTAATTCTTGACTGTTAACGAGCCAAGTGCTAGCACGTTTTGCACGATTCGAGCTGCCAGATCAGACTGAAACTTCGAGCCTATAGCTTCCACGATTTCCCCAGCATACAGCATCAAAAAAAGTCCCACCTCGTGAAAATAATAATAGGTTGTCTTACGACCGGACAAAGCAGTTTCTTCGAGAAACCGAACGCATCTCAGCTGTATAAGTGAAACTAAAGCAATTTTGACACCCTTCAAATCCAATTCTGAGAGTTCGCAAAGTTCTCTCGCGCTTAATCTGCCTTTTGCAATCAAAAGTCTTAAAATTTCTGTCGCTCTTTCACCGAGATGAGCTTTGGACAATTCAGTGTATAGAAAAGTGTCAGGGTTGAGTGCCCTGGCTTCTAGCAACAAAGCTGAACCTCTCTCACCATCATGCAAAAGTGGAGGTCCGGGCGTCACAGAACCCGTAGCCATTGAAGCTGGAATGACTTGATCTGCGGTAACTGACTGTGATGAGCTGTGATGATCTAATTCTCAGTTGTGTTCATCTCATCTCGGATCAGAAAAAATTTTAGTTTCTTAGCCTTTTGAATCGTGTGTCGTCCTGAACGCAGAAGATGTTAATAGACAATGGGGATTAGCTACTGAGACAGGTTTCGTTCGTAAAAATTCAGCCGTTAAGCCACTGGTTGTACTAACTTCTCACAATTTTCATTAATGTAAATTTAGCCGTTCAAGTAGTGCATGTATACCGTAGTGCGTCGCTTGCTTCAAACAGCAGGGCATCATGAATTCAAAAAAAAAAAAAAAAAAAAAAAAGACATAGCTGGAAAATCCGGCATGCTTAGGACGTGGACATAGCTCGAAAATGCGGCATCTTCAATGCTTAGAATGTCATATCCATTGTCATATTCTGTGTCTGTCCTTCATTCAAAGTCGTCTTGAAAACGTCGACTAAAATAGTTATCGAAAATCGCTGTAATTGCGCCTTAAAAATTGTGTACTACACTATATGCCTGTAAATGGTAGTCCACAAGCTTTCGCAAATGAAAACACAGGGACACCTGTTTAGGACAAAAATGACTTTTTCTTTGTAAGCTGAATGTCAAATGACAGTATGCTTTCTGAGTTAGCGCTACGATAAAATAAGAAAATCAAACGGCACTGTGTGAAGAGATCCGCTAAATCTCAGCCCTTTTAAGCACCCCAATTGGCAGGTGAAGGAACTTTCTCAAATGCCCCCGCAGAACTTAATATCACTACCACATGAAAGACAAATATTCAAAGAGTTTCAAGACCCAATATGCGCTTTCATAGAGTTGAAATTGTTGATTCATTATTCCATCAAAATCGATTTAGAGAAGCATCACCGTGGCTAGTGCTTTCGCACTGGTATTTGTTATCATATCAGACGACCCAATAGCATGACGGTATTCTGTTCTCCCAGAAAGCGCTGTGGTTTGGTCAATCCGATTCGGATATGTCACAACCAACGGCGGAGTACCGAGGATTTTCTCTCAACACCGATATGTTGACAATAATGGAAGTACCAGGATTGGTCAAGTTGAAGGAAAGCTAACTTTCTAACAGTTTGGTATAACAACTAATCCCGTTTGCGACAAAGCTTTATAGGATCAATTTGGTTTATCTGATTGACCTGTTATCAATTTAGTGCATATTCTTCCATCGGCGATTTTTGTTCGCGGAGTTTTCAATTGTCAGGTCTTCGCCATAGTCAAAAAGCATAAATGTTGTCTTCAAGAGTCAGAGCGCAGGCTTTAATTCAAACCAGACAATCTGTTCGTCGCTTGACCGTGTCTGCGACCGACGGTTCCGGCAAAATCTCCAGCCTTGCAGTCAAGGTTCACGCCGGTTCCAGATACGCTACTAAAGACGGTGTCTCGCACTTGTTGTCCAGATTCAACTTCCAGAATACCAGCAGCAAGTCTGCCCTTCGACTTGTGCGTGAGTCCGAGCTTTTGGGTGGTAAATTCGAGTCCACCGTCGACAGAGAATTCATCACGCTGAAGGCTACTTTCCTCAAGGAGGACTTGCCCTACTACGTTTCTGCGTTAGGAGATGTGATTTACAAGACTTCCTTCAAGGCCCACGAACTCTCTGAGGTCGTTCTACCCGCTGCCAAGCACGATTTGGCCGTTTCTCAGACCTGCCCAATTACTCAATCTGAAGAGCTTTTGTACTCTACGGTCTTCAGAAAAGATCTTGGTAACCCAGTCTTGTATGACGGCGTCGAAAAAGTTACCGTCGAGGACGTCAAGGCGTACGCGGACAAGGTTTACAACAAGGAAAACATCACCATTGTTGGTAAGGGCGTCAACGAAGGCGACCTTAAGAGATTTGTCAACGACTCTCTATTCTCTTCGCTACCTCAAGGTACTCCGTTGGTGAAGTCCGCCAAGCCTGAGACTTACAACGGCGAAGCCAGACTAAGATCTGTTGGAGAATCTGTTGCTAGCATTGCCGTTGGTGTTGCCCCTGAACAGTTTGCACAATACGAGCTTTTGGCCAGATATTTGACATCCCCTCTTTCAGAGTTGGCCCCCCTAGTTTCTAAGGCCAAACTAGACAAGTACACTAACCACGGTTTGTTCTCCTTGTACGTCAAGGGTCCAGACGCTTCTGTTGTTGCTTCAAACATCAAAAAGGTCGTGTCAGAGCTCAAGGCTGGTAAGGACATCTCCAAGGCTAAGGATATTGCCGCTGCTCAATTGGCTGTCGAGAGCGAAGCTTCTTTTGCGCCTGTGGAAATCAAATTTGACAACGTTAAAGACTTCAAACTAGGAAAATTCAGTTACGTCGCTGTGGGCGATGTAAGCCAGTTGCCATTCGCTGACGAGCTTTAGGACATATTCCCAAAAATGGTTTGAAGAAACTTCCATCATATACTTTGAACAAATTTAACTTTATTGATGACACAATCGATTTAAACTAAAATATTCGAATTTATTTATTATACATTGGTGATCCAGAACTAAAGCTTGTGAGTCGAACAACTTCGATTCGACGCCAGGATTAACCGCCTTTGTAGATTAAACTTTTCTGAGATTGACATCTCATAAGAAAGGGCTCGAGAGATACTGTGGTTTAAGGCAATTAGTTCATGTTTTGGTAGAAAAAATGGTCGTAAATACTGACAACAATTTGAGTCTTACCTAATCGAGGTGCAGTTTACTACTTCACACAAAGTGTGGATAGTCGCTTGTAAGAAATAAAAGTGATCTCCCATTTGATCGAAAGCGATGCGTCGCCCTTTATCCACTTCAGTGACTCCAATGTCGCGTTGAAATGCGAGAGGTGTTTTTCTCTTTTCTGGCCTCATTGCAAACTCAGCCTTTGAAGGATTCACTTCAAAAGCTCATTACATGTGTAGGTGAGGCAGAAAGTTATTCATGGTTGTTTAATGAAACCGAGAGTGATGGCTCTTATTACTATAAGGCATGTGGGGGGTTCGTACCTTTCACACAAACAACTCTCAATTCTTATCTTTCGTTCCCAGAAAACTCTAATTTAACAGAGGCTTTCAAGGAGTATAGTGCCCTGTGTACCGCTTTCACTTCACTGGATCCGACAGCAGATAGCCTATTTTCAGCATGGATAAATGGAACTCAATTTTTAATAAATTCGACAAACGTTAACAAAAGTATCCCGTCAACATTTCCGATAAGGCTCTCACAGGAACGCCTCCTTTCAAGTTTCCAATCTCTGCACCAACTGTACTTCAATTTCACTTTAGCATTTCGATCGGGAGTCCTCATCAATGGCGTTGTTCTTTTCTTGGCATTCTTTTTGTTTCTGACCAAGCGATCTAAGTTGAAAAACAAGATGGTACGTTACTTGAAATCAAAGCTGGTTCTTCCTGCTCTCTTCGACACATCGCATCATGCTGAGACTAAGATATCTCGTAATTTGCGAACGATATTGCCAACGCGAGGGGAGTTTCTCGCCGTCATGCTCTTCGTTAGCATCAACTTCATCTTTACTGCCTGCAGCTATCCCATGTTAGCCACGCACGATCAATCGAAAGCATATTTTTTCATGAGATGCATAGCAAATCGTACTGGTGGGCTAGCAATGTCTTTGATGCCTCTGACAATATTAACAGCTGGAAGAAACAATTTACTGCTTGAACTTACTGGCTTACCTTTTTCCAGCATGATTTTTTTTCATAAGTGGATTGCGCGGATGATGACATTCCAGGGGTCCTTACATGGCCTTCTGTGGATTGGGTATGGAATCTTCTTAGATCCTAGCCCTGTTGTGTCGCAATTTTCTGAGGGCTATTGGAATTGGGGAATTGGAATTTCACTAGTTTCAGTGGGCCTAGTCATACTATCGATATATGCACTTCGAACTTCAGGCTATGAGCTATTCCTGGCAATCCATATCCTTCTGGGAGTCATATTTCTCTATGGAACTTTCAAGCATTGTGAGCAATTTGGATGGGTAGGTTGGATTTATATGGCGTCTTTTCTTTGGGTTGCAGATCGCTTATTGAGACTTTGGCACCTGCTAATATCCTTTGGTGGCTACAGAACTGCGACTGTAGAGCTTGTTTCTGAGTACGATTCACTTTTACGCCTAGCCATCACATCCCGGGAAAAAGAGAGCTTCGAATTTTTCCCGGGCTGCTACGGTTATCTTTATATCATGGACAGAAAGTTATTTTGGCAGTCCCATCCATTTACTCTTTATGAGCATGAAGGACATTTTGAAATTCTCATGAAAGCTAAGGAAGGAATTACTCAAAAATTATTTTCAAAAATTACATCTAAGGGAGTAAAGATTCCTCTGCGAGTTGTACTTGAGGGACCCTATGGTAAAGAGGCTCCGCTTTCGGATTATTCGCAGGTTCTTATTATCACCAGCGGGGCCGGCATACCGGGCCCCGTCTCCTACCTTGAGAAAGTACTCACCTCACCGGGGCGCGTCTCAGATCTCTTATTCGTTTGGGTCGTACCAAATGAATCTGTCTTATTGGCAATGAGCGGAAAATTGATCTCTGTCTTAATGAACAGAATCTCTTCTGATATGAAATTTGAGATTTGCATTTATTTAACGCGATCCTATGAAGAAGAGTTTTCGGGCTCGATCTCAAAGGACGTGAAAATAAGGCACGGCAGGCCGAATGTTGAACAGATAATTGACAATTTTTGTCAACAAGAAAATGCGGATGCTGCTGTTCTCTCATGTTGTAACCCTTCACTTGATGACTTTGTGAGAAAACAAGTTGCAAGGAACGTCCTTTATACAAATCGTCAATTAGATTTTTATGATGAGTTACAAGTGTGGTGAGATTTAAGGGAGGAATAAACTGAAATACTTACCCGTAGCACACAAATTTATGCAAATGAAATTTTATATATTGGAAATAACGATCAATTAGATCTCTTCCTTGAGTTCAAAACGCGAGCCTGCCCCTTGGATAAATTGTTTTCGCGACAATTTCTTTTACGGTCAGCTCGGCGTTCGAATTTAAGTCAAGATTTCAAGAACTTTAAATAAGCTTCTGGAAGACACCTTAGACGAAACCAAGTTCTTTCTGTCAGATATCTCATAACGAGGCAGAAAGCACTCTGACTCTCATCGGATCATGTATTGAAATTTTCCGAACTTAGCTCCACTTGACTTAATTGAGATATCCAAGTGGTCTAGACCTGCTATAAAAGGGTTTACGAAATTGAGCATAATTAGTTCTCACCGCTTTATTTATCATCTTTAAAGATCGCGGGTAATCTTAGATGGATAGTACGATTCATCATTCAAGTATTTGAGGTCTTCTACTGGCCTTTCGCCATGAGGTGTGATTCTGAAAGCATGACGCAAAACCGGTTCATCCCAATCAATAACCGCCGAGTGATGAACCCTCCGATTATCCCATATGACCACCGTACCAGGCTCCCAGTTCGCCCTCAATTGTAAATCTTGACTATTATTGATGAGGTTGTAGAGTAATGAAAGCAAAGCATCTGACTCAGGCTTTTTCAATTCGACAATCCTGCGAGAAAATGAACTGTTCACGAAAAGACTCTTCTTCTTCAGGACCGGGTGAACCCTGACCAAAGGATGAATATGAGTTACAGGTGCTCTGCGTTGAATTCCACCTTGAGATTTTGAGTTTTGAGCCTGTTCCTTCGAGCTGTGAATGACATGCAAGGAGCTCAGGAAGTTCTGAAAGGCGGGTGACAACCGCTCGAAGGCACTTATAGAATCGCTGAACAAAGTATCGCCTCCGGCTGGGGGACCTTGGAGCACAGTAAAAAAGGTATAGGAGGGCGGTTGGAGCTCGTAAGAAACATCGGTGTGGAAGGAGATGGAGGAGTGAGAGTCTTTGAAAACCCTTTCAAACTCAGCTCTGTCAGGCCTTCTAAAAGTTATGTGAAGATGTGAATGATTCTCTGGAGCACCTGAGGTCTGATGAATGTGCAATTTACCGAAGTAGCTACCGTACTTCTCGGCATAGGCAGGACCTTTCGACCCAAAGTCCTGATTACGCAGAACAACAACACCCCTTTGCGCAACAAATAAGGCTAATTCATCCTTGCTTGCGTCGCTAAGGTCAGTCAGTTGAATGCCCTTGATTTCGGATCCCAAATTTGGTGTGATGTTTTTGACGACTGAATCCTTGGCATTAGCTGGAAATAGGTTGGGAAACGTCGCATCAGCTCTGGAAGCAGGGTCATCATACTCATGATATTCTAACGGCTCGTATTTTTCTCTTGGATCCCAACTTGGTAAAAACTTTGGGCTATCGACCTTCTTATGGTACTTCTTATTGATCCTTAGAACACCATCTAGACCTATTTCGTCCTGACCGCTATAGAAATGGGTATCATAATTTCCGTAAGCCTCGTTGTAAGATGCCACCGAATGGGGCATGGTAGCTATGATTACTGTTTAAAATGTATAGATTCATTAAAATTGGAGAACCAAGACTGCTTCCACACGCGCTTTTTGTATCAAATCAAACAGGAATTAATAATATGTATACCAAGCAAAGCCTTCTCGAAGTTGTCCACCCTTGAAGACAGTAAAACCGAAAGACATCGCAAACAATCAGTGTCCCAGGCGTACTCAGTTAAACGCTGCTTAGCTTTAAGTCATTTCCTGACAAATATAATCACTGTCCCGGAAAAAAGACACTGAAGGAAAAAATCAAAAAAGCCCGATGCTGAAAAAATAATGGCTTTTAAATCGCATATCGTTATCGTAAGAAACAATTACAGTGTATTCTGTTGGATAGTGTGGAACAAAACTATCATAGTATTTTTAGCACAATTTGAAAGCTCATCATAGAAGATGGCTTGATTTTGTTTGATTTAGGAATTCAATCTGTAACAACCAAAGTCTTACACATCAACCATGCCACATTCCTTCGATCACTTAAAAGCGATTGAACTTTAGGTTTCCACTCATTCATGTTTCAGTAACCTTTTGATTCCAAAGAGTTGAGAATTCCTTTGTTCCTCCTAAAGGGGCCATTTTCCGTTATGAGGCTTGCGGATTTCTACGGCGGAGTAAAACGCACGTCTTGAATAGTTAGAAAATGCTCGCTCTGCCGTCAACGAAGCTGATAAGATGCTCTTGCTAAAGGTATATGATTGTATCCCATGGAAGCTGCAAGCCTTCAATCAATCTTACGATCATATATCTTCAGCGACCGTCATCGGAGTTTATTAAACAACTATTCATGATAACCAGATATGTACAACTTATTGGGTAGATTTTTGCATTGACGAGCGTCCCAAAACTTGCTTCTTACATGCCCCTCTTTCATCATACACAAGAATTCATGTGTTCCAAATTCTTCATAACAATCTCTCCCACGAAGCTGAAAAAATCAGCTTCAATGATTCTAGACCACTTATTTCGTTTTCAAAGAAACCTCCTTTCTCATGATTCCCCGATAGCCGTGCAGTTTTACGGTTAAGGGCCTTGCCATTCATCTCAACAACATCTTGAAAGAAGGATGCGTTAGCTTTGTCGTTCATTTCACAGCGCTCGCCCACCTGCTACAGGCAAACCACGGAGGGACTGATTTTAATGGCTACTTTCATCGGCACCTTCTCGTTTTGGTGAATCATATTACCATCTCAATCAGAGGCTGATAGTGGCGTCTTTATCTTTTCAAGATTCAACAAGTTTCTTTTTAAGGGAAGGGACCACCTGTAGCCACCTAGATCACCATTTGTTCTCAACACTCGGTGACATGGTACGAATAGGGCAATCTTGTTTTGTGCGCAAGCGTTGGCTACAGCCCTTGACGCTGTTGGCATACCAAGCACCTCAGCAATAGCTTTATATGTGGTTGTGCTACCACTGTCTATGTTCATTAATTGTTTCCATACCTGCCTTTGAAAATCCGTGCCGAAAATAAACTCTACTTGTGGTGCCGGAAATCGTTTCTCAAGCACTTGACCGACGTAATCAACGCTCTGACCACCTTTTCGTTCTTGAAGAATATACCTTTTCTTGGATTTTTCAGCTAAATTAGCAAAAGCGTTCTCCGCTTCACACAACAGGACACTTTTATCTTCCCCAAAGGCAGCATAAACGATGTGACCATCGCCTGGCCGTGAAATTAGGATTGTTGAAAGATCCTCGAAATCTCCAAATGTGTAAGCCAAGTGTTCCGCCATTTTCTTTGATCGAACTTTAGTCTGAGAGGGTAGTTTCTCGAAACGAAGATCAGTTTTTTACAATCAGTCTTCACTGTGTCATTATTACTCACTGGAAGAACTCCGCTCGCACGTCGAAAGGCATTGATCGAAAAAGGCAGTCCCATTCATATTCGACTACCGTTACTCTATTCTTATACTTATTCCTAAATCCACAGATCTCTAGGTCTATTAAAGGGCAGAATCACTGCATGTTGAACTTTTTGGGAAAGCCGCGAATGGTGCTAGCGTCAGTTTCCAGCAAGCCGCACGATGCGGACTAGTATTCTTGTAAGATTAGCAGAAAGTATTAACATACCATCTGAACTCGTACGCGAAGTTTTCCCGAGAAGACTTCTCACTTGCTTAGAAGAAGAATCTACATCTCGATTTCATACAAGAATTGGACTCTTTGCGATCCTCAGCAACAGTCCAACGCTAAAACTGTGAATTAGGAACAAAAAGGTTCTTCCCTTGATGTTGGTGGGCATTTCTGAAAAATGACATTATCTTTTGAGCTAGTGGTACAGTTGTGACACGCGATGAGCGCATTAAGGTTGGACTATGCTCTAGTTGATCTACAAGACTGCTAGAAAACCTAACCTAACCATCTCTACCAATTAGATTTGAAAAAGTTCATCCTTCACTTCCATGAAATTCATTAAGCAAGAGCTCTTAATACTATTGCCTTACAAATATTGACACATTAGTGCAACATGAGGAAAGGAATATGGCAATTAGGCAATCAGTTATCTTTACTAATAAGTTTCAACTTATCCCTACATCATGTTCTTGGTATTGTTGCTCGTCAAACACGTTATTTGATGAATTACGAGACTGCTCCTTCAAACCGTGGCAATGGATAGTAACGCTGATAGGCGACGGATCGAAGGTCTTGACAAATGCAAAAATACGCGTTTAATTATAGTTAATTTGTCATGCTGACGTACGCCTTAGGAATCCTACATTAAGTTGGCCATTGTGAATAGTTTGGTTCTGCATAATTCTTAATTAATTCGGGCTTTCTTGTCAGCATCAACGCTTCACATGAAGGCTTACTTTCCGTTATGCTGCCTTCTTACATGGTAATAGAATCGTTCTCAACACTATGCGGAATTTGTCACATTAGAAGCCGACTAAGACTCCCAAGAAGTTAAAGCTTACTGCTTGAGCTTTAACTCATCATTAACTGTCTCTTTATATGATGCAGACCTTGCAGAGACCTTTTCATGCTGTTCTTGAGCATCCGTTATTGCTAATTCAAGCAACCAATTGGGGATTGCGCTAGAGATAGAGTACGAAATTCAGCTTATAGTCTCTTAGATGAGTTCAATCTAAATTTTCGGAATAATGAGTTATCCCATCCAAGGTGCGCAATCGCTCGGCGGCTTGTTCCGCCGTCAAGTCTCTTTGGGGCTCTCCTAAAAGCTCAAATCCAACCAGAAACTTGCGCACGGTCGCCGATCTAAGCAAGGGAGGATAAAAGTGCATATGAAACCAAGAAATTTTCTTTTCTTCCTCTGATGCATTTAACGGAGCTTGATGAGTTCCCATAGAGTACGGGAAACTCGTGGAAAACAGGTTGTCGTATTTCGTAGTCAAGTTCTTGAGAATTGCCGCTAGGTCGCTTTGTTGTTTTGCATTAAATTCCTTCAAAGACGGCAGGTGTGTCTTGCTTACGACCAAGGTCTCAAAAGGCCATATGGCCCAAAAGGGAACGAGAACAACGAAGGAATCATTTTCAACCACCACTCTCTCTCTTTCGCTCAACTCTATTTCCATATATGAGTCTAGCATATGCTTTGAAAAGCTATCTTGAAACTTCTTGAAAGAAGTAAATTCTTTCATCAGCTCGTTTGGAACTGTGCTTAAACACCAGGCTTGTCCATGAGGGTGAAGGTTTGAGCAACCCATAGCCGTCCCCTTGTTCTCAAAGATTTGGACGTATTTGAAGGGTTTTCCCTGGTTAGCTTCTTCTTCCAATTGCCTGTATAGAGATATCCACGCTTCAACAACTCTGACAATTTCCTTGTGCATCATAAGGGGTAGCGTTAGATTATGTTTAGGGCTGAAGCAAATAACGTAGCAGTTTCCTTCCACCGAACTTGTTTTGAAAAGTTGATCTCGTTCACTGTCATTGCCCCGGCCCTGACTCAACCCAGGTTGATTAAGTTTGACAGCTGCATAGTCATTGGGAAAGATGAACGTAGAGCCGTAATTGGGATTTTTGGAGCCAGTAGCTCTGAGATTTCTAGGACACAAATAGCAACTCTCATCATATTCTGCAATTTCCAGTTTTGATGGTGCTTCTTGCTGTCCCAGCCAAGGCCTTTTTGCTCGATGCGGTGAGACTAATACCCATGTGTCCGTCAAAGGGTTATATCTTCTGTGAGAATTATCTGTAAAATCAAAGGTGCTATCGTCTGATGCCATCTCAATCAGCCTATATGAAACATTGTACAATGGGAGTGTGTTGTGACATTCTGTGTTTCCTGTTCGCCTTTTATTTTATATTGACCATTTTAAGATGGGGATTTTCTTACTCTCCGGAAAAAATCCGGGGTGACGCGAATCGGTACGGAGAAACGGATCAAAACAAAGCTTAGAATATGTGCCCCGAAAAGAAAAAAAAAGTCACATTCAAATGATAATTAAATAATTGGTGGGTACCTTTGTTGACCTTCAGCATTGTCAATGTTAGGAAGAATCCACAAACGCCATACTAATTCGCGAGTTGCATAACCGTTGGATATCATATTAATTAGATGTAGACGTGTCTTTTCGTAGTTCATTTGCAATACGTGAGCATCTTATCGAGTTCGAAATTTGTAGATTATTCTCGAACCGTACTTTTCGCCAATATTTAGCATGACAGCATTCTTCCACGGATCAATGTTGATCGCGTCAATGAACCTCCCCGGTTCACAACAAAAGCCAGCCCTTGGTGCAAAGTCAGGATGGCTGATG